TCCCGGAGCAAAGAGACCTTGTTGTGCCAAGTTCGACCAAGCTACTTGGCCAAAGTGAGGGTAATGCAGAGAATTGTCGTGAAACCTATGTAGAAGTGGCGATTGAAATTGGTGTTACTGCATCGTTTAGAACTGGGGCGGGGAAGTTTGTTGAGGTGAGGTGAGGTGAGGTGTTTGAATTGGTGGCATTAGTTGGATGCGAATCTATTGGGCCGATCGAGATTAAAAGGACAATTAGGTGGTGTATTGGCCGATTGATCGAATCAAATGATGTGAGTGTCGAATTTGTGTTCTGTATTGACTTGACTACGGAGAGTAATCAGAAGTGTGAGATTTATCAGGAGCAAAAGCTGTAAGTTATTTCCTGTTATATCCGTCTGCCAAGAGTTCTGGAATCTACACACTATATAATAAGCGAAATCACACCGAAAATACTGATTTTTCCCCTTTTTTAAACTTAATTATGTATATAAAACATTGAAATTATTGATTAAATTTTATACTTTTATAAAGATAATCAACTGAAATTAAATAAGAATTAAACAAATATTTTTTAATATTTTATTTCAAAATTATATATATTTAAAATTGAAATAATAATAAAAATTTAAATTTTTTTATATAAAAACCTTATATAAAGAAAGTTTTAAAAATTTATAATATAAAATACTTATAACTTTCAAATTAAAATTTTAAAAATAAATTATATAATTTTTTAATACTTTAAAATCTTATTTGATCTAATTCAATATTAAAAAGTTATTCAATATTTGATTTTATATAAAAACTAGTTTTTGAAAGAATTCTATTATAAATTTAAATAATATACAATAAGTAAATTCAAATTTTTTATTTATAATTTAATATTAGAAGCCTGCGTCCTTTGGATCTTTAACTTTTTAAGAAAGTCTAATGAAAATTTAAGTTTTAAAAAGTTTATAATAAATTTAAATATTAAATATATATCAGAATACAAACAGAATCTTAATTTGTTTTTAATAATTGAAAATTAAATTTTTTATTTAAAAATAATATTTATAATAATAATAATAATAATAATAATAATAATAATAATAATAATAATAATAATAATAATAATAATAATAATAATAATAATAATAATAATAATAATAATAATAATAATAATAATAATAATAATATTTTATTATTATTTTATTATTATTTTGAGTTGAATGAGATGAATTGAATAAGATAAATTAAATGAATAAAATTGAATGATTTCAATAGAGTTGAAAAAAGTTCTAAATTAGATTTATCTGAAATTATAAAGCTTATATCAAATTTTTTATTAGATTATTTACTAAAGTATTTTAGACCAATCAGATTATCAAGATCACGACTTATTTAAATAAGTTTTTTATTTTCTATTATTTATATCAAATAAACCTTATATACAATAAGATTTTAATATCAATAAGTTGATAATTAATAATATTCTAAATTTATTTTTTATTATATTCATTTAATAATTATTTGATTTAGAGATATTAAAAGTTTTAATTGATCTTTTATTATGCTCAATTTTAATATTTTATTGATAATAATAATATTATTAATATTTTATATAATAAATTTAATTTGTTTATGTGATGTACAAGAGCCTTATAAGAGCTGAATAAACAGGGTCAATTATATTCCTTAGAATCTACAACTGAAGAACTATAGCTCGTAAGGAGCATCTATATATATATACAAAATACTTATACAGTAGCTGCAGGGTTGTGCACAACCTGTCTTAAGGTGACCATAATCCCATACTAAAAAGGGTAAATCTGGCAAGATGTGCACAGACTACCAGTTCACCGATAGGAGTTGGTGATCAATTGGAATCACGTGATCGTCCTTATACGAGGTCTGTGATAGTTTATATTTTAATTTCTTTTGTATTTCTTTAAATTTAAAGACATTATTAATTATATTTTAATATAAACAAAAAGTTATAAAATTATTAATTTTTATATATATATTATAATTCTCTACTTTTTATTTATATCTTTTTATTTATTTTCTATATTTGATGGGTTTTAGTAATGAAATGTAGAGTCTAGGACAATTCTCGGTTTTTGACGGCAACGACACTTTGAACCTCGTTTACTCTCCCCGTGCTACCAGAAAGTATGAAACTCTAGAGCTAAGGAAACCAAGTGATTTCTCTTTTATTTTACGGTCTTGTGACACGAGTTTCATTAATTCCAGTGTGTATACCTTGGCCGTATTTTTAACAAAAACCATGTGTATAATCGTGCCTGGAATAGAAAGGGGCATGGCTAAGACTAAGCCCGAAGGATATTTAGTATATGTACCTGTATGTCACTCTACTTGACTCAGTGGCATCAATCATTCTCTCTGAATGCTTCTTCTGCTAAATATTACCAGGAATGGAGTTGGATGTCAGCCATTTTAAGGCATGGTGATCGTGACTGAGGGTGCCTGAGCTTTCGATTCCGCGGAGAAAGCAGGTGATAACAAATTCCGAAATTATGTGCACATGTTCCAAATTGGTAAGCCATAAGGGACAAATAAACTGGTTTTCTTAGCGTTTAGAGTTCCATACTTTCTGGCGGTACATCCGCCACCTGGAGTCGGATGGTAATGTGAGATTAATTGAGCAGCAAATGTATATGCGCATGGCTACGCCACCAAACCTTTAGTTCAATGTCATAGAGACCATTGAGAAATATCTTCAATATTTTGATAATTTCATCAGGCCGGATACCGGAGTTGACAAACCAGTTGATGCAAGTTTTTAAACGAAAATAATATTTCGTTTATTTGATGTTGATTTCCAATGAAAGGATCTTCTTGAGCATACAGTGGAACCCATCAATTTCTTTACAAGGAAACACATGTCAGGCCCAGGAACCATTCGTTCGGTTCTCACTACTAAGTCTTTGTTGGTATCATGCGGCCTCATAATAAGCATGCCTTCGCTTGTCACCTCCTAGGAGTTTACAAACCAAGGAGAAGCCAAAAATAGTATTACGAAATAAGTTTGATATTCCATTAATGCATCATTAAAAGAACATTTCTCTATATCTTCCTGTTCTTTTCTTCTAAAATCTACAGGCTTTCACATCGAAAGCTTAATTTGGTCCATCGCTGGATACCACCAGGTGTAATATTCGTAACTCACAACTGTGGTAGGTAAAAAAATCACTGGCACCCGTGCAACGAATAGCCGATGCCTAGCTTCTTAATACACAGAAAATGAACATGTAAATGACATCCAAAAGCCCCATCAAATCAATGTTCGGGCCTATAATGTTGCATAAACACCTTCTGTCCTAGGCCTGTGTAAGTGTGATGATGCCTAATGCTTCATGCGTAATAGGATGTATATGCTATTCTGTCAGAAGGAATAGTGCAATTTTCGGATGCAAAGCCCTGTAGATCTCAATGCTTGGGATTACCCATTCTGGAATAGCAAGGGCCTAGCCACTAGTCTGTCGGACAGACACGTCGGGTTACAGCTCTACACCCACCCTATGATAGGGCCGCCACCATGCCCTGTAGGATGGTGCCTGGAAATCGCTCTAACACACTGACCAAGACATTGTTCTCGCAGTCATTCAACTCCAAATTACGCGCCTTCTATGTAGTTAAATGTGTATTTCTCTTCATTATAGATGTATTACTCAAGCTAGCAACAACTGCCAAAACAACTTTTGGAAGCTCTTCACTAGATAAGTGTCAGAAGCGTTAAGTTCCGCCAACGATGCACAGTGTTTCTGTGTCCTACCGGCAGATGAAAGCGTGGAAATAAGCATGCAGGGCCATAACAGGGTCTTCGATCCTTCGAGCCAGTAGTAGGATCAGATTCAAAAGCCTTCCATCTTAATTGTTCTTTGAAGACTGCGATATAATCCAATGACCAAGATAGGGTGCATATGCCATTCCCAAGTATCAAGGATCAGTGAGCGTCTGAGCCTATTGGAATCCCATGTCCATCATAGCTTGTACGTCATTTCTTGGGTTCGGCTTACACTGCATGTGAGACCCGTGGGAAACTTATATAGACTGTATACCCCATTGTCACCAAGCAGAACCTGTGTATGAAAGTCAATCTCTATGACAGAGTGAGCCCCTGGATGACTTGCAAATTAGCTAGGCAGCGATCCTATCATTCTATCACTCTCTCCTCAGCGTTTCCATGGCCAACGACTTCCATTTTCAAATTTTCACAAGATCCACCTAGTTTAATAATTTTGATTGGATTAAAAGACACAAAGACCACTATACCCAATTTTTTTTTACAAGGGGGCACCCTAAATAACGAAGGTGGGCATAGTACCGCTAAAGAACCTCGCTCGACATGATTCTATGAAGCGTGGGGCGCCTTACTACTGGCCACGCCGCATAGCTTGCTACTCGGCCCAAGGAATTGAGGAGTGCTGCTTCTGAGCATACTAATGGCTCGGATAATCACGTCGTGCATGAGTAACTTTGATCGCATGTGAGGAAATTAAAGGGGGGATTAGCTTGAGACTGTGTGACCACGATTGTATAAAATACGAAAACAGCCTGAAAAGCTCAAGAATTCAGCAGTATAGTGCCGAGGCTTCGGTATTGTAGAAGACAGAGCTTGATCGTTTCCAATCAGAGGTGTGGAGCTGGCTATAGTTATTTCGACCGCCATATACTCAAAGCCTACTTATTTCAGCACCAGATACCCCATTGCTTGAATACGAAAGGATGATAAGTTCTACTTGATACATTTAGCCTGACCACTTAGATCGCGTTAAGTCGTGCCACCTCTTAGTCCATCAAGCAGTATACGAGCTTGGAAATCTTTCAGTGATAGCAACGGTCTAAAATACAACAGTAGCGCCGTACAGTTTTTCATATTGTTAAGGCCAGATGCTGCGCTCCTGCTCGCAGAATATGCAGTAATAGTCGATAAACTGTCGAATATATCATGCGAGGGAGGATCTTCGATTTGAAACATCCGGCCGGCTCACACAGTCCATATTAGGTATATGCAAATTGCGGAAAGCAGCATTTTTGAGATGGCATTTAACATTATGATATTAAAAACACTTTTGAGGATGAAATTGTGATCCAAAGAACACTCGTTTACCTGCCTCCTCAGTACAGAAATGAACAAAGCTCCTATTGTAAACATTGACCTAACGACCCAAAAAACCGAACAATTCCCGATGTTGCCATGATGATTGTGACAGCTCCACCCCAGCATTCCTTGCGTCCATGCGTTGAATGGCAACTCAGCGTAACAAAAAAGAACTCTTCACATCGTAAGCTCATATGAGTATGCCAACTATAGCCCCCCGTCCCGTACTCCAGGCTACACTAAAGATCCCTGACAGGATCATAGGGCTTAGCCTGTCCGTTCTCTCGAGCGATCGTCGATGCGTATGGCACGTAAGACGGCGGTGATGCATATGCTTGGCTCGAAGAGTAAGTGGCGTATTCACTGGTAGATGGACCAGGTTCTAAAAGAAACGTTAACACTTCGGTTAAAAAGAGTGGAAAAGGAATAAACACACCGGTGGGAGAATAGTCATATCCTTGACCGTTGCCTGCCGGCAGTTAGAAATAAGCACCCAAAAACCTGGTTTAGCTTGTTTGGCTAGTGCCAAACAATTCTGTATAAAGGGTCTTTTATGCAAGAGTTGCGGCGTGCATACGTTTCACACAGACATCACCTCTTGGTGGATTGTCGTGGGAGAAGTAAACCATACATAAGTAAACCATACATACCTGCATTTATGGATGCACCTGAATAGTACGAAGAGTGACTGTAGTGTCCCTCGGCTTCGTGTGCTTGTCTATGCTGTGTATGGTATGACTGGTGCGAAGTTCGGTGATTATGGTGATGGTGCGAGTAAGGGGCGGCATCCCTACTATCAGCTTTGATATTTCGGTTCCTCCCATCCCTATAGCGGAATTTGTGGTATAAGAACCACCTTGCGATCCAGTTTGGGCATTCGGGAGTTGGCCGGGCTAAGCTCCAGTAGTATGCTGTCTGATCAGTACCATTCTGTACTATCAATCTCATGGCTTCATCTTTCGATCTCTCTACAATATCGCTCCAATCGTACGGAGGTTTTCCTTTGCAGTTCTTCTTGAGGTGGGATTTCTCCGAAATAAGCCACCTATAGACAGTATCTGTCTCTTTCTGAGTGTCGGCCAAGATAAGTAAGCACTTTATTGATAGAATTCTTGATGCGGTAGTGGCAAGGTGGGTTAACGAGGGGGTTTGGTTGAAATGGATGGATGCTTACCGCCATCAGGGTGTAAGTCTCCGCGTCGATGTTTAGATGCTTGACGAGGTCATCTTTTGTCTGACTCATTGCCAGAGGGCCTAGGTCGGGTGTAGACATGATGGGGCTTGTCGAATATCCGCTTTTTGAAAAGACTAGAGGTGCAGTCTGGATGGAGAGAATCGCGATGCTCATAGCGAGCTTACGAGGCCATGAAAGAACTATAGGTAGCCGCGCTGCCCGCAGGGCTTTGCGTATAACAAGGGTGGCGAGTTAGACGTTCAAAAGATTTTAAAGAAGATTGGCCAGTGCCAACTTCGAGTCTCAATGCATATCATCGGCATCTAGTTTCTCATTAAACCGCTTGTTGACATTCAACGTAAGGACAAAAAGATGCATATGGCTGGGTCACAAAATATTGGTTGGGACAAGTTCCAAGTGATGGCATACATCTTTCCGCCAATGATTTTTAGGCTTTCCAGCAAACCCTAGTCAAGTAATGTACGAGCTCGAGGATTAGGATTGTTAGCATTGGGCCGGAAGCGCGTGCCGTTCTATCTGCAAGTTCGGGACAACTGAGTGGTATCGGAGATACTTCCGACGCCGAATACAGATCAGGATATCCCCAATATTGTTCATTTATACAAAAGTCCCTGCATTTCCGTGGGAATAATGCTATAAAACTTTAAACGTCGCTACCTGCGGCACTTCCGCGAAAGAGCAAGTGACGTAAGGATTTGGTGCCACGCCTAGAGGTTTAGCCCTTCCGGTCGGGAGAGACAAGAAACAAACAACCTGGAAACTTTTACAAATATTTGCTTCCTGCAGCTTCTGCAGCTAGTCGAGTAATACCACCTTCAATAATCGTTTTCATATCTAACAGCAGGTGTTACCGCTTTCGGTCATGCTTTGGTAAGATGATAAGTGGGAACGAAATTTCCTCGACTAGGATGGACAAGGGTAAAACAGCTAATTTCTGATCTGATAAGGAGCTACCTGACGGGTATCCTCCGGCAAGGAAACGACAGATAGAAACAGCCGGTACTGTTCCCGAATCTAATGAGTAGGTCGCCGCGAACTTATTGTGTTATAGTCCGCTTTAGATACATTAAAAACGTCTTTTTCTAACCTGAGCTGGATACGTCCAATCGTTTCAGTAGATCAACACCGCCACACATGTTAAAACTTATTGGTTCGAGGGAAATAATAGCGTTAGTAGTGTTAGTAGTGTTAGTATCGTCTCATTCGAAAGACATTGAAGGGATGAGAGATAATAATAGTAATCTCTAAGAAATAAATTATTTACAAAACCCTTTAATTCTTTTTCACTCTTTCAAAACCTATATCAATACAGATATACCAAAGATTTAATCTCTACTCTGTAATTAGCCATGAAAATAGCTTTTTTATAAGGCTATGTTACACCGCTATCATTTTGCCATATTAGATTAATAATATCCATCGGCCGGTCCAGTTTTCCGTACCACTGTAGATCTTTGAGCATTTCAGCCCTCATCGTCAGAGACGTTACCTCGAACCCACCGTTTTGGTATGTAAGTATGAACAAACAGCAACCTTTCTGATTTTTCCATGTTCCACAACTCAGATGAGAAGAATTTGGCTCAGTAGGACGACAATGCTATGAAAAGAAAAACGGTGGGATGGGCTGAATTGAGCTTGACTCGCTCTTGGAAACATGAAGAGATGCAGAACTCTTTTGTCGTACCATTTTGTTTCCTTATACACTGTTATAAAGCGAGGGTTATGTCCCTATGTACTCCTTACTTAGGCGATGCTAGAGTAGAGATCAAGATATTCCTGATATGACGGATAAGGTACATACTCAACACAAAGAACGCATCATCATTTAGATAAAACCGACTAGATGACTGCATGACGATCTTTTTTAATGCCGCGTTGTGATCCGATGTAGGTTACTGACTGGGTGCTCCGTGATATATCACATTAGCCAGAGTCAAAGATTCTAGAATTCTAGAATCTTGGATTCTAGACTCCAAACTTTCGCAATACATGAACTTTCCTCCTGTAAATCATCATATCAGATGTGACTTGTTTTGGTATGAACATTTTTCTGTATTATAATACCTATTTAGATAGGTAAAATAAAGATGAATCCATCATATTAGTACCTACTGAAGTTTATAGGGAAAGCCACATGAGGGAGCATTATTCTGACCTCCAGGAAAGATGTGGTGAACCAGTGGAAACTAAAACATCAAATCATCATTTGCCTATATGAAGTTAATTATGCTCAGCCCATATTTCAGACTTGTTCCAATGTTTCAGGAGAAGCGAAGGAAATAGAAAAACCTCGCGATGCACGATATGCAGACGATACACACACGATATACACACGATACCCACACGCAATATAAAGAAATATCTACTGATAATCTAAATGTCACTAATCTTTGTGGTCCCTTTTCATCGTTCCGCTCAAGCAGCTCCCATTACCAATAACAAACAATCTCCTCTTTACCTAACCTTACCCCCACCTTGTGCTGCCCCGCCATATCCAACAGCCATGCAGGACATTGGACATTTGCTTAACTGACCTCACGATTACTCATCAATATAAAATACACAGGTAAAGGCGCATTATAGCAACCAGGGAATTCTTCGAGTCGGGACAATTGATTGTGTACCGAAGTCAGAAGAGATGGTTTCTACCAGCACCGTTGTTCATCTGCCAAATGGCTATCACATTACAGTTAATCCTGTTTTTGGAGGCTTCTTTTTCAAGGCGAACGAGTTGAATACACACACCAGCATTTTCCCTGCTGGCTGGACTGTTATCATTCAGACCGAAGATTATTCGGATGAACACCCTTATGACAGTGCTTCCGTAGCTACAGAACTCCAAAGCGCGTCAACTGAGCGACATCGACACAACATACAGCCATTCAGACTCCCAACTTTACGCAATGACAGTCTCTTTATTTCTTCCATCTCGAACCCTTCGAGCAACGATTTCAAAGCCCCCATCAGCCCTACCAGGCAGATCGCAATGATGCTTTGGGCAACATTATACTGGTATTTTCATCAACCAGAACCATCACCACATATTACCACGGCCGCTTCGAAAAATACACCCGATGCGGGGAAGCCCAAGGCAGATTGGCGCATACATGTTAGAAGGGAAGGTGTGCTACGGGGTCGGAACCTGATACAGAAGCTCGATAGAATGGGTTTGATTACATCCGAAGATTCAACAGTTGGTTTGGCCATAGATGAGAATACACCTGAGGGTTGGTCAGACATGTTTACTTCAAGAAGAGCATTCTGGCAACTGTCGGCAAGGTTGTTTCTATACACTTTCAGTCCAAATATATCTCTAGCTTCTCCACAGGGCAGTCGGCCGTGTTCGCCCGTTTCTGGTTCGACCAGCAATCAGTCTACCGGTAACAAGAGGGATTCTATCGAGTCATTTTCAGGACTATGGTCACCAGTGTCTATTGGCCCTTTCTCATCAGGAAGTCACCTACCGACATATTATCCACCACCTCCATTACAATATACAAATACTTCAGGTACGCGTCACCCCCTGCGCCCCAAGCCACCCCACCAAGGAGAAACATTTTATACACGTTACATCCCTAGTTTGGGGCAATACCTGTCTTTCAGAGTTGCGTCATTGTCTACCAAGCCTGTAGTATATAATCGTCCAACGTCAAGCTTAGCACCTTTTCGACACAATGCCACAAACTCGTCACTCTCCTCTATTGGAGCCTGTTTGTCTGCAGATTTGCAAACTGCACATTCTAGTACTGCTACACAACAAGTAATCGATACGGCTGAGATGACAGACCTCCAGCTTTTAAATCGTTGGATGAATGTTCCTCGCGTCGATAAGTTTTGGGGCTGCTCTGGTCCAATTGCTACACAGGAAAAATTTCTCAAAGACAATCTGACTTCAAATCATTCATTTCCCGTGATTGGTCTCTGGGATGGAAAGCCCTTTGGATACTTTGAGCTATATTGGGCGAAAGAAGACATCCTTGGGAAGCATGTAGGCGATAATGTTGGAGACTTCGACCGTGGTGTCCATGTTTTGGTTGGCGAGGATGAGTATCGAGGAAAGCATAGGGTTCAATGCTGGATCACTGCTTTGGCACACTGGGCTTTGGTACAGGATTACAGGACTAATTCTTTTGTGCTTGAGCCTAGAGTAGATAATGAGAGGTATTTAACGTTTCTTTTCAATCAATTTGCATTTGTCACAACCCTTCCCTCTAATTTATCCACAGGTTTATCTCACATCTAAAGGAAGCTGGGTTCGTAAAAGAACGCGAAATCACTTTCCCCCACAAGCAAGCTGCATTCATGAAGCTGAGAAGGGAATGCTTCGAAGCTCCTGCCTTGTGACCATCTTCAGCCTTTATTCTTCTTGGGTGCTGTGAGAAGAATAGAATTTTTTCAGCCACAAACAAAGGCCTACAGTGTTGATATGATGATATGATTGCTTCACGGCACATGTACCTCCCATGCAGCCTGCGACCAGTAAGTCACTCTTCGTATACAATGCACCACAACACTTTCAAGTGATTAATGGTGCCGCACAAATCAGACATGGTCTTCTTTCACCACACCTTCTAAAATCACTTCTTCTCAATACTTTATGGGCTTCATACTGCCTTGGGTCGCCAAGGTTCGACGACGGGCGTTTTTCGAAGGAACAAATCATTCAAGATACATAACTGCATATCTGTCAGACGCGACATGTGGGGTTGTCAACGCGATAAGACGTCTTGGTTTTATTCCACTCCAAGCCATGATACGATATCGCGGGGCATCATGCACCAAAACCGCCACAGTCTCATCAATTTTAATCATCGGATATAAAAGCAATTTAAATCTGTCATGTCTCCTGATATTCGGAACAAAAATCCATTCTTAAGGAGAAGTGGGGTGTGCCATTATTGGTTCGAACCCCATTCAAACTCGAAAATGGTTTTGCCATTGACTAGTTTACTGCATGGGATTTGAGACAAGATAACCGTGTATACCCATCTTAGAGAACATCGAGATTTGGAAAATCCCATGCGATCTGACGTCAACTATTGTGTCCTTTTTATGCTGTATAGTAGTCGGATTAAAAGTCAAAATCTGTTCGTAAAAGTTTACTATACTGGTTGCGACGGTCATGTAAGGATGCATGCATGGTAATGGGTGAAGTGAGTGATTGTTCTGGACTTCAGGACGACGCGAAATTTATAGCAATAAAACGGATTTCCATTTTCTCGACGATTTACGTCTGTCCCAATCGTACAAAGGTTTATTGATTTCTGGATGCGCACCGGTTACTACTTATAACGGACTTACAGTTGCTTCTTCGGTGCCTACCCGTTATCTCTTCAACGCAGATGTTTTCAATCGCACCCCTCCACCTGCTTTCTGACCTGAGTTTGGATATAAAGAATAATGTGGTTATATCGGAGGCAAGAAAAAAGGCCGGTGTAACGAGGAGTAGGGCATACTTCCGCATATTCCAGACACTTATCTCCGGGAAAGCGACATCAAAAGGACACTGCCTCATACGACTCCACTTGAGTATAAGACTCTTAATCAAAGATCTACAAACGACATTTGTATAACGTTTGATCCAGCTTTCGGATGGAAATGAGACGATTGGAGCGTTCCATAAGAATATCGCAACCTAAGCCGGAGTCGGCCTGGCGGTCGGATCTCGATCGCCTAAATTGAGCTATCACTTAATGATATCATAAATTTGAAATGCTTGTATAAATTACCTGGGCACAACGGCGTGTACAGGCTGATAAGACGATTTTGAACATGGAGAAGAGTTCGTCTTTTTGTTTTCTGTTTCGAAATACAAAATTCTATGGGTGGCAAGCCTCTGACAGCTCCCGAGCTTTGTACTGAAAATCACGTTGGAGGATGAAGTCAGGTGGTTCTGTTTTGAGTGGCAGAGTGTTAGGAGATAGGAGTCAAAATTAGGAAGAACATTTTCCACTTATTTGCGAATTGTGACAAGGTAGACAAGAATGATGATGGGAGTTTTCTAGGAGGGTTTTAATTATAGGATCAGATATACGACTAATGGATTCTCTGCAACTTATGATTGGTTTGAGTTGAGAAGAAGTCGGTGGTCTCGGCCTCCGCTTTCACCGACATTGGAAAGCTTCTACGCCAGACTAACCAAAATCATGCGAATGCCTTTCCCTCTAACCACACTTGAAGATTGCATTGCAAAATTCTGGAAATGAGGGGTAATATTCATGCTATCAGTTTCAATTTTTCTATATACGGGCCATCGAAATTAGCTAGGAACGCCAATATGTTGGATGGATCGACCAGCGCTAACTTCCTGGTTAATGGACAAAATACGCTTGGCACTCCGCCCTAGGGACGGACAAACTCCACCTCGCAAGTCGGTGCATGATGGGATGACTACCGTGTTACCGGTATTGACTAGGAGCTGCTACTAATAGTTTTAGAGCGGGGTTATGTATTCAAGTCAAAAGGTTGGATTCCCCCAAACGTTTTCAGGAGACCCTTCACACTTATGACCTGCTATCCGTAACTCAACCGGTCGTTACCCACGATTAGTTGTTGACAGAGTAGTCATTCCTCGACTCGAATTGCCTCCTTTAAGAACATTACCATCATTCCGACTCTAATCATTGTCATTTTCACGCACACCTATTTGGGAAAGGACACCTATCGGTACCGACATATGGGCTTGGCCTTGACCGCAGAGATGGATACATTGTCACAAAAATTCTCGGGTCTTTGGAGGGATACCAAATCAGTATTCAAAACCAAGCACATCGAAAAATCACAGCCAGGGCCTGCCTTCATCGCCGAATGGGATTATCAAGTGGAAAGCTCCAGTAGTTTGGGAAGCTTTTCACATCCACCACCATCTCCGGCATTATCATTCGAGCAGCTTTCTAAAGATTCTGATCACGGTACTAGAGATAAAAGATTCGGCATTGCGCCAACTACCTTCACTTGTTTCGGGAAACTTCCTATGGAACTTAGAATACTGATTTGGGGTATGGCATGTGAGCAGCGGCGAAATGTCAGCATTGAACTCAACCCATCTTATAAACAAGGTGATCTTGCCCCTGACCAAAGAAGAAACGGATACATCTGCACATCAAATACACCTCATCCCAGTGTCTTCTATGCGTGCAAAGCATCGCGAGAGGAAGCTTTCAAACATTACAGCCTCCTTTTTCGAGAGAAGCTCTTCAGCCCCAGGTTCAGTATTGAGATCCAGCCGAGGATATGGTGCAATCTTAAGGCCGATACTTTATGTCTAAAGTCGTTCGGTTGGAATGACCGAGTTTATGAGGACTTTTTCAAGAATCTACCCGCGAAGGATATGATAAGCTCTCTCGCTTTCAACATACAGCCACTTATCAATTGCAATTCCGGTCGATTTGTCCCCGCGGAGGTCGATTGGTACAACATGTTCCGCATCGTGAATGCTTATGGAGCTCGTGGCCTCGAACTGCGGGAGATTATCTTGTACTATGATGTGGAAGAGAACCGAACACATCAGCCCGTGGTGTCGGAATTCGTGGAGCTGGACTGGAGCGTAATGGATTCAAATTCGCGAAAGACGAAAGAGTTGCAGAGGGTGCAGGGAGACTTATTGAGAGATTTATCTAGTTGGCCAGTTCACCGCGAGCTGTTGTTGGACAGCCGGGCAATTTATTTGCGGGAAATCCAATCGAGGTTCAAGTTGATGGATCTTAAGGTCAGTTATTGATTACAATACTATCGGACACCTTTGGAGGACCCATGTAAGAATAAGAAGTAATTCTTTGGAATTTCTAATTGATTTCAAGAACTATAAGATCTCTAGCATAGAGTAGATAGCTATTCACATTATATAATATTATGAATATAGTTATATATATATATATATATATATATATATTCATTCCACTTGAATATATACAACACTTTGTAAATTTGATCTGACTAAAATAATCTTTTTTGTAAAAATTCACGATATACGATACCACAAAATTCAGTACATGTTGCATGTTGGCCCTTTAGATCTACGGTGCATGAGATACGTCATCGATAACAAGGGGTCAAGTGTTCGAGCTCCTTTGAAGGTTTCCAAGGTCCCATGTAAGTTTGGAGAGGTAGTCAACTACAAAATGGATACTTGGGAAACGGAACTTTTAATATCTAATCACTACGTTAAGCTCGCATTCTTTGTATCGTGATAGAAGTGAGGTAAGAGGGGTCCCAATCATGCGGCGAGCAACGAACCTTTTACCGCGGAGTATAGCGCAAACGACATACCCGCCGACCTCATTTGTAGGTACCTTTCGAAATAGAACTGCACCGCAATTTTCCATAAAACATACCTCTCCTTCATTTCTTCGCACATTTACTTCGACGGATATATGGAGAAAGGAGGATCACACAGATAAGGCCAAGGAACTAAATCAAAAGGAATTAGGCAAGGAAGAAGACTGGTTCAACAATCAGATCGATGATACGATTGGTAAACAGAAGGAAATACAAGCAAGAACGCCATGGCATAGAGAAGGCTCCAATGAACCTCCTGTGAGGAGAAATAGAAGTGCTGGGGCTATGACAAAAGGTTTCGTGGTCCGATTCTCCCTATACTTTTGCTAGCAACGTCTCTAATGGAAATCCCGCAGGCAAACTCCTTACCACCCCATCACGGCTTCTGAAGCTTATTCTACCTCTCACCACGCTGGACAAAAACTCTGATCGTAAAGATATAGAGCCATTAGCTCTCCTCGTTCATCCTCAACAGCCTCTCTCCTACCTCGAACGCCTTATCCAGTCTGAATTACCAATGATCACTGCAAAAGATGGACATACAGAAAAGGTACCCGCAGTGCATTTTCGCGCCCAAGACTCGACACAAGATGAAATCAAAGCCGATCATAGAAAGGATATAGATGAAGATGTAGATGTAGAAGAAGGTACAGACGAACAGATGGTGGATGGGAAAATCATGAAGCTTGGAAAGATTAGCAGCTCCAAAGATAAAAGCATTTCGCAGAAAGAGAAAGAACAAATACGAAGTGATCTACGAGGAGGGCCTGGCGAAGGAGGAGTGGAAAGTTATTCAGGAAGTGGACGTGAACGATCTTCTGAAGGGGAAGTAAAATTCGTGCGCTGGTCTTCGTCGACTGAGATAGGAGATTTCATTCGCGATGCTGCGCGGGGAAAGGAATTTGCGGTGGAGATTGAAGGGTCATCTCGGGAGATTAGAGTCGGGGTGCCATCGTTCAACGATCGGACTCATTACTTGAGAGTTCGTCTACGGAAGAAGAGCAGGAAACTCGCCGATTATGCAAAAATCAAGAAAGAGTGTGATGAACTTGCACATCGAGGAGCGCGACACCTTGCGATGGGTGGTCTTGGCCTGCTGGTTTCCTGGTGGGCCGGAACCTTCTTCCTTACCTTCCTGACTCCTATTGGATGGGATACCATGGAACCTGTCACTTATTTTGCAGGATTATCAACTATTATTCTGGGTTACTTATGGTTTCTCTACCACAATCGCGAAGTTTCCTACAGAGCTGCGCTCAATTTGACGGTTTCGAGAAGACAGCGAACGTTATATCAGGCAAAGGGGTTTGATTTACAGAAGTGGGAAGCGGTGATTGAAGAGGCAAATGCGTTGAGGAAGGAGATCAAGAACATTGCTGATGAATATGATGTGGATTGGGATGAGAAGGCTGATGAGGGAAGTGAGGAGGTGCACGATGCGTTGAAGGCTGAGAGGAGAAAGACTAAGAGGAAAGAGAAGGAGGATGAAGGGGAGGAGCCGGAAGCAGAGGAGCGAGATGAGGAAGATAAGGAGAAGAGAAAGGATGATTAATTGCGTATATATTGATAAATGGATGGAGATGGGAGTTTTTGAGTATACATACTCGGTAGTGCATAGCATGTTTAGAGGATTTGATTTTATACCATAGCATAGCGTTTAGGAAATAATAGAAACAATCATATAAGATTCACAACAAATCTTCCAAACAACTACAGTCCCTTTCCCTCCCCCCAGCCAGCCAGTCCATCTCTAAACACAACCTCACCACCCATCCACCCCAAAACAAACCCAACTCATCCTCTCATCAAAATGTCATAAAAGCTCCGCAAACCCAGGCATCACCACGAATCCGCTCCGCCTCGGTCAAAATTTATACCCATCTACCTAGCTATAAAGACAGATAGATAGATACAAACCGCGTCACCAGATATTATAGATCATTCTAGCATGCAAATATGACCGACTAGCCAGTTGATGAATGGTATCAAGCGGTTGATTTAATCATGCGATTTAAGTGTAAGGAGAAGAAGAAAAAAGGAAGGGAAAATTTTGTAAAGGTTGTGATATGGTTGGAGAATTTTAAGGTGGTCTGTGCGTTGAGGCTAGTGACTACTAGTGGTGTGGGTGACTAAGCGGGGGACATATCAAGAGGGAAAATTTTTTGAAAAAGTTTTTTTTGGTTGGTTACAATAACAACAATGAGCGATGTCTTCGAAGATTGAAGATGGAGATGAATGAATTGATGGCGCGACAGTGTGATGATGAAGATATTTAATGATGATCAGCACATTTACATCTCATCATCCACCTACTCACCTATCTATCCTATGCTATTCTCTCCGCTCCCAAATCTCCATCTAGGTTTTGTATCCTTCCCCTCCTTTCCTGTTGTTTCCCTCACATTTTTCGCAAAAAGCAAAAGAGAGCTATGCTCGCAGCAATAACCAAACCAAAGAAACAAGCAAACAAACAAACCACATATTGCCTACCTCCTGCGCCTCTTAATGGACTTGAGCGTCACTTATTTAAATATCGTTCGTGGGATATAGAACCAACGGCCTAGACAGCCAGTCCAATCCACCCTGCTGGCGTCGATTAGTGCGCTAGGAGGACTAATCGTGACAAACATTCTTTTTTGGTGTTTTGCTACTTTTTTGTTTTCTTTATTTGAAGAGGAGGAGGGAATTAATTGGGGATGAGGAATGAGGAATGAGGCGGTAGATAGAGAGGAATATGATTATATTATCTTGTACAATTTGGATTCATCTTTAACGATCTGTGTGCCATGATTTTGTCTTTGTGATGTTAGGTGTAATTATTCCAAGTATCTTGCTCGAGTTCACGAATTCTCTCCATGGTGGCATTTTGACATGTTGAATGAGAGCCCTTTCATTCACTTGAGACTCTACTCAACAGCCACAATTCAATATTTGCTCAGAACTAAGAAACACAGGTCAATGGAGTACAATCAACTTCAAAAACTAACTTGTATTATGTGTTTAATTTAAGGAATTCCTAAATTCCTGCTGCCAATAGTGTATATCACCACGGCGAGACTGGCCCCTAACGCCATTACATGCTTTTTGTACGACCATTATTCCTCTTTATCCATGTCCTCATCCATATCTCCACCCGTGCCAAATAAGTCATTCATATCACCAGCACCCTCCTCATCACCTTCGAGGTTATCTTCCTCCGTAGCTATAATGCCTTCCATGCTCTCTCCAATCGGGCCCTCCTCTTCTTCTTCGTCGTCCTCCACCCACTCATCCTTCAATCCCCATGGCACACCCGTAAGGACAAATCTCTCAGCCGGTAACCTGACACCCCATTCATTCTGTAGAACTCTTGGTAGTGCAATTTTATTCCTCGCCTGTGCAGTTTCTAATAAAAACTCCTTGCTCAACCCGCCACCATTGCCCGCGCCAAACTGATACTGCAATCGACTTTGTATAGCCAGTTGAACCGCATTCGCGCTAACTTGTCCATCTGCATCTCTGAATCCACCACCGGGCGGCGCATCTCTCGCGCGCGTTTGTTGTGATACATAGGCGTCGGAGGAAAGATGTAATGCATCGGAAAGAATAGAAGAGGAGTGACGGTATGCGAAATCGAGAAGTTGGAGAGGAACGCGTTCTTGGTATGCGGATACGCCGAGTGAGGAAAGGAGCATATGAATAAGACGAGCATCGCGGGGTCGCTTGGATAGACCGTTATCTTGGAGAGATGTGAGAGGTACGCTGGGATTTGCGATGGGAGGGGAGGCAGCAGCAGAGACTGGTGCCGTAGGTTGTAGGTTGGGTGCCGGAGCGGGTTGGGTTGGCGGCGAGGATGGAGGATGTCCATTTTGACCATTTGTATGGGATATTGAGTCGCCGTTTACGTCGGCCATGATGAAGTTGAGAGACTTTCTCTTCGCTCTAATCTATATATTGTGTGGAGTGAACTCCTTCTTAAATTGGTCGCAAATGCGACTCTATTAAAATATAGATCGCGGGGCGCGGGAGTCTCTGTCGTTAAATGTGGTTTGTATATCGCATTAGACTCAAGAAATCATCTTAGCTTGAAAAGAATTACCGATAAATCCAGGATTTTGTACAATAATCTAAGTATATCGAACACGACCTAACGAGTAGAACTCAAATATCTGTGACCCCAGTGGATAACATTCAATCGTAAGACCAGGTACAATCAATTGCAGCTGCATTTCCGATTAGAAGTAAAGCACAGACCATACCTTAAATTTAAATCAATGACCAAGTGAACAAGATTCATGCCCCTCCATTACATAACCCACTATGTCTAAATAGATCGAACTTTTCTTGTTGACTCACTTCACTCCAGACATCACTGGAATTTTCTTTGAATTTTGCAAAAGACATTGAGGATATCAGTATTCGATATGGATACTACAGCATCACTTCCTTTTCTTCCTAGTGTTGACCTTGGCAATGGTCCTGCAGAATCTAAAGTAGGACTTACAAGAAATCAACTATCATACCTGGGATGCGTTTATTTCAAAGCGAACAACGATGATGTCGATATCCTCCTCGGTTTTTTGCAGAGACATGTTGGCATTGATACTTATGTCGATGTATCTGCCATTAAATCAACAGACGATATTGTAACAATCTTAGACGCTGGAGCCCGCACAGTTTTTGTGAAGCCATCTCAACTTACACACTTGGAAAAGCATACCGATCGTGTTCTTCCAATCATACCACAACCGCAGACAGATGTCGAGTTCCCCAATGGGGGATTACTCACTTTTGTCGATGAGGCCTACACTCGATCCCTGTTGGAAGAATTCAAGAAGAAAAAAACATCTCCGATATTCCTTCTACCAACTCCTGAAAGTGATTTCGAATTACTCGTTAAAGTTGCGAGAGAATTCTCTGCTATTCCAATCATACCTGCGACACACCTTAGCATTGAAGGGGCTGGAGAGGGTCAAGTCTCTCTTCCAAAATTGGTTGCGGATTCATGGACTACGGACAGGGCAGACAAATTGATTCCTACTGTGGTTACAGATGAAAGAGGGCTGGCTTTGGGACTTGTATACAGCAGTGAAGAGAGCTTGAAGGAGTCGTTGAAAACTGGTACTGGGGTATACCAGAGCAGAAAGCGTGGATTGTGGTACAAAGGAGCAACATCTGGAGATACACAAGAACTCGTTAGAGTATCTTTGGACTGCGATCAAGACTGTTTGAAATTTGTTGTCAAGCAAAAAGGTCGAGGTTTTTGCCACCTACCACAATCTACCTGTTTTGGTGAATACAAGGGAATTTCAAAGCTTGAGAAGACCCTTATTTCGAGGAAGACTTCGGCACCTGAGGGGTCCTATACAGCACGTCTCTTTTCGGATGAAAAATTGCTGCGGGCTAAGATTATGGAAGAGGCAGAAGAACTTTGTGATGCTAAGGAAAAGAAAGATATTGCTTTCGAGGCAGCAGATCTCATTTATTTTGCCTTAACCAAGGCCGTTTCTGCTGGAGTTACCCTCGCAGACATTGAACGTAATCTTGATGCTAAGAGTGTGAAGGTCAAGCGAAGACAAGGGGATGCTAAGGGGAAATGGGCTGAAAAAGAAGGAATTACCAATGGATCTACCGCCAATCTCGAAAGTGTCAAGGAGGTCGTCAAAGAAGCTGCTTCCGTGCCAAAATCCTCGGAAGACAAGGCTGGACTCAAAAATGGACGCATCACTATGAGACGATACAATGCTGCGACAACATCAGAGTCCGATCTCAAGGATGTCTTGCAAAGGCCTTCCCAAAAGTCTACTGATATGATTATGGGCATTGTAAACCCCATCATCAAGGATGTACGAGAAGGAGGTGACAAAGCATTGCTTGGATATACCCACAAATTTGAAAAGGCAACATCACTTACTTCGCCTGTCCTCAAAGCTCCTTTTCCACAAGCACTTATGGATCTTCCAGCAGAAACTATTGAGGCGATTGACATTTCTTTCGAAAACATTCGCAAATTCCACGCAGCACAAAAAGAAGACCCATTGCAAGTTGAGACTATGCCAGGCATAGTATGCAGCAGATTTTCAAGGCCCATTGAGCGTGTTGGACTGTACATCCCAGGAGGTACTGCTGTACTTCCAAGTACGGCTCTTATGCTGGGTGTCCCAGCTATGGTCGCAGGCTGTAAGAAGATCGTACTCGCATCGCCTCCTCGAGCTGATGGTAGAATTACTCCTGAAATCGTTTATGTTGCTCATAAAGTCGGTGCTGAAAGTATCGTTTTGGCTGGTGGTGCTCAAGCTGTTGCTGCCATGGCATACGGCACTGAAAGCGTCACCAAAGTCGATAAAATCCTTGGTCCAGGTAATCAGTTTGTTACGGCGGCAAAGATGTACGTCAGCAATGATACCAATGCTGGCGTTAGTATTGATATGCCAGCTGGACCATCTGAGGTACTTGTCATCGCTGACAAGGATGCGAACCCGGCATTTGTTGCATCAGACTTGCTATCGCAGGCAGAGCATGGCGTTGACAGTCAGGTAATTCTGATTGCCATTGATCTGTCCGAGAAAGAATTGCAAGCCATCGAAGACGAACTCCATGAACAAGCTATGGCTTTACCAAGAGTTGACATTGTTCGTGGTGCCATTGAGCACTCGATAACTCTTGTTGTTAAAGACATTGAGGAGGCAATGAAACTCAGCAATGAGTATGCCCCAGAGCATCTTATATTGCAACTCAATGATGCTGCGAGTGTTGTAGAATTGGTCGAAAATGCGGGTAGTGTTTTCATTGGTGAATGGACGCCAGAGAGTGTTGGTGATTATTCTGCTGGTGTCAACCACTCTCTACGTAAGTTTTTCACTCACATAGTTCCATAACATAATTATGCTAACCACCCAAATAGCTACGTATGGATTTGCCAAGCAATACTCTGGTGTAAACCTTGGATCGTATCTAAAGCACATCACTAGTTCACAACTGACAGCTCAGGGTTTGAGAAATGTTGGTGGAGCTGTGATGCAATTAGCGAAAGTTGAGGAATTGGAAGCTCACAGAAGAGCGGTTGGAATAAGACTTAAGTATATGGATGAGAAAAATCTATAATGCTATGTATTTATTAGGTGAATAAAATTAAAAGTTTTCGTCCTATATTTTGGCTTCGCTGGCCAATTCACTGTCGTACACATAACTTGCAACCACAATCCGCCATCTTTAATATTCCTCCACCGACCACAACAACGAAACATGTTTTCTCCTGGATATTGATCCTGCTAAATACCTCAACCATATCAGAACAAAACATCAACATCAACATCACCCTCAGAATGGTTTAAAAAAACGCGACATTGTCGTTACAACACAACACATCTCAGATCACATCCTTGATTCAACCATGGATCCCGACGATGCTGCTGTACACTCTTCAGTCACTTACTTCCTTGGCTGTGAATGAGGAAGTGGTGGATTTGAATGGTGTTAGTCCTGCGTGTTGCACGGATAGCGGACGGAAGGCTAGGCTGGATGTGGATCGAATGGAGAGGGAGAGGTGGAGATGGAGGAGGGATTGGTGCTAGTCCTGTACATCGCACGGATTTTCGGTCAGAGTCCGCTGGAGATAGTCATCGAGTACTAGTTTCTTGTGAGGATAGGAAGGAAGTAATTAAGCAGAAGGTTGAACACTTCTATCGCGCGAGTGGTCAGATGAAGTTTGATACAAACAACTTTGAAGTTTCAGCAACTTCGAGCACATCTAATAAAGTGACTTTGCAAATTACCCCGGCTAATTCGTTGGCTGATTATATGGAAGGAGATCTTATTGATATGAAGACACTCCTCCGCGCCATATCGATGATTATTCTATATCTAACATGGACAATCATCAAGCATCTAAATTCTTATTTCTCAAATAGAACACCTTCCTCACAATAGAAAGCTTTGCCTCGTCCTAGTCATGCCCATCAAACTCCACCTTCAGCTGCCGTATTCACATCTAAACCTCCAAACCCCAGCACGAAATCTTCTTCCATTACCTTCCTTCCACCAAAGAACGCTTCGACGATGCAAGTCCGCGCCTGGATCACAAGCTGGTTTTCCGGTCGCGACATCTCATTTGAGGTCCCATGGGAAGGCGCAGGCAGATATGGATATTCAACAATACATCGAGTGTATTTTCTGGAGTGGAAAAGATTTGTATAACTCTCGGTCTCGTAGTCTGGAGAATTATTGAGGAGTTGGAGGGTGTGTGGCTGTGCAAAATTTATTGTGGGGGATATTGAGATGGCTATGTGTAGAGAGGGAGAGGAGGTGGGAGGTGTTTGGGAAGAGACTTGCAGATTAGATTTTCTTTGGGGTGTGGTGTTTGTGGTGGTTCGGGGTTGCGTTGGTTGTATTTTGTTACTTGTTCATGTGCGAGGTGTTAATGCTTTTGTTGGTTCTGGTGGGTTGAGTAACTAATGCTCGAGGAAGTTCTCTTGAGTGGTCACTGGAAGACAAGCAGGTGATTATGAAGGGCTTGCTAATTTCATAAAGCCAGCTAATGGGATGATGCAATAAACTCTTCTTTAATAATGAGAATATAGTGTTTCTTTCCTATTTGTGATCTATATCAATACACCAGCAGTGTATTCAAGAATCTGGACGACTATTCCCAGATCAGAGTTTTCAATGATGGAGGAGCTGAGGAGCTAGAAATCTACGAATGGCTGATTTTCAATCTTTCGCATCAATTCAAAACCCAAACTCTTTTCATTGTTGAATTTTAGCTTTGAGCTATTAGATTTTCCATCGGTAACAAGAAGTCTGCTTATAGGTTGCTCCTTCCTACTTCGATAGTTGTGATGAGAGAAGCTAGCAGTGCCTTCCATACTAGTAAATCATCCTTCTACAATCCCCCTCTCTATCAAACCCTAAGACAACATCAAATCAAAATATCTTCATACATACTCTATTCTGCACAAATTGGATAGACATTATTCTAGTGGACTAATCATTAACATCTCCTCATCATGGCATGTAATAATATTCTCCTAGAATTCAAAACAAGACTCGCAAACAAGCAGATCCTATATCCGAAAATGCAAACGATAGCATATTTGAAACTTATCCAGCATGCCTCGAAGAACGATTACAACCACCAAAAGGCAAACGCTGCATATGAGGAAATACGAAAATGGTTTGTGTTTTACTGTCCGCAGTGTCCTATCAATGAGATACCCTCGTATTGGGAACTGTACTCCTTAGTCGATGAGATTAGAAAATTGAGACCGGCGCTCAGAGATGAAATGTTTGATTCTTGTGTTACTCCTCAGAAGATGTGGGTACAGATAGATACTGTAAGAAAATGTGCGTGGTGATGTGAGGGAGATACTGACTATGCAAAGGAGACTTCTGGAGTATCTGCTCTCGAGCATAATCCTACATATTTAGATACATTTTTCCTTCAGTTACGAAGCGGGGATATTCCCATGCCTAATACCATTGATGTATGTCCTAGTTTTCCTTCTTGACGAAACTGATGAACTTGGTCTTATTTGAAATCAGCAGTTTTGGTACAATGCCAGTATTGCGTCAGAAAGAGACAAACAGAGACTCCTCGGATGGTTCTGGAAATACTGCCCTCAATGCGAACCGGAAGATGAACCACCATTACGACTTCTAATTTTCCATATTCACAAAGCCAAAGTAAGTTTATCATCTTTCATCACAAACGTGCCATTGATGAATAAAACCAGTCACTCTTGGGAGCAAAAGCTAAGCCAGAAGTCGAAATGGAAGATTCTATACCGATTTTCCAACGCTTTTCCATGTTTATTAAACAGGGCAGAATTCCACTCTCAACTCTTCCATTTTGGTATTACCCCAGACCTATAAAGGCAAAAGATCTCACATGGCAGCAAGCAGCAGAACTCTTAGTATGGTGTCAAAAGTACACACCAAACTTATCTCTTACTGAAACGCCACTATGTCCAAAAGATCTAGGTGAAGTGATTGCATCCGGTATAGAGCATGTGATAAGTGCCCTTGAACGCATTAAGCAGCGTTTGACGACAGCTCTCGAGGAAAGTACCGAGATACCTATCATTTCCGATAATAAAAATAATCAAGAAAAGTCAGAGGATAATACCACGTACATCAAAGCTAAATCAACCCCTAAAGACTGGCACCATGAGTGGACTGAAAAAATACCATTTATAGACCTGAAAAATATCCAAATCGAAAAAGGGTTCTACAGCACAGGAGACAAATATCCCAAAACGATATTCAATCTTAGACTCACTACGCGCAAGTCACATACCAAGAAGAGAAAACCCAAATCTCTAGCTACATATACAACAGAAGATACATGTCATTCAAAAGCATGCACCTGGGCCGATGTAGACGAAGTCTGGAAACGTATCCAAAGCGAGCAGAGTAGCTACTATGACGGAATCGAACATCCCAAATTTTGTTTTGACGATACTGAAGTAAAGAAAGTAAATACGGAATGGAATGAAATAAGCTGGTATGGAGTTGTTGATTATCCCAGTTTCGATATGCGTTTTCGAAATGTGGAGGAAGTTCTCGATTTTGAGCGTGGTATGGTGGTTATTGATGAGTTTGCTTGGTAATTAACCCGTCTTAATGTTATCTTAACTACAATATCTAGTAATGTAATTTGATGCGAACAATTGGGATTACTATACAGAGAGAGGTTTGTGTTAATTTACTTGTTATTGCAATAACCATTTCATGTATTGGAGTTTTGTAAATCTCATCATTAGAGAGAGAATTATCGCTAAGGTTAGCATTACCTACCTATTAATAGCAGTAGGAGTAGTAGGAGTAGCAGGAGTAGCAAGAGTAGCAGGAGTAGCAGGAGTAGCAGGAGTAGCAGGAGTAGCAGGAGTAGCAGGAGTAGCAGGAGTAGCAGGAGTAGCAGGAGTAGCAGGAGTAGCAGGAGTAGCAGGAGTAGCAGGAGTAGTAGGAATAGTAGTAGTCGTAGTAATAGTAAATCCATAATCGCTTCGATTCGATCTAACTATATCTATATCTAACGCTAAGGTACACAGACCATACGATAGGGCCCTCTTGCGATATATACATTATAGATTAGATTGTCTAGGGAAAAGGAGAAGGAAAAGGAAAAAGAAAAAGAAAAATAATAAAATAGACAAATAACCTGCAACCCTTTTGGAAGATGCCCGGGCTGTCTATGATAATAACCAATTACATCGAGTACTTATAACCTGCGACACACGTAAGGCTGAAGATGATGGTTAGTATTGGTCTATCTATCTAGTATATCCGCATCTATGTATATATATATTTATTCCTAGCGGATCTCAAAAAGCCTCCCTCCACCCCTCTATATAGACCTAACACAACATAAACATAAACACAACACGACACGACACGAAATGTCTCACAAATGACTACTACATCGATCAATTTGACTACTATATCAATTAGACCAAATATATATATACACACATAAAAACAATAGATCTAAAAGATAGATAAATAAACAATTCTTAAGTTCTCCCTCCTCCAGGCCCCAGACCCCAAAAGTCAGAAAAGAAAGAATTTCCAAAAGGAAAAACGCCTCCCGATGCTAATTAACGATTATCTACACGGGCCATGAGAAACATTGTATCTGTATCATATCGTCAACCATACCCAAGCAGACCTTCTTTTTAAGCCCATGGGTTACCAGTAACAAGTCATTAAGTCCGTTTCGGACCTTATCGTAGCCCAAAGATATCGTATTTTGAACGACGTGCGGAACAGAAACAAATGCCCATTAAACGCCATTCAACCCTAGATAGGATAGTAGGTGAAAACACTACTATTACTATCCATTAAATAGACTCGCATTCTACGAATAAAATTGACTTTTCTGGAAACTATCCACTCCAATATCACCTGCCTTTCCAGCCACAGCAGGAGGGGCCGCCAGTGATTTTGCTCGGTTGGCATTGCTAATACTTGAACTAGTCAAGGTGCTGGTTCGGCTTCCGCTTTGGCTCGCGCTCTTAATTTCTGCTATTGGTTGACCAGGTCGTCTTGCTACTTCCAGGTACACAGCAGGGAGGTATCCCATCCGACCATCCCGAGCACGACAGCGCCACCATTCTGACGGATTACCCATCGGATCACTTTTACTAATAACCGCTACTAGATCTCCTTTCTTAACTTCGAGATCCACACCTTGAACTGCGGCGCCGGATTCAGGGGTAAAGTCGTATAAGACGCGACAGAAATCAAGTTTCGAAGGATCAAGTTGTGCAGGTACGGGCTGGCCGTCAGCACCCATTAGTTGGCCTGATGCCATTAGTCGTTTCTGTTCCTCTTCTTGTGAAGCAGCCAAGGCCTTAATCATCTTACCCATGAGGTATGGGAGACCGAAGGCTGCTGCTATGAAGAACAAGAAAGGCTTCTTGGATGGACGGGCTGCCGAGCTTCCATCTGGAAGTACTTTGCGGCCTTCAAAAGAGGCAAATGCCGAGGGTGTTAAAGAGGTGGCATCTGCGGGCATGGGTCGGCCTGTAATTTTGGCGAAAAGAGTGCGCAACCAGCGCATCATGGTAAATATTCCTAGGATAGATCCGAGAGTATTGCGCAAGTTTCCGAATTGCTCAGCCACAGAAACCATTGCTATAATTATTAGTAGAGGACCTTTGGAAGAGTGCGTCCACGGGGAATGGACTTACCGAAAAAACTAGAGTGTGTAGCCATATATGTGCTTTCAAGCATTTGAGCAAATCCTCCAAATGCACCAACTATACTTTCGATTATTTGGAAGGTAGCTTGTGTGCTCTGAGTAAAGCCCTGCGTCAAGCTCATGGGATCATTTGGACCCATTCCTCCCATTCCTCCCATATTCCCATACATCCCGCCCATGCCTCCACCATACATAGATCCATACCCTCCCATGCCACCGTAACCATACCCTCCCATGCCTCCCATGCCTCCCATTCCCCCCATTCTTGAGTACGGTGATGAATAGGATCCCATAGTTCCCATACCATATGGCGAAGCGCCTACGGCTCCTAGTCTATTTGCGCCGTATGGCGAGTATGTGGATGCGTTTTGGTTGACGGTATTTGTGAGAGTGGATGGACGTTCAGGAATGGCTGGTGCGCCCGAGGAAGTACTGGCTGTAGACGATAAGACCGATGGTCCAGCAGAACCCGATGTAGCAGCGGTGGTTGAAGTCATGGCTGTGAAGGAAAGCAATATTAGCAAGTTATATAAGATAAGATAATATGACGGGCATACTAACCAGGACTTGGAAGAGCGGTACCAACTGCAGCGCCTCCTCTTTCCCACGGTTTTGGCGGTGAAGCCATAGCAAATTTATTCCAATTAAACACAACCCTGTAGATGGAGCTTTTATGCCTACAGAGACCTTGCGGGTCTTATGGCTGTATGATGGATAAACTTTGGGTCGCAAAGATGTCGATTTTGATGGCGAGATAAAATGATTTCTAATAAGATCCAAGCTCGTGATGGCCGACGGTGATGGGCCGATGCGATGAACAAAACAAGGCTAAGCCTGTGACAGTGTAATTTTGCGGGGGATTATTTGGATTGGCTAGAACAATTCCGTAGGTTTGGTGGTTCACCTGTTGGAAGCGGAACTGGGAATGAAGAAACCGGATACCTCGAGAATTAAAAGCGATTTACAAATTAATATACAGATGGTTGGTAAAGGGGATGAAGGGGTGAAGAGTTGAAGAGGCAGGATCGTGAAGTTATTGATTGATTGATTGATTGATGGTTCAGAATTCCATGTGGAGGTTGGGAATAAAATGAATGAAAATGAATGGAAATGAATCAGGATAGAATGAAATTCATCAAAGACGCCCGACGCTCATGCCCGAAATTCGCTTCTACATTCGATTGGACAACCTCGGCATTTATTTTGCCACCGGGCGGTCAAAATTAAAAGCTTGTGTTAGCGGGTATGTACTCGAGCTGATATCACATATCTTATTGTCTAACTACTTGTTGATAAAAGTTTTAATTACTAATCATTGCATTATCCAACAACTGCTGTTGATAAATATCACTTAATATAATAGTACATTCACTTCTATCCTAATCACACTATCAATCGCTGTTGAAGATATCTAAATGCTACTGATGCCAGCTATTATGTACAGTAGGTAAGATAGGTCGGTTCTCCTTCTATCATCATCACATCATCAAAATGCTGTTGATAAAATGTTACTAACCCAGTAGCTACCTACTTACCTCTTTAATTCAAAGCACAAATTACATTGCGATCAAGTTACGTGGAATATAGTTGGCATTGCTCAAGTGGTTGATGTTTAAAAACATAGGCGATTGTATCCATAATTAGAAATCTCCACGAGACACCCCCCTTTTCAACCTGCTGACTAATCAAGACCCTTAAAACCTTACTTCAACTCGGCAAAAACTGGGCTCTTGGCCATGTATTCCTTCCATGTAGTCAATTTGTCAACCAAAAGCTAAATGAAATGTATCAGTATGAGAATCCAGATATATCCCATCAGAAGAACTTACTGAGTGACTTTCATCCAAAGTAGCACCTCCGTAGTAGCCAGATTCAGATATCCACATCATGTTGTCGACGAGGTCATCTTGAATGAAGGCACTCCTACCCTCGCTGGCGAGATTATCCCTGTAGGCCTCGTAAGAAATTTGGACAAACTCGGCTCCCTCACCAGCGATAGGGTACTGTTCCTTGAATTCGTTCAAAATCTCGCTGAAGGTGGCATAGTTAGTGGCACCAAGGATTTGCTTTCCAAGAACCTTCTCTCTGTTAAGGAGGATCCCTTTCACAAATTTGCCAGTATCCTCGGCTGTGATGTGTGAGTGAATGATTCTCACAAGATTGTAGTGCAAAGTTACTCACCAGTAGCAACAAGTGGAACTTGAGTCGAAGCTGGACATGGCAGGATAATCTTCCACTTCTTGTCATCTGGCATTTGCTGTAAGTGATAACCAGGAAGATTGGACATAAAATATCCAGCCAAATAGAAAGTCGCAGGAACTCCAATTTTTGTAATATAATCCTCGATTTCGGCCTTGGCGTCAAAATGTGCGACCTTGGTGAAACGTCCCTTGGAGACTGCAAAGAATTGATGAGCTTGAAGACCTCGCAGCAGAAGGTTTGAATACAGAAAAGCCATATGGATTGTTGAAGGCAGGTGTTAAGAATGGATAGGAGGACTACTTACGCTTTGTAACGCTCGGTAATGAACTCCAGATCAAATGCTGAACACCAGCATCCTATATGCCGATCAAATTAGACCCCAATTTTCTCAATTCAATGCGTAAATTCAATTTCGTACCTTTGCGGCATCTGCAATTGCAAATCCTTGTTTCTTCTCTACCTCAGGATCACAGGTTTCCCAAAAGTTGGTAACGGCAAAAACAGCATATGCACCCTTTACGGCAGCTTTCAGAGTGCTGGGAGCGTCCAAGTCTGCCTAAATATTTATTAGTTCCGAATCATACAAGATCGAAGATACTATGAAACTTACAGCAACGACCTCAACACCTTGAGCCTCGAGGGCCTTTGCCGAAGGCTTATTGACGTCTCTAGTGATGGCTCGAATTGCCCAACTCTGCTCGAATTTTGAATCAGAAAGAATTTGCTCAACAACTGAGCCACCTTGATTTCCTGTAGCACCAAAGACGACGATCAATTTCTTGTCAGACATGCTGATTGTTGATTTTGATTGTTGATTTCGTTGATTAGAAAAATGGATAGTTAGTTTTGATGACGTTGTTGATTTGAATAAGATTCGAAGACAGGTGGGTGAGTGAAAGATGGTTGAAATGAAGATGGAGTGAGGTCTTCTATTCGTACCTTCCTCAAGGTACTTATAAGAAATTCGTTCCCTACTTCAAAGACACGTTGATAAGACTTCACCCTATGGAAGCATCGAGTCAATAAGCTACTCATCCTGCAGTCCGCATAGCGTTAAAACGATATGTTTTGGATCTCATTAATAATAACAAATTCTATGATTCGGAATCGTTATTTGTTCCGAGTATGTCAAGTTGATTTCGGGATCCCGGATTCACGCAATGATCCGGACTTGGTTTTAAAGATGATCAGGGGCGTGGAACATATTTCTATATTAACATTCACTCATTTTAAATATTAAAAATACAGTATTTAAATATTGTATATACTTTTAAATAATAGTATTATTATAATATTTAATAATATTCTTTATTAAAAATCTTTAAATATTTTTTATTAATTTTTTTAATTTTTTTAATTTGATTTTGTTATTTTATTTTTGAAAAAAAATTTAATTCTTTTTTTTTTAATCACATTATTTATAAATTATTTAAAATCTGTTTTATTTAAAGTTTTAAATTTTTTAAATTAAAATATAAAACTTGAAATAAATAACTTGATATTTATTTAAATTATTTGAATAATATTAAAAATAATAATAATATATAAAGAAAACCTCTCTCATAAACCACAAAGTTTTAAACATTCAATAACAGTACCTAGGTAAGCAAAGATAAATAAAATAAACTTATTTGATTTAAGTTCCGGATATCGTCGGAATTCTTTCCATTTGTTAAAAAGCTGAGTTGTAAGCAAGACTCCTTATTTTCAATCGCGGGGAACTCTAGAAAAGCCCCAGTTAAATAGGCTCTAACTGGGGCTAAATTTAAGCATTGTTGTTTTAGTGTCGCCGAATTTGTCAAAACTATACAGTACTTCCGCCGTCGACCTCCGTGAGGTGTGTGTCGTCATGAGTCAGTTGGATGGGATATGGAAAATGATTAATGATCAAACGAAACGGCTCGTTTCTTCAGTCAGAGATTTTTCTACGTCACTGGTATATGGTATATGGTATATGTATGATGTCTTGGCCCTATCATCATAACTAGATATCCGTCAAAAGTGCTAACATTTGTAATTCGTCTTATCAAATGCAAAAATCCAAGTACGCATAATGGTTCAATGGTTGAGAGGGTCAATTAAGGCGATGCAAGAAAGAAGTCATGCATGTAGGGTAGGGTGGATTATATAATTCTACAGAGTATGTCATCACACTTTTGAGCGTGGTCAAATATTATATCAAGTAGATACTACCTAGATAAGTAATGATGTGACTGACATATGAGCTGACCATTACAATATATCCATCCACATTGGATCGATTAGATGCATGCTATTCCGCGGTCTGCTATTCTGCTAGGAAACGTGCGCAGAATAACAACAACGTGGCTCTCTATCCATGCTGACTTTCTTCTCCTTACCATCTTATATGTATGTATGATATATGAAGAGAATCTGAGCTACCTTGATAATAGTATGTATGCTGCCAGATAAGTCAGCTTTTCTCGGAATCCACCCAACAATATCAGCAATTCGTAGCAGTACGTCAACATAGTCAGCAAGCGCTTAAAACCCACCAATGAACTCATTATTTTACGATTGAGTAATTCGGAACCAAACTGTCGGATTTTTACCCCATCATCTTCAATAATTTCTTTGGCTAGCAGTGTATTTCAAAAAGACGGACTTTAGCCGAGCATATATATAGATATGACTGGACTTGAGGTTCTGATGATCTTACCGCCCTAGCCATGAATGCTGCAAAGGGTTCAAAAATCGTCAAAATGTATTGGATATACACGCTCCAAGCTCAAACATGACCCTGTGTTTTCGCGGGTCGGCGTCTATGTGAACATGCGTTTATGTGATGGCGATATAAGTTTGTTATATCGCTTTTGGAGTCTAAGTAGACATGCATATATAACTTCACAAGAGAATTGATTGTGCTGGTCACACAAATCTTTCAAATATCAGCGTCACATTCATTTTCTTGCCTTCTTTCGACGGTACCATCGTCAGTGGAAATTTCATAGAGCTTTCTCTACAACTCAGCTGCTACAAGTGAAGTACGAGAAGCCAGAACAATTAAACACAATATGACGATGGGAAATACTCCTCCCATTTCTCAACCCACATTACCAAAGACACCTTGGGTTCAACATGTACAACTGCGGAGGTCCGATACCCCGACAAGCGTCTATTCAAATACACATTCACCTACCATGGAAGCTCCAAATTCTCCCACCACGACAAACCCTTCCAGTCCACCAATAGATGTACCATCAAGGGGCAGTAGCCCGACAATATCACCCATATCATCCAATAACTCGTCACACACCGAATTTCGTAGCTCTCGATATCAAATAACACCACCTCATAGTCCTCGTAATTCAGCACATTCAAGACCTCGTAGGACCCGTAACCATGCTTCACGGTGTAAAAGTACAAATTTTCTTGTTTCGAAATGGGGCATTGGATGGAAAACACCAACGATTATAATATCTTGTTATCTACTTGGTATGTTTCTAATAAAATCATATAATTAGTTCATGTTCTTACATTCTCATTTAAAGCTCTCGCAACCGCTCTCATTCACTTATTTTTATTCATCTACATCTCGGGTAAACCAGCCGAGGGAAAAGACAGAGTTGCCCCTCAGACGTATATCTCTACCGCTTCCAATCTCCTAGCCAATGCCTTCTCATTCTTTCTCAAGACGGCATTAACCACATCTTTTGTCCAGTATCTTTGGCGTCTCCTTCGTGTTCAAACCATGAAGGTTTCCACCATTGACTCTCTTTTCGGACTCAAGTCCAACATTTTTCATATGTTTAAGGGTGCTACTATTCGAGCTGCTCCTGTTTTGTGCGTGATGTCTGCAATTATGGCCAGTATGACGATTGCGGTCAGCTTTACCCCTGGTGCTATCAATGTTATTTTAGTACACAAAACATCTTATGATTCGATACTTGTTCCAACATTCAACGCATCTTTTGTAAGTTATATTACGACTCGAAGACTACCACACCACTTTGAATTTCCGGCTAACCACATATTATAGATGGGAAATGGCTCTGGTGTGGCCGCAAACAAGTATTCTCTGGCTACATTATCACCGATATTTGAAAGTGGAACTAGATCTGTATCTGGGTTTACAGCAAGGTACGACAAACAACCTGAAAGCTGCTTTAAAGTTCACAATTACTAAAACTCATTCCTAGTGATTCGCTACCAGGGAAAAACTCAAATTTACTTAGTCGTCTCGCATTCCAAACAATGATCACAGGAAAAGCAATTGATCAACCCTCACCTTGCGGCGAAAACTGTTCATTCGTAATAGAATTCGAAGGACCATCCCTCGAATGCAATTCAACAAGCACAAACATCACAACTAGCCACACTGGCAACAGCACAACAGATTTCCCATTCTTCACCATCTATTCAGGAAACTGGACGACGGGCCTACCCTCTACACAAGCCAACGTCCTCGCCAACGGAACATACACAAAAGCCCATTGGCAAAGCAGCACCCTAACCCTCCTCAACTCCGAAATAATCCTAACAAACTCCACCCTCCACCCGCGAAGCACCACACTAAACACATCCACCACCCAAAACACTCTCTACTGTATACCCAGCCGTGCTCTCTACACCATAAACAACACGTACATCTCCAATATCCTCACGCGCAATATAACCAGTACCTTTATATCACCACTAACCAATCTCATGCTCTCAACACCCAACAACACGGTGTCCGTTCCGGGTTTCGCCAATACCTCGACGATGAACAGCGATTATGGATTTGGGACGGACCCTGCAGAATGGAGCGCGGATGCTCGTGCTTATTATCGCGATTTAAATTTTTTGGTTATTATTGATACTATGTTTTCGTATCTCGCGGGTGAATATACGGCTATGCCTGCTATTTGGCCATTAGAGACAGAGATAGATGAGGAGAGTTCGAGGATGGGGGATAGAGTTACCGATGAGGGATGGGGTGAAAGTTCCTTTAAGTTTGGGGATGCTGATGCTGGGATGCCGGGAGGTATGTTATTTTTTATTATTAATTACTTTTTCTGCCTTTACTTTACTTTACTTTTGTTCCAGTTCCAATTCCAGTTCCAGTTCCGTCTTAGTCCCACTCCCAGTCCCACTCCTAGTACCAAAAACCCAAGCTAACACACTCCCTTCTTCCCCCAAACAGCCAAAACACACGCCCTCACTCCACTTCATTCCACCTCCACCCCTCAACAACCCACCCACCTCCTCCTTCCATAACCTCCACCCCCACCCCCCTCACCCTCCAACCACCTCCCACCACCTCCTCCCTCCTCCTCCTCCACCCTCTTCCCCCCTCCCTCCTCATCCTAGGCCTCTGGTCCCTGACTCAAAACGGTATATGCATGCCTACTCACGAATCCTTCACTGCAGGATTATGCACTACATCTTTTATATCCTCCTCTTCCTCCTCCTCCTCATCCTCATCCTTCCCCTCCTCATCCTTCTCCTCATCAGATTCCTCCCACACAATGGCCACACCAACACAACTCCTTACGCTTTCTCGAGCTGCCTGTCTAGGGAATACAGCATCGCTTTCGAAACCATTGCGGGAATTACGGATTCGGTATGGAGAGTTGAGGTCGTCGTTTAGTTTGGGGAGTGAGAATGATAATGAGAATGATATTGAGGGAAATAAGAACGGGATTAATATTCGGAGAGCTGGTTTTGGGCTTGAGAGTGAGGTTGTACCGTTGGTCAAGGGGGAGAAATATGGTGTTGTTTTGTGACTATAATTCAAGTCGAAGGGTCACTTTAAATTTGCACATGTGTCACAGGAGAACTTTAATCACCTGGAAAATATACATATAATTTTATCATGACACTAATCCCCGTGATACTGGCCAAACAGCACGGGGCAGTACTATCCTACTGATGGTATACTTCATCATTTTTGCACGTCAACATACACAAGAATAAAAGGATATTTTATGAACAAAAGTTTTGCCCTGTCTTTTGACACCCTCTCTAAAGACTTTTTTTTTATCATCCTCCATGTAATTTTCCCCATAACCAATGAAAAATTCCGAATCCAGGTTGAAATCACTAGGAAATGGCAAATTCGGAAAGCTTACTTCCACCACTCGTGTCGCAAATGTTTTGAATGTCATCTGCTGTTAGACTTGTGGGGAATTCATAACTCGTAGGCAGCTTCTGAAGATGTATAGTTGAAGTGGCAGAGCTGAAGACAACTGCAAGTCTCATCGTGCTAGAAGTAGGCCGTACGAAGTAGTCTGAATCGCCTCCAGGTTTGTTCGTATGTATTGTGGACTTCAAAAATGTTGAACCGGCATTGAGTGCTTCAGCAATGTCGAATTCACCGCATCCAGATTCCCAACATGAACAGCTCGGATTTCCATATTGAATTGTGCGAGGAATCTGAGCGTTGAGGATCCAAACTGAGGGCATGTCGGCATTGAATCCAGTGGTTCCATCTATTGGCATGCTAAATTCTAGAAGAAATACTTTGTTTGCCCCATTAAAACCATCTACAGATGTGTTAGTAATGACAAATGATCATTTTTAGTATGATAACTTACGATAAGCAACAGATCCTGGTCGCACGTAGCCACAATCATTGTTGCATTCTTCATCGAGCATGACAATAATCTCGGAGTCCGATGGCAAGGTGGTATCAGCGAGAATCTGAGGTGACGATGCACCGCCTGTGCCATTGCTATCTACGAAAGAAAGTGAAGCGCCATAAGCTTCATTGAACACGCCTGAACCTTGACCACCACTAGTGGAGAAAGACTCGATTAGTATTGCTCCTGGGTATGTATGAGGAGTGATGGAAAACTTTACGCCAAGTTTACCTGCGGACTTTCTAAGAGACACATGTATCTTGGGAAGAAAATGAAACTTACTAATTTCCAAGAAATACAAGATTATCAAGAGTCTGCTCAACAGAATCATAATAACCTATTCTGCTGTAAGATCCCGATCCTACAGCTGTGGTGGAGGCGGTTGCGCTTGCAGATACTTGAGACTCAGGAAGGGATGCGCTTGTGAATGATTGAGGCTTAGAAAAGGATGTAGTGGAGGATGATATGATTGAAGAAGTAGCTGTTTATGGATGTTAGCAGCCTAACATTTAAACTGGGATTCTGTTTCGTACAAGTCTCTTGAGCCTTTGAACCTGCAGCTGCACTCTGAGACATAACTTGAGATATGGTAGTAGATGCTTGAGATACCATCGTCGAAGTACTTGGTCCAAACCAATTGTTGATCCACGTTTGTTTCTCACTATCGATCGTGGCAGTAACCGGTACTGCACCGCCATCATAAGCATTAAGGCCTGGAGTAGGCCAGTTATTATCCCACGAGACAATTTGTCCATCAATGGTAGCATGGATCTCGTCGCGTTTCTTATTGCCTGCCTTGGCATGTTTCTCAAGATGCTGATGATAGCGACGGCGTCTAGCGGTTGAGCCATCACGTTTTTCCTTCCTAGTGGTAGTAGTACTTGGAGTGTATACTGCGAACTGCTTCAACCGAAGAGGTCCTGAATATGTTGTTAGTGCGCAAAGGGAGCCAGATTATGAATCATTGAAAATACCCCTAAAATGAAAAGACACTTCTTCATCTAATGGAGAGATCGGACCAGAAAAAGATTTTGGTGTGGAAGAACAAATTCCATTAGATGCCATATCGGTAACTTGATTGTATGTTCCTGGTGAGCCGACATTGCTATACAGAATAGCATCCACCGGATTGCAGTACAAATTTCCAAGAACCTCAGAACAGCCGCTGACCAAGAGTACTACTGATGATAAAATGAAGGCCGTAGCCAAAAGGTTATCGCGCATGATTGATTGTGTAAAGTCGAGTATGTGGGTATTTTATTTTCATTCGAATAAGGAACAGAAGGAATAGTAAGTGTTTTTGTGGATTGTAAGATAAATATGAACTGATGCAAGAGAAGTGATGTTCTATCCTTTGGTCGTACGATTTGTATTATTGGGGAGGGCTGAGGGTGATGGCTGAATGGTTTGCGACGGTGTAAGGTAAAGGCTTATGGAGGAGATTGTGTATTCTAGGTAGGAGTGTATGCTGTCTTTTGATTCTCGTGATTGGATCGTAATTCGTGAATAGTGAAATAGAATGAATGAATAAAGGGACGGACAGACGGAAAGATGGGTAGATGGATGGATGAGTGAACACTGCGAATGAATAATATAATATCCGTCGCAAACAAATATAAGTATGGCCAAGAAGAAGAAGAAGAAGAAGAAGAAGTACCAAAAGAGCGACTATAGTTAATAAATAAGGTGAACCAGAACCGCCTTAAGAGCAAACAGCAAAATGAAGGTGAAATGAAGGTTCAAGTGAGAAATCCAAGTGAAGTCTGAATGAATAGTCGTGGATTGAGGTACCTTAGGTTAGTTGAAGAGACACTTGATGAATAGATGAGAAAGGGAACGAAGTACGAAGAAGTGTGAGAAATGATAGTGAGGTAGGCAAGAGAGGACAAAATAGAATAAAATGTACTTGGGTAGGTAGGTGGGTAGGTGGGTAGGTGGGTAGGCAGGTAAGTATGGTTCCTCTTGCAGTGCAGACAAACGGAAGGAATCTTCAAGTAGGTACAGAATAGGAAGGATCAAACCTTTGAGATGAAGGAAGCAAAAGGGCAATAAAGTCCTCTATCTAGCTAGGTACATAGGTCGATAGAGCTGAGAAGCAAGCACAACCGCATCATCAGCAGATCAACAGCAGTTCTACGGAAAAAACCATGTGAGGTCAAATTAGCCGCTTACCTACCGAGCTGTGTATCAAAATAGTCAAGAGTACAGCTAAATCAACCATCCGTACCTGCATGATGAGCATAGATAACCGAAGTGAGCACAGCCAATCATAAATCATTCAGTCACAAGATCATCTATCACATAAAACAGACTGCTCGTGTTAGCTTTGCGCTTTCGTAGTACGACCTGAGTATTGTTTGCCCCCATTTCTGAGTTACGGATCAAGAATAATTTTAGATATAACAAATACTACTTACCTATCAACGGCGTGCTTTTATTTAATAAGGTACTACCTAGTAGGTAGTTACTCCTACAAGCATTTTGGATTTTGGATTTTGAGAATGACTTATTGGGTTGCCAATCAGGAGTCAAAAAACTACATCCACATACATTCTTCCTCTAGAGAAACAGAAGAAAAACAACAACTCAAATTAAAACATATATCAATCCTACAATACATCACCATTCACTATACACCGACATGTCATATAAATCAAGCACGTTTAACTCAAGATACAAAAAATGTGGAATTGAATTGAATCGCGGATAAGTTCAAAAAATGCATACATTATATATAGATTGGTAAATGCAAGGTATTGTCCAATGGTATCCGGCCTCCTTACTCCATCATATGAAGATAAATCTAATACTCTTTTCCATCGTAGTAACTACTACTCTGCTCCAAGTCACTCCACCAAGTCAAGTCTTGTCGAAGTCACTTGTGCTTCTCAAAAAGGCGGTTCCCAAATTTGCCTTGAACAGGATCCGCCTTGTTCAAATTGCTCTATGTATCGAGGTTGTAACTTTTTTCTTGAAGATCAACGCCCAGTTATGCTACACTTTACATAGTTCCCGCCATGACAACTGTCAAGTGGGCAGTGCTTTGTGAAATGTAACAGCTGCCATCACTGTTACCGATTGGCTCAGTGGCAGTCAACCAATAGTTTTGAGTTGGGTCACTAGTGCACTTAGGAGCCTCCTCACTGGTGATGGTCATGTTGTAGGTGTTGCCAGCTGAGTTCATGATAGCAGACATATCGTATCCAGAACCGGTCTTCAAGAATTGGGCCTCACCCCATGTGGTGTCATAGGCACCTGAGGCGGCGGTTTTGCTGCAGGCTTGAGCCCAAGCGACTTGCGAGTCCTCATCGAAGGCGACGGTTTGGGAACCACCAGCTGGGATGACGATGGTAAGCGTGGTGTTTTTTGGTGCAAGCGCAGATCCGGAGAGCGGTTGCAAGTCAGCACCGACTTTGTTCCAAATGTTAACGGTTATTTTGGAACTTTGTGTGTTAACAAACTTGGCAGTGTAGGAGTAGCTTGCCGATGGGTCGGCCTTGATCACGTTGGCTCCATATGGAGTACCATAGTTTCCGTAGTAGAAATCGGTCTTTCCTCCAGCAGCGGCTACAACTCCACCGAAAGATTTGCGACTGTTAGAAGCTCCAATCAAACTATCGAAGAAATCTTCGATGGAAGCTTCAAAGTCGTCGAGGAGAGACGAAGTTGTGGTCGCGGAAGGAGCGGAGGTGCTTGTCCTAGATGAAGAGCTGCTGCTTGACGAGGAGCTGCTGCTAGATAAAGCGCTTGTCTTGAAAGAGGAGCTGGCGGAGGTGGTACTGGCAGCTGCTGGTGCGGAAGTAGTTTGTGCGGCGACTTTGTTTCCTTCGAGATCGGCCACAGCGTTGAGAATAGACTTAGAGCTGGCGGAGGCGGCAGCACTACCAGAAGTCTTGACGGCCAGGCCTGCTTCATAAGCGGAAGACCAATTGACGCCCATTTCGGCCCAGTCCAATGACTCCCAGTCAACGTTGGCGCTATTGTCACTCTCATTAGCAATCGCTCTTCGGTATCTAATAATATGCTGTTCTTACGACTTCTTCTCATGTCGGTGTCGGTGGACGTGAGTAGGTCCAGCTACAGCTTCGCCAATGGACATGGCAGCCAAAACAATCGCGGTGGTTGAGTAACGCATTTTCGGAAATAAATGACAACTTTCAAATGTTCGCTGATGGGTATAGTGCTTTATTTAGAAAAGGGATCGTAGGAGGCCGTTGATAAAGAGCGTGCGAGCTGTGTATTGCTCAGTTGATTGATATGGCAAAGGAGTGTGTCGAACGAAAGAACGGCGAATTTCTTGAAACGGTGAAGAAGAGAAGTAAACGAAGAAGAGAGGGAGAGGTATTATTTAATAACCAAAGGTCATCTTAAATTGGGAAGATCATTTTCTGGGGTGCCTGTGAGCAGTTGGGGGGCTCCTTTGGCAACCAGGCTCCGACCTTAATCTTACGACCTTAGCCATTAGTAGAAGCCCTGGAACATTCAGATTTCATTTCAAGCCATGAGGGTGCAGGGGGTTGGATTGAGATGAACCCAAACAACGCGGATGGATGATGGTGGTCCACTGAAAACGCGTTCCTGGAAGTCGAAGTCCGAAAAAAAGGGGAAAATGATGGATAATTGGTCGGATAATTATCATTTCCACTCTTTTCCCGAGTACGCTATTCCAGGGGTAAAATGCCACGGCATCCACACTCACGGATCAACAATCAAAGTGTCAAGCACGGTAGGACCGTAGGAGGTCTGTTCCAAATTCCTATCTCAATCTTTTCATAACTTTACCGATACCTTGCTGTTCACATCGCTTTCTAGAGAACGGCCTTCCATTCTGTGTATCTAATTGGAGCCACGCAAATTAATGAAACAGATACCTTCTCTTTCGAGCAAGTTTGATCGAATCGTTCTTTTTTTTCTTTTCCTTTTCTTGCTGTTCTCCACTCGATGCAGCAGCCAATCCACGAAGTACAGAGTACATATGCAGGCAGGAAAACTTTTTTTGGTGAAAAGATGAAAACAAGGCGGATGATTAGAGATTAGAGATATACCCTTGAATTCAAATTGTGTTCATTCCGAAAATGGGTAGTGACTAAAAGGGATTTGGTCACATAAATCTCCGCTTATTCCGAGCGGGTATAAATGTTTTCATGATCTCTTATAATAATCTCCCTATAAGGAATATTGAAACCTTATAAAAAAGTTTTGTTATATCAGTAGAGCAACGCTTCAGCGGTGACTTTAATACTGGATGTATAAGTCTAGAAAGATTCTAAACTATTTATCTAATTGAAAAACAGCCTCTTTCAAAATTTTCTATCTAAATACTCCCCCCCACTAACTCGCTAAGAAAATAAAGATTAATTCATCGATAATCCCGACTTTCCTTCCTTCCTTCCTTTCTCCTCCTGTAAAGAAAGACTAAAGTTTCAAGGTTCGCCCCTTCCTCACCTCCAAGCATTTCATAAACAAAAACAAGACCAAACAAAATCACGAATTAGATTTTATACATTTGATTTCATATAAAGCCGTCGTGCTGACTTGTGTTCATCGTCGTCATACTTTATGCACTCTTGCATATGATGTACGTAGTAATTAATGAATGGGTTTGTCTATCCTAGTCTCCAGACCTATAGGGATGGAGATGGGTGGGTTGGATAGGGATATTGTGGTTCTTTATGATATACTTTTGTAGAAGAGTTTTTTAGTTTTTGGTCTGGATTCGTAGATAATGATGATGTATTGTTGATGTGTGTTACGTTTGGTTGATGTTGGAATGTGAATTGGGAGAATATCTAGTAGGTAGGAAGGGCTACTTTGAAGACTGAGGATTTGGGAGGTACATAGATAGGTTACGGACGGACAGACAGACAGACAGACAGGTACATATCACACATGTAATTTCTCTTGCATTATTATATGTATGCATATCTGCATACATACATTTGTACATATACACGCACGCACATATATATGTGATAAACATCACGAGTTACATAAAGCTGCAGTACGTAGCTATCGATGTGCTTCGTACAGAGGTACAATCAATGCTGGCCTACACAGCATTCATATTTTACTCTGCATAGGATAGGTACGGAGTATGGGATAATATAATAAGCATTTTCGGACGGAAGGTAGGTAGGTACAGTAACTCCTTCCTTCCCTAGCATTGTCGTCCGAGAGAGTCTCTTATTCCTATTCCGAAAGTCATACTCATACTATACCTACCTAGTCATATTCATATCCTCCCCCTTTTTAAGGATTTGTCCACCCCAGCCACCAGCTGATGTACATACATATCAAGACAGACAGATAGGTAGGTATCTATAGATGGATGGATGGATGGATGGATTAACAAAACAAGCCTCTTCATTCACTCATCCATCCATCCATTCAATGCAATCCCATCACTCTAAACTATACCCAAACACAAATATAGAAAAATATATAACACCCTCCCAAATTTAACTGTCTCGAACATCTAGATATAGCGAACTTTTCTCCCCGCAAATACTTCATCCGTCCGTACTCTGTATTGAATGGATTGAATTGATTCATTGATTCATTGATTACTGCGAGACAGGAATTGCGACGACTTTTGACATTTTGGGATTTGGGGATGGTTCTAGAATGGGCGAATAGGTGGATGGATGAATGGATAAGTGGACGAATGGGAATGGGCAAATGATTGATTGATTGTACAGAGTATTAAAGTAACTATGATTTTTTGGCGATTTATTATATTGCTTTGTAGATAGTTAATATATCGCTACCGTGTATTTCTTTTTTGGATTTTGGATTTTATTTTTATTATTGTTTTTTTTTCGATGTTTATGATTCGTATACATATACGTATACGAGCTCGGAGTACAGGAGGTAGACGTAGATATCAAATCACCAATTCGGGATCGAAACACTAATTGTTTTAAAGGATTTTACTCGATCCATATTAACTTATAGCTACCAACCGACTAGATAGGTAAATCATCATTCATACCTGAGTTATCCCATCAAAGGCTCCTCGCTAAGCTTCTTCTTCCCATGATTCATGATTCATCCCATCCGACGTACTCAAGTTTCAGGGTCTGCAAAGAGAGACCTAGAGACCTTTAGTTGGTGAATTTTAGGCCAGATGGTTGGTTGGTTGTTTGTTTTACCGTTTTTACTGTTTTACTTGTTTACTGGTTTACTGGGCTCGTTTTACTTCTTACCGACACTGATGGACTATGAATGATAGATAGGTCGGTCTACCCGGTAACAGTTGACTGACCGTGCTGAAGCTCCTGATAGATGGATAGATAGATAGCAAGTCGAAACGAATTGAAAGATACGTACAGCATACGGAGGAACACAGTAAGGTTACTCCTACTCCGCACAACACAACAAACGCGTGTTTCCTAAGAAGTCTTTTTTGGCTCCTACGTACGCCGTCCATCATTCGAGAGTATACTCTACAACGTCAATGATCAGACTAAGATAATATTTGGCAAAGCATACTTGCTATACATGTCAACCACCTACCCCGTACTAGAAAACAGCTAGAGATTATCAGAAGAAACCCCGAAAGATGGCTAAGACTAGAGAAATGCTAGAAGAACGAAAAAAGGTTCTAGATTTCCATGTGGCATTTTCATGGTTGTCTAATTGGTCTCGGCTGCTTAGGGTGTTACGACGCCGGATGGTGGGACTTCAGTGGCATTTTTGAGCGTTGAAACTTGAAGGGCCGGCCGGAATGTTTTTGTGTGTGTGTGCGTAGCTAAGTACGTAATGTATGGAATGTCCTGCGGGTAGATAGATGGACCGATGGAGGTTATCTGTACGGAGTTTAAGTTCTTGTTTATTTTCTACATAATATAACTCATTACTCCTTACACCGAATAAGCACAAATAAATATAAGGCTGTAATCTACATAATAGCCAGTCTCAACGACTAAACTTTATAATCTTATACTAACTAAATAACACGAGTAGGTTAGGTTAGGTTAGGTAGATTAACTCAAAAATTAGACAGACCGACGGGCAAGTTCCCGGCGCTTCTACCACGTATCGTATCGTATCGTATTTTGTTATTTGCTCGATAGGCGGTGTATATGTACAGCGTAGGATTGATCGACTTGGTTGATTTGTGATTTGCGAGATTTTTGGGCTGCTGGGCTAAGTTTTGAGTTTTGAGTTTCGGATTGTCCTTTTCATGGGCGTGGGTGGATTGTTGATTGTTGATTGTAGGTATCACGGATGGTTTTATACTACACCTGTAGTAGGAATTAGAATTAGGAGTCTATTACGTATTTCCTTGTGTGGATTATTATTTGCTTGCTTTTTATATAGATGGATGGATGGTATGAATATAATATTATTTATTGTTCTACTTGCGAGATCTCGTCATGTACAGGAGTATTGTAGATTGTATGAATTGATGATTTATTTCGCTTAATCATTACATCTGTAGTGGGAGGATATTATTTTATTTTCTTCTTGAGAATACCTAGGTATAGGGTAAGATAGATAGTATTAAGCGCCTGTTTTGTGTTTTGTTTATTATGTGATGTGATGGGATGGGATGAGATGAAATGAGATGAGATGGGATGAATATTCGAAGTTGGAGTATGGGGTCGGTAGATCAAATGGAAGGGAAGGGAAGAGATGAGATGGAGTGAGTATCTGGGATGGGATGATCTGGCACGGTTGACGTTACAGAATTGAGGTGAAGTGAGATAGGATAGGTGAAACGAGAAAGTACCATTCCTTATTTGCTTCATCTGATGATAATAATAATAAATGTATCTACATCATCCCAAATACCATCCGCTATATATGAAAAGCTAGCACATAGTGTTATAAACCGTCCCATCGTTTCGGCTATCAACACAAAAACATTACATTCCAGTTATTTTCAAGTGTAAAGAGTATGATCCATATCCGATTTAATCTTGTGTTGTATATTCTAAGATCTCTGCAATGTATCTGCCTGTTCATGCCCTATCAGCATTCTTCTCCCTTCTTTTCTCATATGGAGAAGTAGATATATCGTAGTTTACGCCTTTCCAAATACATATCCATCCGTATCCATATCCATATCCATAACCATAACCTGAACCTTAAACCTATCCATAACCAAATTCCATTCCAGGTTCCCAACATCAAAGCAGCTCATAAAAATGCGTGAATAGCATTAGGTGTAATAAAGCCCAGTAGTAGTAAGTAGCTTACAGTATATACTCTACCTTACCCTCGAGGTTTCAATTTCGTCCATCCACTCGTTCCAGATTTCTTATCTTGATCCTTATCCTTAGCCATTGCTGCTGTAGCATCCCTCTTTCCCTCTCCCCTATCCTTCTTAGCACCATGCGTTAGCCCAAAAGAAAGCCTCTCTGCAATTCCCGTATTGATACCAGGCACTTCACCAACCATTTCAACCGCGTCCATTACAGTTCTCATACTCATAAAACTCTGCATCCCAGCCATATAATCTCGCTCCCTTTTCACCTCAGGAGTCCCTGCCTCGGATTCCTCTTTCCTAGCCCCCACCACAACCCCATCACTGCGCATTTCATCCTCCATCGCCCATGCATCCTGGCTCAAAACTTCCCATTCTGCATTGGCCACTTCGCTCATGAGTTTACTTTTCAATTTGTCAGCCAGTTGATTCGGACGCGGAAGTTTGAAACCGCGTATGAATTCTGCCCCTTCTGCACTGCCGAGGAATGAATATGCAGAACCATGACTAGCCCAACCCAAAAGCGAACGTTCAACTTTGTGATTCTTTTTGTCTTCGCCTTCGATGTATCCATCAGAGTCTAGATTTTTGGGTGAAGACGGGTTGAGAGGTGCCGAGCGTGGTGTGGGTTGTAGATGTGGTTTATCACCTATGAGAAGTTTCCATAGGTTTTTACCTATGTTGCAGATGTCTTCGAAACTTGTGGTACCATTTTCTCCTACAGAGACCCCTTGACTTTTACATAGCCAAGCTACATTATATGCGAGGAGGACCGCACCTTCGAGGAAATAAGTATGGACTGCCGAATCCTCGTTTGCTAATATGGGAAGAGGCTTGTTAATCCACAAAGGTCTGGGCCTAGGTTGATTGGGATTTTCGGCATGGCGAGAAGTGGAAGGACTGTTGCTTGAGCTGGACGTCCCTCCAGGAAATGGTACATTGGTATGCAGATATGATGAAGCTAAAGAGAAGATCGTGGGTAAAGGATAATCTCGATGAGGAAGGGTCACTTCTGCAGGTAATCGGGTAGCGAGATAGTGAGTAGCTAGCATGAGAACATGAGTGATGTGAGATAAGGAGGTAGAGATCTGGGCAGGGCTCGCGGCTGTAAATGACTGTTAGCATTGTGTTTGGTTTCAGAAAGCGAGCACGTACTGTTCATCAACCTCAAGTCTACTATGCCGACGCCACCTATTTTATATTCTTCTCCGCCAGTACTTCTTTTGACTCTCTGAAGCCCATATAACTTGGCAGCTTCGTAGCAAAGATAAGCCCTAGAGCCAGCGATAAGGTTATATGCTTGGTTCCATCTGTATTTCGTTCTGCGAGTAGAACCCTCGATATCTTGGATTTGCTTTGTCCTCCGAGCTTCGATTCCGCTTGAAGCTGAAATAAGGTCTGCCCTTCTCTGATCATTTGCGGCCTTCTTCTTGCTGCGCTCCTCCTTTGCACGCTCGAGCTTTGCCTTCAACTCATCTGCATGAGCAATAATCTGGTTCGTGCGGTCTATGATTTTCTCTCGTTCAGCGAGTAATGCATCGTAATTTGACTGGGTGACAACCAAAGGTGGTTCATTTTCGTGTTTGATCCCTTTTGAAGACGGCGACGGGAAGCGCTCGCTGATTTCTCGATCAAGGGCATCCTTTTCTACGAGAACGCCAGCGGTTTGGACTCGAAATTCGTAAAGCTGGTTGCGCGCATCTGTGGGACAAAGGAATGGAAGTTTATGCCCGCCTGTACGGAAACATATATCGCACTGCATGTCGTGCAGATATTGACAAAAGGACGTTGTTTTAGATGTTGCAGGAGTTGATGTATGTTAGTCCCGAGATTATCAAAGAGTGTAGGTTTGTATAATTCTAGGGAGGCATATAATACATGATGCAGAATACAAGAAGCTTCGCTAGTAAGAGGATTCTATGATTTAATAGTGTTCCAATGAAGATGTAGGGCTTGAAGTATATATTGGAACAATTAGGAATGTATTGAATGTATTGTGCGTCAGGCTGAATGATCTAATTGTAATGATCATTGCCTCGCCTTATCTCGACTCGCTTGCTTATCATCACATGATTAGGCGCCATTTTCGCGGCAATTACAACGAGGCTGTCAAACTTTAACGTTGAGTTCACTATTACAGCAGCTACAACGGTAGCACATTCAACTAAACCAGCTCCACTGGTCCTGCCGCTTACGATCAAAGTCTTCCCTTGGAGAAGATTTTAGCTTATTTTAGCGATTATCCTTATTCAACTTTTCCAATGTCTCAAATAAATCACTCTCCTCCCAAAACCCCGCGTCGTCCAATTATGGCTATCGTCAACGAAAAACTCGCAGAGAAATCGGCCGCCAGAGGTATTCCAAGTACACCAGCTTTAACCCCTTCTTCTTCCAAGCTACCTCAAAAAATTCGTGGTGTTAGTTCAAACCTGCTGTCTACTAGTATTCAAGTTCCCGCCACGCAATCTCCAATCTCGTCACCCCTCAGGAGCTCACACATACTAGAACATAACGATCACGCCGACGATGTCAGTCAAGATATAGACATGATACCACAAGCAGAGCCAGGCGCAGGAGACGAGACGGTCATTAGTATAGACAAATCAGATTCCAAGAGAGACCTCGCACCAATGAACTGGAGTGGCTTTGAGCAACGCTATGCGGAGGCTATCAAGGAATTGAACGACAAGGAGGATCAGTTGATTGAGGACTTCAACCATCTTTCCGAGGTTGGTCTCTTGATATGATATACATCGTCAGCTCTAATTCTTTAAAGGCATTTACAATCTGGGCGGATTCTTCGGCAGAGCGAGATAATGGGAGGGCATTGAAACGGTAAGTTGTATTTTATATTTCATATTTTATATCGAGCTACTAACTAACATTTACTTAGTTTAAAGACGAGAGAGAGATATGTGCAGATACAAGAGAGGTCATTGGAGGACAAAAAGTTGCATTGTGAGTCGCTCTTCTAGCATTTTCCTTTTCTATGCTGATTTGGCTCTCAGATACGAAAGTTGTTGAGGCATTCAAGCAGGCTCTCCAATTATTTGGAGAATGACTGCTCGTTTTGCTTTTCATTTTTACATGGTATAGTAATATGGTTAATTTCCGGGAAGCCATATTTTTGCTCTATTTGGCTGGAACATAGGCGCAACAATGGGAATAGGCGTGGCAGAGGTTCTGAATTTCACGGAGGCCATATTTTTGCTTTATCTTACTGGGATATAAGGTGCAACAAGGAACTATTTGTGGTTGATATTGCTAAGATACCCTATTTCTGTTTGTTCATATATTACGATATGAGCTTTTATAAACTTCCCAATCGCAATTGCAGTGGTATTTTCGATTCAGCAAGACATACTTATTTTTTCCATGTCTGAAGTTGCCAATGGCCCTTATTTAAGACCAAGCTATTGGAGTAATAGCTGAGGTGACAGAATTGCTGTAAGATAACAAGTACACAGTCTAATTTACAGAATTTTGATCTTGTGATGTTGTGGGAGCGCTTACTATGTCTACAGCCATCACGTAATTGTCTGTCACTCCTGTGACGGATAATCTGAGGTATAGATAATTGTGATATTGATGTTTCTCAAATTCATAGGATATATCTCATGAGAAAATATACGAGCGTCAGCAGCATCATTACGATCACATAACATTATGAGTGGTATCATCCAGTTTCAGGAACTTCAAACACGAACCATACAGAATTGATGATTTATTGTCCTAATTCTCGTACTCTTCTCGATGGCGAGTTTGCCGGTCAATTCGAATGCAAAGTGGAATGTACTATTCCTGTCTGAAATCACCAGGAGACATCGAACCTCCTCCTTGCCTCGCCTGCTCTCAAAGACTTCAGGGGGAATGCCATTCGTTTCTGATTTGAGTACTATCTACTAGCTTAAGCAAGATTTTTCGACGAAGTGGGAAGAACGACCTCTGAAGGGAGTCTTTGAATGTTCGAAACTACTCTGAACAATATTCTGAAAAGATTCAAATGTTCAATTCCATATTCAACACACTCAAATGATGGGTGTCGGCCCGCATCTTAGTGTACAGATTCTACACTAGCGTTTCGGCCACCGTAGCCCACCATAAATTTTGAAAACTTTCTTTTTATTTGCTGAGTGAAGATTCTCATCCTTCAAGCAACATGACAACACAAACACCTGCGATCACGCCTCAGATTGCGCGTCGCCATGTCTGCGCCGGAGGTAACTCAGGTTAGTTTATCCATTTATCTATGTTATTTTATAATACTAATTAATTGTAGAATGACTTCATGGCTTTCCATGCCGCTCACTTTGGCATTACCTCAACTGAACATTTCGCGCAACAATTCTTGGGTCCCGTAGAGGATACATATGAAGCAGAGGTCGAAGATGATGGTCTTGGGTACTATCCAGATGGCGTCAAAAGAACCTTGACCGATGAACAAATCGCGATCTTTCGACATTCCGAGATTCAAGCGATTCTTCGAGAGCGCAGACATGCCGCAGAGTCCAATGAGACTATCGCTGAGCAAACCACATCCGGAAATCCCAATACCGACCACGTAGAAGTGGATGAAGCTGAGGAAGAAGATGGAGAGGTTGCTCAGAATTTCTCGCATCCTGACCCAATTGGACCTGTGCGACCAAAGAAGAAGTCAAAGAAGGAACTGAAGAAAATAAGAAAAGCGCAAGAAGCCAAGGAGAAGGGCTGGTTCAAGCAGAACGTCAAGCCTGACTTACGAAAGAGGACTTGGGACAAAGTAGAAAAGTCTATCGGGTCTCTAGCGTACGATGATGATGAGGGTGGTGGTAATAGCCATGCCTCAAGCTCAGCACCGCAGAGAAGGAAGGTATCTTATGATGATCCTTAAGCCACCTATAGCTTGATCTGATTCAAGCTTCGATGGTAGCTTGCATTATTCATTCAAAAGGTCAGTGCTTCCTCTTCTCACCATGTTCGCGCCGCCGACCGAATGATGAAAACCTTCGTATCGTCATCCTTAGTCGGAACTGGCAAGTATACTCTGGCTCTTTCGGCCAGCTTTGGCTTGCCTTAGCTCGTCGACATTTTGCTCTTGTATACATTGCTGGTCTTGATGAGACATAATCTTCTCTCTGAAATATGTTTAAGCTTTTGCATCCATACCGTTACGCACCCTTTTTGAGAGCCCATGCTGATCGTAGTAGTCACCAAATCTGCTTATGAACGTGTGTCAGCACAGAATAGTTCATAGTCGATTTCAAATTCGATCATTGCACTCTTTCTTTAGGTATGATGAAATACACTTTTTCTTTAGCTTTTATGATGACAAAGGGCCATGAGGCCTGAATAATCCCAGCTCGTCGAGTGCCTCACAATAAACGCAGAGTGCATACTGAGAGATAAAACCCGTTCTGAAAAGCAGTCATTACATCTTATCTTTTAAATTACTTCCACAAACTGCGTACTGACAGTTATGTATAGCTTAAGTTCTACCTACATACACACCCAATCCCGATGATTTCATCCCCGCCATCTCGCTGCACAATATCTCAAGATTTCATTGTCGGCACCTGGCTTCCAGACCACAGTCTTTGCGGACATGAACCGTCTTTTCCTATTTTCTTTTTCAAACTAATGAGGGAATCAAAGTTCTTTCAAAGCTGCCATCATATATTGTGGCCCTAGTGAAGAAAAGGATAGTGGGATTGGACATGGAAGTTTTTTGATAGCGACTTTTGAGCGCAAACTGTCTTCTTAGAGGAACCCACTGGGTACATTTGTGAAGGAGTGGAAATTGTAGGAAGGTCACAATATTTGCAATTAATTTTGAACAAGGGCACGGGAGTTGGATACAAGACAAGGCTGGGTTGTAGCCTCGGATACTTGGCATCAGCCGACAGACAAATCTAAAGCTCCAGCTTCTTTCAATGCAACATTTCTGACAACCAATATCCATCCTTCCATCACCATCAAAAACTGAAAATGAGTGACCCTCCAGGTTATGACCAAGATCTACTGAATCGACTTAATGCTTTGAAGAAAACCAACATTCAGCTCGATGCATCTACTACGTAAGCCGGCAATCAATATAGCCTTGTTGTCACATGCTGAGTCCTTAGTCGCACACCACTAAATGTTCTTGCAAAGGAGCCAACACCTGAAACAGGCCTATCCGAAAGACTTCGAAGTCTACGAAATGGGACTCCATCAAGATCTTGTGCTTCTAAAGCTCCCGTGCCCGTCAGCACCCCATCGCCTCCACGGCAATCCAAATTCTACAATGAAACCGCCGCGCTGGATGCCACTCACCTGTTTTCAAATGATGCCCACGATGACAAATCTTTAGACGAACTTCTAGCAGAATTAGGCTCCGGATCCGAGTGGCTTGACCCCGATGATCCAAATGATATCCAAAAGCTCCTTGATGAAGCCAAGAAAGCTTTACCCGGTGGCGATGATGTCGCTGCAGAAGAAACAACATCAAAAGAGGCTTCGGAGGAGAATACCCGGAAAGGTAATATCTTAACAACCAGTCTTGATATGTCTGTATTTACCCTAGACGACCAGGAACATGAAGATCCTGGTAGTCATCACATCGAAGGTTTGGAGACCGAATCACGTGAAGTGCAGGATATTGTTGCGAGGTTGTTGGATGAGGTTAATCTCGAGAGAGGGGATGAGGACGAAGCTCAAGAAGAGCAGGATCGGGGAGCGAGAGCTTGTGATTTCGGTAAGGATAAGGATAAGGATAGGTCATTCTCGTCGTTTTTAAAATACCATCAAAATGATGATGAAGAAATGTCAGCCTTTACACTTCCTTTCGCACCATCTACACTCCCGGAACCGAGTCGAAAATCTATTGATTTCGAAGAGGATATTACGGCGAGATTAGCTGCGCTTACGGGTCTTTCCAGCTCTACTAGTGATCCCCTCGGTTTACCTTCAGCACCAACTACTAAACCCGTTGAGAAACTAGCGAAGCCCTCGAAAGGAGCACCGGAATCGAAAGGCGGACTAAAAAAATACACAGATGAGGAAATGGATACGTGGTGTATTATCTGTCAGGATGATGCGACGGTGCAATGTGTAGGTTGCGAGGGAGATTTGTATTGTGCGAGGTGTTGGAAGGAGGGGCATATGGGGGTTGATGCGGGATGGGAGTTTAAGAGACATCAGTGGAGGAAATGGGAGAGGTCTGGTTAGGTGGGAGGTTTGCGGGAGGGGTGGAAGGTGGTTGGTTGTGTTTTTGAGTGTGTTTTGTATTCTTGGGAGGCCGGGGATGGGTTGGGGATTTTCTTGAGTGATAGATGGTTTAGATGATGGTATGATAGGTTATTGTCGCTGATTTTGGATATATTACTGGTCAGTGCGACATAAGTCTACCTATTAAAACATATCATACGATATACCATCCCATCCCATCCCATCCCATCCAACATTAGCTAATAAATTCATTATACATTTCATGTCAAATAAAAAGAATTTACATACAAGTCCTAATGAACTCAACAATACGCTTCAAGTTAGATTTTTAGAACAAATATGTTATCAAAACCCCTACATCACGAATATCACAATAAAAATGAAACTGAATACAAGAAACGTGAAGTTAAATGGAAGAAAGGGAAAGTAGCAAATAGATGAGGGATGCGTGGATGGATGAGTGAGGACTTTCGTAAATTAGAATAAATTGTTTTGAGCATGTGAGGATTTATGAGGCGATTTGGGACTGGGATAGGTTGGTTGTGCACAACTTATACATGATAAATAAACTAGAGACGTTTCACAATTTACATAGGGTATTAATGTGATATTTCGCTGTTTACATTCTGGCTTTCAAAATGACTACAATGATGATACACACTTTGTTCTCTCCTACCATATCGCCCCGACGATAGTCACAGGCAGTATTGATTGCCACTCCGCTAGTCTCCATAGTGACAAGTTTTTCCGCTGGTAACCATATTCATATATTCCAATGCAAAAGAAAAAAGGAAATCCTTAAACCAAGTCCGGGTATGCTGTACAAAATGCAGCTTCTCAAATCAACGCCATACTTGTTTCCAATACCATCCAGATCCAACCACATCCGACCACCAACAAAAGAAAATGGCAATTTCATAGAGAAAGGCTTGAGATAGATAGTGATAGGCGATTAATCATCATCGTGATCATCATCACCACGGATCCCTCGGCCAGCGGCACCCCTGCTAGGAGTCTGGTTTTTGGCTTTACCACGGATATCTTGCCATGTCACACCGAATCTTCTGCCAGTAGTAGCAAGAAGGCCTTCTTCCTCATCCGCCTCAGCATCTTCATCCAGCTCGCTGAGATCCAACTTAGGAGTTCGGAACAGCGCAGTGACGAAGACAATCAGGAAGACTGCGAGGAAAACAAACTGAGCCCAAAATGCGAGAGCACCGAAGAAGGGGAAGTTGACGGTAACTCTGTTGAGGAAAGTAGAGACAACTGTAGGAGTGCAGACCTTTTCAGCGCCTTCGCCTGAAGATAGCTCACTGCAAGTCTTGATCAATTCTGGGTGATTGCTGCAGTCTGGCTGGTCGCCGGGAAATCTAGTAGGATTGGTGCAGAAGGTTTGGGCGCCATAGATAGCATATTGTGGTGCAATGATCATAGCAATCGAGTAATTTATTGCAAGAATGATCAAGGTCAACATGACAGTTGCCATGAGAAGAGCTTGAGGAGAGGTGTGACCTTTTCGTATCTCAAAAAGCCTTACCCACAAGAATCGAAGACCGATCACAGCAATACCTGTCACTGAACTGCTAAAGAGGAACAGGACTAAGAGTGCCATCAAGACATAGTCAATTGGGAAGACGGTAGAAGATTTGACGAAAACCCAATTGATGGGCTGGAAGATATTGATACTAGATTGTGAATTAGCCAAAGAAAGAAAGAAAAAAAAAGAGAATGACAGGCAACGCATGTCTTACCTTCCTAAGATATAACCGCAATGTTGTTTACAGAATGAGTTCTTCGCCTTATCAATTCCGGTAATGAGCATGGAAACCCATATAATAACAGAGAGGAGCAGGAGTAGTATTCCTCCCACGAGTTTGAGAGGTCTGAAGATTGCGCAAGTCTTGGTCCATGCTCTCACAATGAAGCTCTTCCCCTCCCCACGAGCCTCCGCGGCCAGACGTTCGCGTCGAACCAAAGTACGTTCTTCGCGATGTAATGCTTCCAATTCTCGCTGGTCTTTAGCCGACAATCCTGCATTCCTTCCGACGTTTCGTCCTTCGAGTTGACGTTGACGTTCCCTGTTTTGCTCTAAAGCCGATGCTGTTGTTTCTGAAAGCTGTGGTGCACTGATTGAAGGTGCAGATTTGATGAAAGACATGGGTAATAATGCCAATCCAACAGATGTGTAAAGGATGTACAACAGCGTGCCCAAGGAAATCAATAGGCCCAACGCGAAAGTTAAGGCGCGCTCCCCGTGGTTTTCAGCTAGCAAACGTTTGAAATAGTCCAGATCCATATCAGATCCACCGCCTCTTGCGACAGGCGCAAAGAATCCAACCAGGAATAAGATTACGACAAGAACGACAAAAACCAATGTGTATTTTGCAGCACCTAGGAGTCGCTGGCCAAGTGTCTGTGTGCCTTCTTCGGTGTCGACCTCATCGTATTCCTCATAGAAGAAATAGGTAAATGGAATGACAAGAAGGCATAAGACGGCATCCAAGCTGTACAATGCATAGTAAACGATTTTGAGAGTCAGGAGAATGTTGTGAACAGTCTCGGGAGTGGCCCAGTCTTTCTTTGCGCCGAGCTTCGAGGATGTCGTAGAGCTAACAAGGGCAATATCAACAGGAAGGAGTAACACTGTTGCCAATAAGGAGGTCAAGGTGATGATGGTAATTGTAGAGACCAGAGCTGATCGATCGCGTGGTGTCTGATATGTATAGGCAAAAATAGCAGCTATGAGAGCAACAGTGCCTACAGCAACAGCATAGGCAACCCATATAAACGCAGTCTGTATGAGCGCCATGTTGCAGGCGAGGGGTTGATACTGGAATTAAAAAAAGATATTAGTAGTGCTTGTATTGTTGATGCTGGATCTGTATGAAGTTGGAGGGCGAGAGAGAGATTACGCTTGCGGAAGCTTAGCAAACAAAAGGAAGGATCTTAGTACCTCACGAATGAATGTTTTAATGAATGAATGAATTGATTGTAACTATTAATATTCTTCTCGCCGCAAACAAAATTGTTATTCAATGTCGAAGTTTTAATTGTGTTTTATTTAATAAGTCTTACTTCACTTCCTTGTTCCATCTATTAATACCTACCTAGAAATTCAATATACAGGATTCTAGACGTCTGACGTAAGGTTCACGGGGTTGACATTCAAAACCCCAAAGCTGCTGCATGAGCTTCAAGCTTCAAGGCAGAGAGTGAAGGTGATAGGTCAGCGATAGCCAAAGCACTGACAACGCTAAAATTTGTGTAAATCGCGGGTTCGCGACGCATCGACATTTGATTAGACTGGCAATGTGAACGAATCTACCTATTGACAGGTCGGAATAAATCAGAAATTATATTACGAATTGATGGTCTTAATGCTTTACTTTTGACCACAATGCAATGCTATACGGAGCTGACACCTCCTACAGCTGTCACACATTCTTTGAGCCTTCCATTTTTGTCGGCAGATGCCAGAAACCTCATCGTCGCAAAAGCTTCGTTGCTGCAGATATTTACAACTAAGACCATATCCGTGGATCTCGACGATCTTACTGGAAAAGATTCATCAGTAGTGAAAGATTTCACAAGTACCGATCCTAGGGCACATGATGAAGATGGAGTTGAAGCTTCCTTTCTCGGCGCAGATTCAATTTTACCGCGATCCGAATTAGCTCGAACGACGAAACTCGTACTTATAGCTGAATATAATCTATCCGGGACAGTTACATCTCTTGTGCGAGTGAAGACGATATCCTCAAAGACTGGTGGTGAAGCATTGCTGGTGGGATTCAAGGATGCAAAGCTCAGTCTCGTAGAATGGGACCCAGAACGACCAGGCATATCAACGATATCAGTCCATTTTTACGAACAAGACGAACTACAAGGAAGTCCGTGGGCACCTAGTCTTTCAGATTGTGTCAATTACCTTACGGTCGATCCGGGAAGTAGGTGTGCTGCTTTGAAGTTTGGGGCTAGGAACCTTGCGATTCTTCCTTTCAAACAAGACGAAGATGTCAATATGGATGATTGGGATGAGGAGTTAGATGGCCCTCGCCCAGCGAAAATCTCACAAAAAGCTGCTGGGGAAAATGGAAATCTCGATACCCCATATGGATCCTCTTTTGTTCTACGATTGTCTTCGCTCGATCCCAGCCTCATCTTTCCGATCCACCTTGAATTCCTCTACGAATATCGGGAGCCAACTTTTGGAATTCTCTCCTCTACCATGGCTCCATCGTCTGCTTTGCTCCAAGAGCGCAAAGATCACTTGACATATATGGTATTCACCCTGGACATACATCAGAAAGCGTCAACCACAATTCTCTCCGTTGGGGGTTTGCCTCATGATCTCTTCATGATCGTTCCATTAGCCCCACCTGTGGGCGGAGCCCTTCTAGTTGGTGCCAATGAGCTGATACATATCGATCAAGCTGGTAAAGCCAATGGCGTCGCCGTGAACATGTTCGCCAAGCAATGTACCAACTTCAGCCTATTGGACCAGTCCGATCTTGCGCTTCGGCTAGAAGGTTGCAAAATCGATCAACTATCTATTGAAAATGGCGAAATGCTCATCATACTGCATGGTGGTGATATTGCTATTTTGAGCTTTCGCATGGATGGAAGATCCGTCTCTGGTCTGAGTATTCGACGAGTAAGTGCAGAATTAGGCGGCGGTATATTGACGGGAGCTGCATCATGTGTAAGTTCCCTTGGAGCAGGTGTATTATTCGTTGGTAGTGAGGTATCGGACTCTGTCGTTTTAGGCTGGAGTCGAAAGTCAGGCCAACCTTCACGTCGGAAGTCGAGGCTCGACAGTTCAGCAATATCGGATGTTGACGAAGCTATGCTCGATGAAGAAGATTTAGAAGATGATGACGATGATCTATACGGTGATGGGCCCACGGTCTCACCCACGACTGCCAATGTCACAGCTTTGAACAGTAAAGCTGGAGACTACACATTTCGTATACATGATTCCATGGTCAATATAGCTCCCATCACTAACATTACATTTGGGGAAGTAGCGTTGAGCTCGGATAAGGAAGAAGAGCTCAAGATTACGGGAGTCCAAAGTGAGCTTCAGCTTGTAGCCGCTGTGGGTCGTGAAAAAGGAGGTTCTCTAGCCGTCATTAACCGTAATATACAACCCAATGTTATAGGCCGATTTGAATTACCTGAAGCTCGTGGTATATGGACCATGAGCGCAAAGAAACCTGCGCCAAAAGGATTGCAGGTCAACAAAGAGAAGACAGTCATCGGTGGTGATTATGGCGTTGATGCTCAATATGACAGACTAATGATAGTTTCCAAGGCATCTGGAGCTGAAGATGCTATTGAAGAATCAGCTGTTTATGCATTAACGAATGCAGGTTTTGAGGCTTTGTCAGGAACAGAATTTGAACCAGCTGCTGGATCCACAATCGAAGCTGATACGCTTGGTAATGGAATGCGTGTCATTCAAATCTTAAAGTCTGAAGTAAGAAGTTATGACGGTGGTAAGTCCACTCCTTTTCTTGAAATTATGCCTTTCACATGGTGTGTGGTCGGATGGGCAAATAGGTTGGGACAAGTCTGGGGAACTTTTGTATTTTTCACTCATGTATTTTCGCTGCCCGGGGCGCTATCTGGAAATCTATCATATCCTTTAGCATCAATGAAAGCGAATTATCAACATCACAACTGTGCCTCCATGCAATCTGCTCCCTGCGACATGTCTCTTCCTGCCATTTCATGATAGAAACGTAGCTGACTGTGTATCTGTGGTGTAGATCTTGGTCTCGCACAAATATTGCCAATGCTCGATGATGAAACTGGAGCAGAACCAAAGATCATCAGTGCAAGTTTTGCAGATCCGTTCCTTCTACTAATAAGAGATGACGCGAGCATTTTTGTTGCACAATGTGACGATGACAATGACCTTGAAGAGATAGAAAGGGTTGATGATGTTCTGCTTTCCACGAAATGGCTCACTGGCTGTTTGTATGACGACTATAGCAGGGCTTTCTCCGATAGCAAGTCGAGCAAGCCAGGAAAAAATGTGAAGATGTTCTTGCTCAGTGCTGGTGGAGGATTGCACGTGAGTGCCATCTGAATATTTTCATTGACCGATTTCTAATACTTTCAGATTTACGCACTGCCTGATCTTTCAAAGCCGGTCTATGTGGCGGAGGGAATATGCTTTGTACCACCTGTTCTCTCAGCAGATTATGCAGCGAGAAAATCTGCAGTTCGGGAAACGTTGACCGAAATATTAGTAGCCGACCTAGGAGATTCAGTATCTCAGTCCCCCTATCTCATTGTAAGACTTTCCATTTTGTTCTACTTGATTTCACACTGACCTTCTTAGCTGCGACCATCAAACGATGATCTTACCATTTACGAGCCCTTCCGCATCGCGTCTGCATCTCCTAATATTCTATCATCTACGCTTCAGTTTTTGAAAATACATAACACACATCTGGCACAGGCTCCAGATGTGTCTGCTGAAGAGCAAGCGGATGAAACTCAGCAGACAAATGATAAACCAATGCGTGCCGTCTCAAATCTAGGTGGATACAGTGTTGTCTTTATGCCAGGTGGTTCTCCAAGTTTCATCGTCAAAAGCTCTAAGACATTACCAAAAGTTCTCAGCCTGCAAGGAACAGGAGTTCGCAGTCTAAGTAGTTTCCATACAGAAGGTTGTGACAGAGGATTTATCTATGCCGACACAGAAGGCATCGTTCGTGTAGCGCAACTTCCTTCAACAACCACGTTTGCCGACATCGGAATGGCCTTGCGAAAGATTGAAATAGGTGAAGATGTTCACGCCGTAGCATATCATTCACCACTGCAGACCTATGTCATAGGTACCAGCACTTTCACAGACTTTGAATTACCTAAAGATGATGACCACCGAAGAAGCTGGCAAGAGGAAGATATCGCCTTCAAGCCATCGATCGAGAAGAGCTCTCTTAAGTTGATTAGTCCAGTCAACTGGTCCATCATTGATACCATCGAGCTTGAGCCCTGCGAAGTTATAACTTGTATCAAGACTATGAATCTTGTGGTATCAGAAGTCACCAACGAGCGCAAACCCTTACTTGTCGTAGGAACAGCTATAACCAAAGGAGAAGACCTCGCTACAACCGGCCGCCTCTATGTTTACGATGTCGTTATCGTTGTACCTGAACCCGATAGACCCGAGACAAATAAAAAGCTAAAATTGATCTCTGCTGAAACCATCACTCGTGGCGCCGGTGGTCCTGTGACTGGTCTTTCCGAGATTGGTACACAGGGTTTCATGCTTGTTGCACAGGGCCAAAAGTGTATGGTTAGAGGCCTCAAGGAGGATGGCACAAACTTACCAGTCGCATTTATGGATACTAATTGCTATGTCACGTCTATCAAGGAACTTCCTGGTACAGGCCTTTGCGTGATAGCAGACGCGTTGAAAGGTGTCTGGTTTGCGGGGTATACAGAAGAACCCTATAAAATGCTACTTTTTGGGAAGAGTGCGACGAGGATGGAGGTACTTTGCGCGGATTTGTTGCCAGATGGAAAGGATCTGTTCATTGTGGCTGCGGATGCTGATGGGAATTTGCATATTATGCAATATGATCCTGAACGTATGTTATATATTTTCCTATTCCCTCTTCTGTTTTCTCTCGGTGAACATGATTACTATTATAGAGGCCCTTGACTAATATACACATAGATCCCAAGTCCCTCCAAGGCCACCTCCTCCTCCATCGCACCACATTTTCCCTCGGTGCCCACCACCCCACAACCATGACACTTCTTCCCGCCACCCCATCTCTACATCAATTAACCACAACCTCATCCTCATCTCTCAGTCCATCTCCCCAAGAAGATTCCCCCTCGCCTTCCCAATCCCTCCTCCTCACTTCGCGTACCGGAACCCTTGCCCTTCTTTCCCCATTAACCGAATCCCAATACCGCCGTTTCGGCACCTTAGTCTCACACCTTACAAATACACTTTATCATCCATGTGGACTTAACCCAAGAGCATATCGAATAGACAAAGATGCGAATGAGGGAATTGTAGGAGGAAGAACGATTATTGATGGAGGTGTGTTGGGGAGATGGATGGAACTTGGGAGTCAAAGAAGAGGAGAGGTAGCTGGACGAGTAGGAATTGATGTTTTGGAATTGAGGGATGAGCTGAGTGAATTACGTAGGGGTTTGGAGTTTTGTTAGGGAGTTTGTTGGAGTGGGAGAGTGCGATGTGGTGGTTTGTGATTAGAAATGCAGATGATACGAATGGGTAGAAAATAAAAGCATTTGGAGCATGGGATAATCGACTCTCAAAAAGCATAATAGTGTCAAGAAACTAGCAAACAAATCGGTAATCAATATCATCTCAGCTTCCTCACCCTAACCCCGACCATATCATAACACTATCGACCAAACAATATCCATGACTACTCTTCAACAGTACAGAAATTCAACTTCACTTCTTTTCAAAAATCATCACAGCCAGCAGCAAAATTTCGCAGCTATAAACACTCATCATCTTCACAAGCCTCCAACTCTAAACTCTAAAATCCTTTAGATAAGATCATAAGAATAGGAGATGAATTGGCAGCAGAAGAAAAAAGAAAAGGAGGCGAAGTATTAGCACATATGAGAGTAGGTAACTCGGTTGTGAACCCCGTGCGCTTTCAACGATTTTGAGAAGAGAGGAAATAACAAGATTCTTCACAAATAGCAATATATGCCCATTAATGGCCATAAGTCTAAGAAGTGATGAAATCGTATATAGTATGTAGTGATTTACATATCTCGTTGTTTCGTGATGCTAAAGAATGCGCAATTCGAATTCCGTTGTTGAAAACCCCGTTTGACAGCTCACAACACCTCGATATTTTATCTTCAACTACTATTTCTCCCCTAGATTAATCTCTTATTAATCTTGACTCATTGAAATTAATCAAAAGTCCTCAGGAGAAACATTCTGAAACATCTCTTCACCTAATCGCACAAAAAGGACGTCGTTGAATAAACAGAATCGTGTTTTGAAACGATGTTTCGAAGGTCATGGAAAGGCAACAGCGCCACCTTGGAAGTACTCGGAGAACAACTCAATGGCCTCGTGCTCGTATTGTTCAGGTTACGAACACTCGAACGGTTACTGAATGATTAAGAAACAAGATGAAGGTAGGAGTATATAAATACCGGGTTGACTCGCTCGAGAAAACAAAATCTTCCTCCTTCAATCTCATCCATTACATCGAATCTTCATCACATCTTCATCAATATCTAAAGTACCTTTGCACCATTACACCACCATAACTATCAATAACATCAGGACACAGATCATCGATTTCCCATTACGAAAACTTCGAATCACCATCATGTCTTCATTAAAACATTTCGAGATGCTGGAGGACGAGTTTTTCATTAACGACCAGCGGCGCAATAAAACTCAGCGCACAAGAGTTAAGGGTCTTATTCAACGTTCGGAATACTGTCAGCAGGCCCTTGATCACAAAAAAGACACTTTCAGAGGTGACGACAAGCCCCTTGATCAAGAAATCAAAGCCGCCAGAGAAGACAACGAACTTCCTGAGACTTTATCTGATTTGAGCATGTAACAACTTGGAAGACGGCCTACTTATGACAGTGTGCTATTGAGGCATTACGATTCGAATCCACCATGCCTTCCAAAGCCCAAGCAAAAGTAACAAACACCTGCCAGAAAGAGCCTAGATTGGATTACTCGGTTCACTGCCGTTGATGGCTATTGTTTAGTTGTGGAATTTGCAACAAATCGACAAGAAATACCACAATCAGGTGAGCTGAATTAGATAGAGAATAGAAACAATTTACTTATTGTTTGCCAAACTTTCCTGAGATATCTTTGCGTAGTGAAAACATAGTGATGATGTGAAACGCCATAAATCTACTCCCAAGTTCAGAAATGCCGGTTATATGGCTCATTCCTAATCAAGTGCGCCGTGAGATCCCTATGCCCATATTTTATATACTCCTTCTCGCATTATTAACATTACTTGCGTGAGCCAACAAAAACTTGCAGCATGTGAGGGTGAACTTGCACGCTCTGCTCCATGCGTCGTCTTGTGCTATGCCTAGTTTGATACTGACATCCCCTATCTTCTCTCCTTCAATTTTATATGGCAGTTTAAGCCCTCGTCCAGTTTCCGAGGTCCTGGCGGATTCCTGTTCGACAAAGACACCTAGTTGGCGCATACATTCGAGGAATGCCTCCATAGCTATATCGAACTTACGATGCATGAAGGTAAGCCCGAGGGGCATATCACCAGATGAATGAAGTTCGAGAATAGATTTCTTAGGCGGTCGAGTGTTATTACCACGTTGGGAGCTAGAACGACTTGCAGACGGCGATGGATAATCATAACGTATTATTCGAGAGGTTGAGCCCATGGGCTGAAGCTCGTATCCTTCGAATTTAAAGTTGAGACGGTCGGCGACAGTAGCTAGAAGAAGCAATGCGTGGCCCCATGCTGCATTGATTTCCGGCCAGTCCACTGGCACACTTGAGAGTCGTCCAAGTCGTAGGCCATTAATTGTACCAAACTTTCCGTCATGGCTTATGCAAAATGTATCGTTATAGACATTCGTTCTTTGCAATTTCTCCAATAGCTGTGAATCATGATCATATTGAAGATTGATGCTATCCCTTATGTTTTGAAACTCCGAGAGCTTCATCGCAAACTCATTTCGATCACTCCAGAACTTCTCTTCTTCAATATCAAGAGCTCTGGCCTCTTCTTCCAGCTGAGCATTTTCCTCATTTACCCTGGCAGTTTCCGCTTCGATCTTCTTCAGCTCTTCAATTGCCGCGGCCTCATCTGCTCGCACCTTTGACAAAAGATCATTTGCTTCCTTCAACTCCTCCTCTGTTGGTAATTCGGCATTGACCTGTTTCAAAAATCCGACATATGCATCCCTTTCTCGAGTGGCAGCTTCTAATCGTTTTTGCAGCCCATCGACAAGCATCTCTGTACACTCAACACAGATAGGATGATCTATATCGGATCGCGCCGTAAGAATCTCGAAAAGCCTTGATACCCGTTCCATGTCTTGCGACATCGCTTTACCCTGACCGTCCGGTGCTTCTCCACCGGGTAGATCATCTTCTTGTGGTTGATTTGCGTCCGTGTCTTCGGGTGGTTTAGCAACTGAAGGAGGTACGACTTGAGATTCCGTCAGCATGACAAAAGACATGGCTGGATTGTTCAAGCCGCTTCTCATCGTGTCTGCTAAACTAGAATCATGTCGACGGGGTGCAGATATTGTCCGTTTGAAGGTTGGCGGAGCGGCATGCTTCGAGACACGATCATAAAGTTGTTTTCGTTCTTGAGGATATGCTGGCCGTGAAGGGGGGATATTTTTGGGATGGTTTTGGGAGGTCGCACCTAGAAAGCAATGATGATAAGCTTGAGTTTAACTTCAGAGGTTTGCGTTAGAAAAAGATCACGAACCGACCAATAAATCAAATGCCGCAGGGTTCAGGTCTTCCAAAGAGCTATCAAGTTTCAATGATGTACGACACTTTTGACAATACATGTTGGGAATCTTTGACCAAATATTCACATGAAATCATTGAGCAAGCAAACAAGTATTCACCAAGCTGTCTCTAGCATTTTGCCTCCTTCGACAGTGATAGAGAGAAAATTAAAATAAAAGTTTGTAGGTTCACTTGATTAGACGTGGTCATGAAATATGATGCGATGCGATGCGATGCGATAATACAGGTACTAGGGCATCATCAATTATTAGCCATGCTTACATAAATTTAAGCTCATTTATGCAACCCCGCAGCTCAACAGCCCTATTCGTCCACCACCACCCGTAGCTTTATGCAAGTAATTTACACGAACCCAACGCGTCATTCCCAGAGACTGTAGGAAATCAGTTCGCGACTTTTATTTACTTACAAGGTAAGATCTTACTTTCCAATCTTGATTTACCTACCAATATAATCATACACAAATACGAACTCTTATAAATCCTACAACCTTATCAATCTTTGGACATGATCGCAAATCGTCACCATGGAATCTCCAACAAAAGGGCAAGAGATTTCCAATGAGCCTAATGATGTCGACTTCGAAGTTGACGATGATTACTCCGAGGGGTATAGCGAAGCAGAGGAAGATGATTTCATTGTCGATGATGAGAACGATGATGTTGTCTACGAGCCTGGATATGACCCCGATCAAGAACTTCAGCAGAGAAGAGCTCGACTCGATTACAAACTAAAATCTACATTTGAATCCATCTTCGAAAAATATGGGAAAGATTTTGATGGAGTTGGTGATGAAATTGACCTGCTCACTGGCGAAATATTGGTTGACAATGGCCATTTGAAAGAGATGCAAGATGAGCGGGATGCCGGAGACAATAAAGCAGGAGGCAATCTTCTGACAGCCTTGACTGTAGAACCAGAGAGTGTTATGGAAACATCTGATGATGAATATAGCATTGAGGAAGGTGAGGGTATGAATGAGGGAGGTAAGGCACAGGAAAAATCAGATCACAGAGTGAATGTGGAGGAGATGAGTTGTGGAGACATGGAGGAGGACGATATGATTTTACGCGGCTACGATGAATCGAACCGGGATCCTTTCTTTGATGTGGTATGCTCGATAGAGACGGAGCCCGCTTCCAACGATCCCCTAGGCGAGTTACAATACCAACGAAGCTCAAAGCCTAAAGGACGCAGCGTTTCTTTTCCATCATACAATGAAATTTTACATTCATTTGGACCCGACGTTGCCCCTCAAATTGTAAACATTATTTCACGAAAACATGTTCATGATGACACTCATATCGAACCAGCCTGGAGAGTGCCTGAATTACCTACACTTGAACCAAGAAAGCGTCCGGCTTTGAGACCTTTCATTCCAGAGCCACGGAGTGAGCGCAGCCCATCTCCTGCTGTTTCCGAGTCGATCTGGGCTTTACCAAGAGGACGGGGTCCAGGACGTCCGAGAGGTTGTCACAAACCAAAGGACTCTTTTAGACCAAGAAACATCGGTGACACGGCACTACTGTCGGATGGAATAAACACCCCAAGTTCCGCTGCCTCAAAATCACCACGAGTGCGTAATACATTTACTGAAGAAGAGGATAAAATACTCATTACAAAGGTGGCTGAAGCACGCGATCAGGGTCTCGCATTCGGAACAGAATCTACCTGGGAAGAGCTGGCGAGTTTGAATGGCCGACACACAATAGCATCATGGAAGAAACATTATCGCCAAAGGTACCTACATTTGTGGTCTCCTGAAGGCATAACTACACCGGGTTCTCCTGGAATCCGCGGGCCATACCGTTCTAGAAACCGAGAAGAGTCGGAATCGAGCATCAAATCTGTATCACGCGGTCCGCATCCGGTATCTTTATTTCAACGACCATCTAGAACTCGAAAACCTGCACAGCAAGGACCGAATGTTGTTAGTTGGTCGGATGCAGTCGCCGCTATCAAAACCTTGGATCCTAGACTTCACAAAGATCTGGTTAAAGACGCCAGTATATTTGATTTGACCGATGTTGGACCAGTGGATATTGACGATGAAGCTTTGAATCTGAGAAGTTCCGATTTGGAAATGTCGGAAGAAAGTGATAATGAGCCGGAGCTTCCTGCACATATTGGCTCCGGAGTTCAGAGGATTGCGCCTGTAACTGTTAACCCTGCCTACGAATTTTCGGATGAAGAAACCGGCTCTAATTTCAAGGTGCCACAAAAATCAAGTGGATCAACACCCAAACCCAATGAAGAGAAGGGTTCTTGGCTTGTAACTCCTCAATCCAAGGAATCCAAGGACAGACCGAGAAAACCAACAAATAGTAAATCAAAAGATGGAACCAACGGGAAATCAAGGTCTCATCAAAGTATAGCTCAAAAGAGGCTTATTTCAGAAGAGGTTGATGAATTAAGCCTTGGCCTTGGAGAAGAAGACGTTATGTTTGTCTGTTCACTATCAAGGAAAGACAAGCAAAAGGAGCCTCGGAATTTTATCAAACGAAAGGGTCAAGACTCAAAAATCTCAGATGCTATCACTCCTGTCCCGCGGAAAGAAAGGATTCCCACCCTCAGTGATTTCGAGTTTGACGAGCTCAGCGCGGAATGGGCCCCAATTCTAGCTACCGTTTACGCAAAGAAGCCAATAGTCGAAATAAAATCCGAACCTGATCCGGCAGTTGAAGTTGGTCTATCCGATAACAAAAACGAGACTAATGTTGATCTATTCGATATCGACCAGCTTCCGGAAACTTCTCCAAGAAGTGCTCTTGATGCACGGAATCAATCTAGGATAAACAAAAGATTCAGCAGCAGTGCTGTTATCCCTTCAACATCGCAAATCGAGTCGTCACCCACTATTGCGGTAGATAAAAGGATCCAGTCAAGGATTCAACAGAGAACAGGTTCTATTGGTAATGGTTCTGTATTACATACTTCCTCAGATACGGTGTCCTCTCCTACCCCGCGGGCCAAGCGAAAATTCTTTGATCTGGACGAGAAAGAAAATACATCCTTGACACCATCACAGAAAGCCAAGACATCTGTATCTGATATTGAAGATCTGCCTCTCGAGAATATGATCAGTGGCAAAAGAACGCCCACTTTATCACCAAACAAGAAGACAGGAGGCCTTACCACGCCAACTCACAGCGAATCAAGGAAATCAAGAACTCCTCTGTTGGACTATACCACACCTACACGAAGAGATCTCACGGGGAAAAGGGCACTGAGAGGTACATCACAGAGTCCCGGAATGGTGAAAACACCAGGAGGAACGTTTAGAAAATGTGGACAAGATGGATTTGCGTGTAAACGGGCTTTTTGCTTTAGATGTGGATTGAGCTCTAAACGTACGGGCATTGAGTGATGGATGATGTGATAAAAAATTAATAGCATAGTATGTTGTGGATGAGGTACTAATATTAATACTTGCTTTTGCTTGTATAGTAGCAATCCAAGCACACATACACACATACACACATACACACATAAATATATACAATAATAATAACAATAAATCACCAATGAATTCAAAAACCAAGCACACATATACACATATTATAATATAATATGTAATTTCAAGCAAAGTACTTATCTATCTCTGTACCACCGGTGCACCCATGCATATCTATATATAAACAGCTGTCTAGTTCCTGAGAGTTATCTAACTATTATGTGGTTTTCATCTTCCGAATCCTCTGAATTCTCTGAACCCCTTGGTCTTTGTAATTTATACATATATTGTAGTCTTATATTCATCAAAGTAGATAGGTGGGTGGGTGATTTTAGTGGTTGTTGTCTGATGTTTGAAGTATTGGAATTTCATCCTTTATTTGTAAGATCTTGTAGATGTCAGAATTGAATGTAGAATTTATAATTTGAAGATTAGAGTTTATTTTGGGTTAAGGAATTCGAAGGGCGTACTCGAGTAGGTGGATGATGGATGATGGATGATGGATGATGGATGATGGATGATGGATGGATGACTGTTTCCCGACACTCCGATGTCGCTTCTTTCTAGGGTTTTCCTGGCTCTACTAATCTGTAATGAGTAGAAATTAGGAATTATGCACGCCTTGGGGATGACATGTACATGTTGTGGTAGTTGTTAGTGTGTGTCTATGCTAGTGTATTTAACTTCGGGTATGGTTGCTTGTGATTAGAACCTAGGACCTAGGTAGTTCTCATGGTTATCTTTATGGATATGGCTATGTACTGTGCTGTACTGTACTGTACTGTACTGTACTGTACTGTACTGTACTGTACTCTACTGGGTTGTTGATGTCGAAATTTTGAATTTTCACAGTGCATGGGGATGGAGAGGGAGATGGAGATGGGGAGCACAAGCTCGATCCGGGAAACGGGATGGATGCGTGGGAATTTTGGAAATACAGAGCTCGAGTAACTTCATGAATATTTACAAAGTACTTGTTGTTAACCCTCTTCAAAGTTCACATCTACAACTACAACTTCATCGTCCTGCTAGAAAACATGTCACATTCCACCTAAATATGGTTCCTATTCCCTTTGTAGTTTACATCTTGAGGTATATATTTAAGAGTGGAGGGTGATGGGCATACTTTCTGGCCGCACATACGAGTAGGCTTTTTAACCCAAACACATGGGTTCCGACAACCAATCCTTTGATCACGACTCACGACATCCTATTATGGATACCCATATCCCGATCGTATTATCGTTGAAAAATTGAAAGCATAGAGTATGAGATGGACACGTCCATGCAACTAAAACGGAGGAAATTGCGAAAAAGAGATTTTTCATCATGTTGGCTGGATATTTGATCGCTATAAGCAGTTGTAAGAGAGCTATGTGTCAGAGGTGACCGTGTACGTTAAGTATTTGCGATGTTGAAATAAGGTCGAGAAAATTCGTTTAATGCATGGATTTGGGGGTGGAGACCAGAAATTTCGGGCCCAATCAATTGAACTTAGTTTGGAGACGAGCCTTTCCTCCAAAGGTATTCATGTCTACATGGAAAGGATATGAATGCCTTTGGAGGAAAGGCTCGTGTGTGTTCGGATTTTGATCCTGGGATGGTGGATGGATACTACATAGGTGGTCCATGGGAGCGGAGGAGGAAACCAGAATTTGCTCGTATATATGCCATTATGGTCATCATCGTTACTATGGTGTGATGATGATCGATGATGTTGGCTTCTAGACTCTAGGTTTTCTTATGTCTGTCCAGTGTCTGTTGTGTGGCTCGGAGTTGAATGCGATAGATATTCCGGCCGTGTGTTTAATTATTTTAATGAGACAAACGTTGAGAGTAAGATCATTTGAGAATAGGAATAATAATATAAGAGCAGTCAGATCTGATTAGACAGCTACATTTCAGCCTTACGAGAGACGGACCGTCCGCATCTTTGGGTGTGTGGTATTACTGATTAGTAATCCTTTTTTTGGTGCAATTGAGGTTATACAGCTGGCCGATGAACTGCATCAATCATGGTGATGCATCCATGTTGACTTGAGCTTGAGAAAATCGGTGTAGGAAGTTTGGAGTGAAGGGCGCATTAATTCGTGCACGGAGCTGAAGGACCCAATAATATTGTCAACATTAGACTTTAGTATATTAGTGCTATTTTCCCGCACTTCACTCCCTCCCTAGAGCACAGACGGACGATCCTTCAAGGGCGTGAATCTGACAAGCTTGACTCATATCCAGACTTTGTCATGGTCATGGATGATATTTTCTGAAAATCTCATCTCATTGATGAAAACAGTAAAACAGTACTAAAACATTTTATATATAAAGGTGAGCCATTCATTGTCCATTGTGTTTCCAGAATTCGAAAAAGAATCAAGAGTCAAGAGTCAAGAAGAGACGAAAACAGCGTCACCAATTTCTCATTTTGTTCAATTCGCCATCTCACAACCGATGTCCATACAATTGTCGATTTGATTTCTTCCTTATCAAAGTCACACCCAAGAGGCTTCAAGGCGCATATTTCCCCGCACTTACCATATATCCAATTATACTTATCTTAAGATCATTCCTCCTATATCGCATAGCCTCTTCTATTTTGTCCAGCTCTTTTTCAATATCTTCGAACAAAATGCCGGTTTCAAGTGCACTCTCTGGTTCGGGAACAATTGCTAGTTATGCCAAGAAGATCAATTCAACGAAGCGACCAGATGTCGAGATTCATCTAGATGATCATCATGACGGAAAACCCTATACAACATTTGATGCTTTGTCAGGCAATGCCACATTCACAGCTCCTCATGATGCAAAATTCGATGAGATCCAAATCACACTCGAAGGCGTTACTCGAACATATGTCGAACACATATCTCAGTCCAGCGCAACATCTAGAACAACAGCCATCCACAGATTTCTGAAACTCATCATGCCAATTCGAGAAGCCGCATATCCTCAACCACGAATTGCTGAAGCCGGCAAAACATATATCTTTCCATTCAACTTTGTCATCCCTGAACAACTCCTTCCAACTTCTTGCGCACATCCTTGTGATGCTGATCATGTCCAGATGGCACATCTGCAATTACCTCCTAGCATGGGCGATCGCGAAGCATCGATACTAGATGATTTATCTCCAGAGATGAGCAAAGTTCTTTACTCAATCAATGCCAAGGTGATCAAACACACCGAGTTTCCTAGGAAGCCGATTTCTCTTGTCGAGGGTTCGAAGAAACTTCAAATAATACCAATGGTGGCGGAAGCACCCCCTATGAGTATTTCAGCAAATGACAAGAATGATTACCTGCTATCGAAGACAAAGTCTCTTAGGAAAGGCATGTTTTCTGGGAAATTAGGAAAGATAACTGTCTCGGCTGATCAAACTGGAGCGATTGTTCTCCCATCCCCTGGAAGTTCCTCGGTGGCCACAACAATGGCGACTGTCAAGCTACTATTTGAACCACACAGTTCTAACTCGCAACCCCCTCGTCTTGGTGGTCTAGTTACAAAGATCAAAGCATCGAGTTTCTACGGCACCAAGCCGGCAAAATCCTTCCCCTCCAGATTGAGTATGGACTTAAGCATTGAGCCTGCCCGACAAGTTTATCAGACGTCCGTTCCACTCTCTTCGAGGTGTGTCGAGCAAGTCTCGTGGGTGAAGCACTTGCCACAACCAGATTTATCCCGACGAGCTTCTACCGTATCATCAAGTTCGTCTGATTACTCGGACAACTCACAAATGTCGCTAAAGGCAAAAGAAAAGATCTATTATACAGCCGATATTCTAGTCCCAGTTTCACTACCTTCATCGAAGACTTGGGTGCCCTCATTCCATTCATGTATTGTTTCGCGATTCTATTCCCTTGATCTTGCCTTGACCATCCATACTCCGGGGGCAGGCGTTCCATCCTCCTCGGTCAAACTTTCTCTTCCAATACAAATCGCATCTCAAGGCAGCCGCACCGCACCAGCCGTTCTTACCGCGGCAGAAGCCGCTGCTGAGCTAGCTAATGTAGATCAATATCTGATGCCAAGAATCATTGAAATACCAAGGGAGGACTTGGTTGAGAACAGTTTTTTGCAATCTAGCTTTACTGTACCACGACCAGAGTTGCCTCCAAGCTATGAGTACACTGAGCATACTGAGCAAGCAAGCAGACAAGTTGATCCATCGAGGTGTTAATTCGAAATGTTGTGGTTTTGTATGTTGTTGTTTTTTTACTTGAATAAGAAGGATTCAGAGGGAAGTAGTTAGATTCTTCGTACAGTACACACAAATCGGCGTCGGGGGATTGGAGATACTAAAAGTGCATTGTTATTTTGGGGTTTTGGGGTTTTGGGGTTTTGGGAATTTGCTGGGAGTCACATTTACGAGTACAAATTATACCCCATACTTAGGTACTTACTTATAGATGAATAATAATAATAATACTGTTCCAGAATTATCTTCTTCATTCATTGATTCATCGTGGGGGCTCATCCCGCACCTTCCAGAAACTCTCGAGTGATCTTTCCCACGTTCCATGGTTCTATTAGAATCCAATTCTGCAAATTCTAAACGCCTTCTGTGATTCAGAGACCCACCGGTCTTCTGACGCCGTGGACAGCCCCGCGCAACCCCACTAACACTCATCATTTCAGGGATGTTTAGCACAACGCGTCTAAATTTGACAGGCTGACAGGCTGGCAGGCTGGCAGGCTGGCAGGCTCACAGACTCTGAAGCTTTCTACAAGGCTGTTACTTGTGGGCTGCCTATCTATCTATCCTCTATCACAATTATGCCGTGCCATTTGCATACCCAGCCATTCCAAATACATAAAATGTGCAAACCAACAGAAAACATAGACGTCACGCATCATCTAAGACTATTTATCCTCACGACCAAGTTGAAGACCTTCCCGTCGTCCTTTCTACCCCTCGTATCTTGCATCAATAAATATCGAATATCATTTCTAATCGATCCTTGTACTACCTACCACATTACCCCAGAATCATCAACATCCGACCTCACCGCTTGTCCCATCCATCCACCAGTCGACCCATATCACGGCAAAATCAGCCTACAATACCGATACCTGATGATTTGCCAGCTCACGCCTAACCATTGACTGGTGATGAAATTTTGCGCAGCAACATTCATGAAAAAGATCTTCCTTCGTCGTAAATCATCTAATCACTTGATTCACGAATAATATTTGCAATTTCTTACCTACCTACCGTAGCTACATATGCTTGCTCCACGCTCTATCGATGCGGACAGACAGCCAAAGAAAACGAATGCGATGCCAAAGCAAAGCAAAAGATACAAAAACGTTCTCATCTAGATCTTATTGATTGATTATTTTCAGCAAAACCAGCCCGTACGATATCAAGATATCGAGATATCGAAATTATCTTTTTGAATATGACGCAAGAGAAACCACCGCAGCCATCGCAATCTCAAGAGGAGACTCCCAACGTGGATCCGAAAGAGTTCTATGGGTATTTGTTTGATGAGAATAAGAGTCCGACGCCAGTACTAAATGCGCTATTGAGGGGTATCGCAAATTGTATTGTAAGGATGTTCAGTCCTGTAATGCTCACCTTGAATTTCATGCTTATAATTATCACAGATAGAGAATGTCGGGAGCAAAGAAGATCAATTCTTAACGCCAGAAAAGTTGGCACTTTTCTATAAAGCTGTTGGTGGGAATTACGATTGTAAGTTTTTAGTGTTTGGCTTTTTGTTCCCGACGTCTTCCTTGTCTATCCCCGATTGCTTGCTAATAGCTTCCGTGTCCCTACATAGCTCTTTTTGTGGAGACTACACATCCCTCGATATCTTGGATTTATGCCTCCATAGGCTGTCAACATACTTTGAACCCTACGAAAGATGATTTTGCGCCTCCTTCAATACCGTGCCTCACGGTCCGAGGATTTGTGCGATGGCAATCGATAGAAATACTTTTGGGACCCGAGGAACATGTATCTTTTATCCAAACCGCAGTGCGAGATTTTGAAATCAAACACCCAACTACAGGAGAGAGATTTCCAATAGATTTACCGAAAGAAGCTTTCCCATTGGTACCCGACGCGGAGATAGAAAAATGGCACAGAAGCTGTGCAGAGAAATTACGTCGGCGAGCAACTCCAGATGAGGCACCAGAAGAGGCACCAGAAGAAGTACCGGATGAACAAGAGGAAGTTCCCACACCAGACCTCCCGCCTAGACCCAAAGTACAAGCAACATACGCTCACGTCCGACCTTCCCCCAGAATTCCGGATCCTACGCCAACCAATGGTGGTAACTCTCGCAGCGGTTATTTTGAAACTTCTACTCGTGAGCCGCCCGTCCGTGAATCCTCTTCTCGTGAACCTTCCGCCCGCGAACCTTCCGCCCGCGAACCCTCCGCCCGCGAACCCTCCGCCCGCGAACCTTCAGCTCATGAACCTTCCGCTCGTGAACCTTCCACCCGTGACTCTACTAGCCATCGGGGCAGTCGACCTATACCTTATTCACACGTCTCCGCATCTCGTCCTCAACGACCACCTCTCAATCGATCACCAACTCATCGAGTTCGCCAGTTTCTCGCTCCAGAGGAACCATACTCAACCCGCATACCCCGAGGACGTCATCGCAGTTTCCCCAATTTAAGCTCACCCTCTCCAGAAGATGGGCCCACTTCCCACGCCCACGCATCCGCTTCGGATCCTCACCATCCACATCACAATGTCTCGGCACCAGATCCTCCACGTCCTGCTCACCGGAGACATAGTCATCCTCGGCGATCCCGCCATGCACCGATCGTCTCCGACACCTCGGATTCTTCCAGCGTTACTAGCGTAACATCGGGTTCTGAAGATGATACGTCCCCTAAAACTCGTACTAATCCATTAAATTCATCTACAAGCGCGAGGACAATACCGAGACGCCCGCGAAGTACTTATATGCCACGAAGTTCTGGCCCGGAGAGTCCTCGAGCTTTTGCATTCTCGTCCACAGCACCAGGTAGTACGATGCCGTCCCCTATTTCAGATGCTAGGGAAAGGGAGAGAGAAAGGGATAGACAGAGGGATATTGAGGATAAATTTAGACGTGGTCACTATCCCACTAATATCGATTTGAATGGAAATTTGAGCGCGCCGTTTTTGGCTGGAAGGAGGAAAAGAGAGGCGGAAAGGGCAACGATTGAGGTAGAGGTGGAGAGAGACAGGGAAAGGGAGAGGGATAGAGAGAGAGAAAAGTCAAGAAGTGATAGTAGGGGTGGAGGAATGGAGATGGAATGGAATGGGGGTGAAGGAAGAAATGGAAGGAGAGTGGAAGGAGAGGAAGGATCGGAAGGGAGTGGAGGAAAGAGATGGAAAGGAGGAATGAATGGAGAACGGAAAGGATAGAAAGAGGATGGATGAAGGAAAAGGATAGAGAAAGGAGGGAAAGAGGTATAAGTCCAGTAAGAGGGGTTGATGGGAGGAAATATCCCGAGTGGAGGTGAGATTTTGAAAGTAGCGGATTGTGATTGTGTTTCTGTGTGCGGGAGTTTACATGGATTTGGTTGCATATGGGATGGATTGGATTGGATTGGGTATGAGTATTAGCGAGCGAACGATTTGAATGAAATGATGAAGTTATGATTATGAAGTACTTTACTCTATGAGATGTTATGTTTAGTCTGCTTAGCATACTTAGCGAGAGATACCTGGATGGATGGATGTATAGATGAATGAATGGAAGCTTGGAATATTATGATATGCTCAGAATTCAGTGATTTATCTGTGAAGAATTTTGATGAAACCCTCTATTTTGGATTTGACCTACGTGTTCTGGAAGTGCCGTGAGAATTTTGAAATCTAGTGAATTAAAGCAAGGGGTTAATAAGCGAACTAAGTAAGTGTTGATGGTGCGCCGCAGCCTACGGATTTGACTGCTATATAGTGTGTAGAAATTCAAAGTATCTTTCAAGTAAGGAACCTATCAATCGTTTCTAGCTCAAGGCTTTGATATCGGATCAATTCCATGGATATAAATAGCCATATTTGTCATGGTTTTTTTCTACTTTCACTATTGTAAGTACCGATGGGTGATAGGCATTATATGTACATCGAAACAGGCTTCTTACTTAAGGCATGTATTTATTCATTGAAATAGAAGCTATCCAAGAAAATCGAATGTTTGACTGAATAATCAATATTGTTATCTAGCACGTCACCTCTATACTCATCAAAACGAATGTATCCTAATCCCGCCCTTACGATATCAAAATCCGTCTTTAATTTGCATCAGTATGCGCAGGCTTTCGCGGTATTCTCTTCATCTTCCTTGATCTTAACTTGGTATTCCTCCATATTACTAACACCCTTTGGCATTCTATTCGACATCAAGCCCATTTCATCTATCAACCTACCTCTAATCTTCATACACTTTTTCCAAGTCCTTCTAGATGTTTCACGGCTATGCCATGCATCCACCTGGGGGGTAGCCAGATAGGGTGTCAATGCGATCATTCCACGGAGCGAACACAATATCAGCGAATGCATATTTATCAGCCACGAGCTATTCTTTACCGGTAAGAGCGCTGTCGAGAACTGCGAGAATGCGTCCGAGTTCGCTATAGTAGCGCTTGATGGCGGAAGCTACCTTTTCGGAGTGGAGGGCATTGAACCTGTGATTTTTATATGGTCGGTTTAATGGCTATGTTATGTTATATTATATTATTGCATGCGGCCTAGATGGGAAAATTGTAGCTTACCAAACGCACTGTCCGAAACATGAGCCATATGTAAGGATAGCTCTTTCTTGCAAGGACTCATAGGTCAATTTCTTCTCCTTGTCGTAATGCTCGACTAGGTAGAGCACCATGGCACCAGATTCCCAGAGGGTAAGATTGGTGTTTGGATCCTTGATCGCTATGATATCGCGATATATGTTAAATTACGAATGCGAATCAACAGGGTCTCTTATTAGAGCCATGCCTGGTGCTCTACCGTTGGGATTGAGGTCAATAAATGGTTACTTTTTGGTATCCTCAAAGCGAACAGTCTTGATCCCATAGGGAATACTAAGTCCCTCGAGAACCATAAGCACCTGCACGTGGTGAAGAAATTAGCCATGCACGTCATACTTGGTGTATTTGTGCTTGCCTTCCAGGAGTTTGGACCTGGTGCTAAGAGCATGTCAGCTTCTTTCACCGAGTGAAGTAATTGCGTACAACTTACCGGTCATCCATACTTCGATAGGCTTGGTCATGATTGTGGTCGTAGGTTGTAAATTAAAATCACCAAAAAAAAGAAGATTCCAATGTAGCATTCGAATCAAATCAAACTGTCAGAGTTGAGGTATTGATCAGAAAAAAAAGAGGGAGAAGGAGAATCAGGAAACCAAGTAGCTCAGCTATAGGATTCCCAACCAACTGTCGGAAAGGGTGCAGGAAATTTCCCAGCTAGGAATTTGTTGCGAATACGGGACAGGATTCAAAGTAAACTTTTTGATGCTAATATAATTACAGAAAAACGTGGTTGTAGATCACGGTGCAGGATTCTGCAGAGTGCTGGGGGAAAGAGATGGAAGATTGCGGATTTGATGGGCAGTATTATAATGACAAGTCGTACGGCTGGTTGCACTCTTGCGGCGCAGCCTACTCGGTCTTATGTTTACTACCCGGTGAATTCACCAGATGTATTAATTGCCTATCTCTCGGACATCTAATATTCAACACCTGCCAATAGTATCTACTAGAATGAGTCTTAAATTAAAGAGGAAGTTGAAGAGATAAATGAACCCCGTCAAGGTATATTGATCATAAGAATATATATTTTGTAAATTTTTAAAGTATAATAATATAACTTGTTTTAATTTATTAATAATTTAATTCTTTTTATTTTTTATATCAAATAATAAATAAAATATATAATAAAATTTCTTCAAAGAATAAAATAAATAATATTAATATGATATTTATAATTTCTAATTAATAAGTTCTATAATGACTAACAGTAACCTTTATAGGTGTCTTAAGTAATTATTCTTGACTTTGAGTCCCCTGCGGGAAGTTTTTAAAAATTCCTTAGTTTGAAGTTTATAACAAAGCTGTGTATGAAATGGATAGTCGCAACAAATAAAAAGAATTGTTGAAAAGCTGTTGAGACTCGCCTAAGGGAGATACAAATTTGGTCAATATTAACCTCAATCTATGACACAGCATGGGTATCCGTGGTATCGAAGGAAGAGGGCGAATGATGACAGTTGAGGTGCTTTTTCCCAAAATCCTTTCAACCATATTGGAGTCTAGCAGCTGGTAATGAATAAGAAGAAAGTACTTCCGAAACGGACGCGGTCTTGAAGTCATTGCCCGCCCACTTTTCTACAAGTTTCCCGATGCTGAAGACTGTCCCGAATATCTCGAGCTATGGTGTTCAGGATGAAAAACTACAGAAGTGGGATATATTTATCATCAAGCAGATTTCGTTTGAGATTATAGCATTTTCAGATATAAGGCTACTGATAAAGTTCGGTATACACTCGTATGCATCCTTGATGCTGCTAAAATCTCTAAACAGATGAGCATTGAACCTACCTAGTAGGCATATTATTCTTTCATTAAAGTTAAGCATGTTAGTACTTCGAATTCTCGAAGCTTCTGGCTGCTTTTGCGAATCTATCTGTACCCTGTTTGTCTTGTTCTGTTGTACATGTACATGTATACAATAGAGCAGAAGTCAATACCAACCTTATTTATTTTCTTGTATATATATATATATGCCTCTTTTAAACAAACGATTACCCTTCCCTTTTCACAACGACATAATCATGAATCAGAAAGAGAACCAAGAGTTCTATCATATCAATTCAGTTGATGTTAACACAAGGAGCTCTGTATTTATCACGTGCCATACACCCATCGATCTCCATTTACTCAAATGCAATTATGTGAACTCTCATCGGCGAAAACGGCTCACAATCTAGAGGAGATTGTGGGTGGTATTTCGACTAAAACTCCATGCTTGGAAATAACCCTGATAGCAAAAATTTCACCTATGCACTCCTTTAACCCAAACCATCCATGAGAAATCGAAAAGAAAAAAACTTTCGTGGAGTGTTGCTCGATCAAGAGAACTGGAGAATAATCAGACTGTGAATCTCACACACTTGGATAATACATACCTTCCAGCGATGACCACAAACTTGACATTCGCAAAAAGTCGTCATAGGTTCATCTGCACTGCGGGTCTGTGCTTGTGAATAGCTGACTTTCTTTTGATGACACTTTCCACATGTTAAAGCATCACTAATACTCTTCTCTGCCATTGGTACCTGAGCCTTCTTCATATTCTCCATCTCCAACAAGTCATCCTTCTTCTTCATCTCCTCTGACTTTAGTTCCTCATGCGTCATGACCACAAACCGAGCTGGTTCAATATCTCCAGACATAACTCTCTTACGTAACTGTGTATTAGATACTTGCTTAAGATTTTGAAAAAGGGATCGAAGTTTCTCTTTGTAATCCTTCGTCTCGCCTCCGAAATGATCGAATGCGGCCTGCTCAACAGCCATCGCCTTGATGATAACATGAGTGGGTGGTTCCTCGCATTTGAAAGCAAGACCATTATACATCAAGCCAATGCAAGCATCTCGAGTTGGAAGACCCGTACGCTTTGTATCGACTTTATCAGTTTCCCATCTTCGCTTCGAGGAATCACCCTTGAAAGCTTTGGTGACTGGAGCGCTGGGCGCGGATGCGGGAGAGGAAGTACCGTTGCTGCGAACTGCGGGGGAAGATCCGGATGCCATTATTTTTGCCTTGCGCTTTTCTTTTTCAGCTTCGACAGTTTTTTTCCACTTAGTGACAATTTCAGATGCGAGCTTGGCAATGTCTTTGTTCGCGTTTCCTCGTTGTTTAGCAACTACCATTCCCGCCTTGGTTGCCTAGAGAATAAGCTCTATTAGTCGGCGTGTTGAGGATTTAAAGGAGACACAAAGACCCCGGAGGGCTGGTTTAGGAATGTAGCCGGTTGTAGACATACCCTAAGAAGTTCTTCCGTGGCATTTACATCTCTCTTCAGAGTTTCCATAATGGTAATAACGTTCGCCGCGGGCTCTTTGTCATTGATAGCCTTTTGAAGAGCTGAAACCCGCGAAGTAAGTTCTCTTTGATCCATTTTGAAAGAAAAGAGATAGAGGGGTTTGAGTGTATGCGATGGTTGTTTTTGTTGTAGACCGAAGAAGATGTTTGTCGATAGAGTAGAGTCGGATTGGGACAATGCGCAGGCTCTATGTGCGTGAAAGGATTGTATTGGATGCTAAAACGGTAGCCAGATTAATTACAAAAGAAAGTGTTGTCAATGAAGGTTTTGATAATTATCTTGTGGAAGTTTGTTGATTAAATATCACAAGGCTGACGTTGCTACCAAAATGCTTATGCACGGACCAACCGTACAAACTTCCCCAGGAAGCAGAGAAGTTTCCATCGTCAACTTCATAAAAAGCTGCTCAACACTCTGCATCATATTGACACAACCATATTTATTCTTTGCTTAAAAATGATTCCATGAACTCAATACTGGATTCGAGTGTTGAATTCGGTATTTTCTACAAGTTGAAATTCAGCTGAGTATTCAAGTCCTGTATTTGGATACAAACTTCCAGCAGTAACAATATTCAGAATGTTTGATGGCTCCATGCTCCAAATAGAAATCTTGACACATCCGCAGGTATTCACTTCTGTATCGGTCAGAGCAGGAACAGGAGCAGTGAATAAAATATTTGCTTCAGACCGAGATACTTTGCGGAAGGATATATGATTTGACTTTAACCCAAACTCCACGGTGATGAGCCTGTCTCCCGATTACCTCCATAAGGATATTACGGATATCGCGGAAAATTCCACAACTACATATGCCATATGCGCAATAAGTTATCTATGGAGTTTAGGTCTTTAAGTGATAGCCATAGCAATTTGGACTCTACTGTCTATGCAAAGTTGCATGGTAACCGTCATAGTTTGACTCATTATTCCACTTGATGAAATCCCCGCTCGCTTCAAAATAGTATAAATACAAAATGTTTTCCAACACTGTTTGACCATTTCTTTACGGTCGCTCAAGTCTCTTGACCAATTCTCAAAAGATCACAACCATTCTATCCAACGCTTTTCATTACCTCACTCTCATCTCCCACACAATATTCACGCAATGCAGTCACTTGCAGGGAAAGTCGTCCTCGTGACAGGTGGAAGTAAAGGGATTGGTCGAGCAATCTGTTTTCGCCTCGCAAGCCAAGGGGCGGAAATAGTCATAAACTATAGTAACGACTCTTCCCCAGCGAATGAGGTTGCGTTACTTATAGGAGAAGAAAACGCTACTACCATAAAAGCTGATGCTGGAAATATTGAAGAGATCTCCAAATTAGTTGATGCTACAATTGCGAAATATGCAAAGATTGAACTGGATAATGTTACTGTTACAGAGTGTGACCAGACTCTCAATTTGAATGTCAGGGGACCTCTATTTCTTGCTCAGGTATGTTGTGACTTTGATAGTAGCGGAATACCTTGCTAATAGCCTTAGAAATCCGTTCCTTATATAGCAACCGGCTCTAGTATTATTTTATTTTCCACAACCCAATGTCACGCTAGTACAGTAACTCCAAATTACCTTACATACATCATGTCGAAAGGTGCTATTGAGCAAATGACACGAGGTCCTTCGAAAGATCTGGCACGAAAAGTTATCATGGTCAATACTGTAGCGCCAGGACCAACATCGACCGAACTTTTCCTCGACGGGAAGAACGACCAACTTTTGCAGACGATTGCGGGCTTTAATCTGCAGAATAGGATTGGTCAACCAGACGAGGTTGCAGAGGTCGTAGCGTTTTTGAATAGTAGTGCTAGTTCATGGGTTACGGGTCAAATACTTGGAGTAAATGGTGGTATGGCATAATTTTAGATAAAGTTGAAAATCCTAAGTTTCCTTAACTCATTTAGCGAGCCTTATATTCCGTTCGTAAAACTTGTGAAAACGAGGTAAGGCTTACTATGATCAAAGGGCATGGTCATTCTGCATCTTTAATTCAATGATATACGAAGACTCAAAAGCTAGTAGTCTCCTGTGGCAATACTATTGCATAGACTAATCATTATCCGTCTCTATATCTCCCAAATAACACGCCCAAGCCTACATACTTCGCTAAGCAGCTTCCGCCTCCATGGTAAGATCTTACCGTTTCCTTTCACATCCGTCGTTTTACAGATATAAACATCATGCTCCGGTTCCTCCTCTCACAGCTCTGCCTATGCCTATATTAGTTATATTATTTACTTTTACTTTTATTCTCTTCCCTTTATTTCTAGAAGAATTGGTAAATACACATTTCTTGGATTTGTTGAGTTTATACTAGTATTCGGTCTTTATATGATTTTCTTTCCTTTTGATATCGATGAATGATTTGATATAAATGGATTAAAAATAGAGATTTGAAAGATAAAGTTTAATATACAAAGAATAATCTTATAATTATTATATACTATAAGTAGTTGAACAAGGAAAAATATTTGAATAAAATATAACTTGATTTTATTTAATTTCAATAGAATAACCATAAATAATGGGAGATGTTTAGGGAGTGAGGAGTGAAGAGTAGAAGGGTATTGCATTCATTTGTGCTGGTGAATGTATATATTGATGGATGGCTCCCTGTTCAGATTTGGCTCATCATCACATCATGTGATTCACATGAGGAGATGCTTGCAATTTGTAAGTTCATGTCACGCTCCTTGTTGATCTAAGGATTTGTGAATTAATAAAATAATTATCGCCAGCTACTACGCAGATACATAAATATTGAAAAGAGGTTGCGCTGGTAACGGGATGCGAGCTCTGTCCTGAGTCCTGACGCAAATATCAATCCGACTGAAAAACGGTAGTTCTAAATGAAAGTAATCAATGCAATGTAAAGTTTTCGCCATTATAAATCTTCGTGTTCATTCAAAACAGGCAATCTGTGACATTATATATTTTGTAAAGTAAATGGATTTGGACTCATTGAGCCAAAGCATCAGTACTCTGTCGATCTCCTCCATGCGAATGACGACCCTCCTCTGCACCATGTTGTCCTTTACCAACATCAGAATGCTTCGCCGGATCAAACACGTAGATTGGAAATTCCAAAAAAATTGTTCTTTTCAATATAGTAGGGAGCTTCTCGTAAATTTGAGGCGGGAAAGGAATTAGAATGCTCGTTCGATTCAGGTATCGAGAGTATTCCTCCCAATGATTATCCTTATCATATCGTTTTTTGGCTCCAGGTCTCTCTTGAAGTGTCAAGCCAGATACGAACATGAGGAGAGTAGTGAGAAATATTGGGCCAAGGATTGAAGCATAAAGAGCTTTGCGAGCTCCACCATGGACAAATCCTTCGGCAGCAGGAGAGACCGCAATCATGTAAATAGCTACAGGAGATTAGCGAAAGAAAACCAAAAGCTAAAGGGGAGCTTACAAAATTGAATCATAATCTCTCCAAAATAATTTGGGTGTCGACTCCATGAGAAGAACCCTTTATCACAAATTTTCGATTTATCAATGTTGTGAGCTCGGAAGAGATACTTCTGAATATCACTCACGCTCTCCATAACAATACCAATGGCGTAAAGAATCACTCCAGCGATATCACTAGCAGTTCCAAACGAGGGCTGTGGAAATTTCGTGACTTTTGGGGAATTCAAAAGCGTGACTGGAAAAGAGACGATCCAAACCCAGAACATTTGAAATACCCAAAATCCGAGAAACTTGAAGAAGTTTTCACGTTTATCATCAAATCTATCATCTTTTCCAGTCTTCAGAATTCGGAATAATAGGAAAGCCGAAAGACGTGCCCCCCATATCATGATAAAAAGGGAGGCCACGATTTGGCGTGCATTGTGATGGCCACTGAATGCAAGCGTTATGATAGCTAATACAACGAAGTTCGTCCCCCCAGCAAAGTCTGAAATAAATGTTAGTGGATAGGAAACTCCTCGGGTGATGTATATATCTTACCTGTAAGTTTGTCGAATTTGAGAGAAAAGGCAATCGAGAAGAAGAACAATTGATATGCAGCTGTAATCAACAGTGTTATTGCAAGGTAGTAGTCATCCAAAACATGGACGACCGTCATATCTACAGAATCCTTCTGTCCTTAGGTATTGAATGTGATGGTAATTATCGTGTCGTATGATGGTTTGATGTTGTCGGGACGGATTGAAAAAGGAGGAATGAATAGATTGAAAACAATCCCTTGAAGATTGGAGGCGAAATAAGGGACGACAAGGCACTACTTCTTGCCGTGTTTAAGGAACTTGATGTCAGCCTAGCTGCTAGATCTTGCAGTTCCTGTATTTTGAATCACCAGTGAGCCTACTAGTAGAAACTTATTAGGTAGTTTTATACAAGAGCCGACAGATGAGGATGTGGCTGGAAAATACCGTGCATGAGGAGGACAAATGTGAGGATTGCCTAGTAGATTTAGGTCCAGAAGCGTAGTTAAAGATCATTGACGCAGTCCGGGGATAGAAAAGTCCGTTTGTAGCTTCTACCTTCCTCTTCATCGTTGAAACATCGCTGAAATCGAGAGTCTACAGGCCAATTGATGTCGCGCGATCATGACGTACCGAATGGTGATTACTAATCGGTGCATATTGATCGAGGCTAGCCGAATTCGTAGATTCGGCAGTCGGAATTCGGAAGTTTGTATACTCCGTATTGAACTTGTGTTTTCCTCTTATGCAAGGCTGAAGATTAATCTAAATGCTGCTGCACCTCACACATCGAGGTCTTTGAAGGTCGATTGGTATTAAATTTTCTATGTACACTCCATGTTCGCCATGTCCTAGAGAAGTTGCAAATGATGAGGGATATCACAATCTCACTATACACCAATATCTGGATGTACTTCACTCGTTTGTGCGACAAGTTGTCGTCAACATACACGGATATAAAAACCTTCAAACCGAGTATTTAACAGGACAAAAGATAAGAAGGTTCGGATGGGGATATTCAGGTCCTTGGCGAGTCAAACAATCCAACGTAATCGCAATTGCGTCGCGAACTCCATATAAATTAATCCCCCGTTCACGACACTGACAATGACACAGCACACCCAAGGGAAATCGCTGGAACATTTACAAAGCTTATTTGGTATCTAAGATTCAAAATTTTCATTGGATATCATATCTGGATTGCCGGTATATAAGCTTGTATTACTGTTTGAAACCCTCCGCCACAGAGTCAGCCTGAAACCGCAAACGTCTGTGATTGTCCTTTTCCCCATACCTCAAAAAAGCTCCGACGTTTGAGATTCTCTCATCTCTTACATGCTCTAGCACTATTCTATCAAAACTTTCTCAAGCCATCACCTGCGAAGTGATGCCTTTGCACTATTCATCCTTATCCTCACTGGAGTTTTCTACTTTTATGTTGTGCATGGAGTTTCTTTCACTCGACCCTGCCGCCGAGACCCTTGGAGTCTTCGGATTTTCAGATCAATCACTTTTTGATGTTTTACTCCATTATGCTATGCTATGAGTATGGGTAAACTTAGTCAAGTCGGGTAAATTTGGATCACAAACCCCTGGCGGCTCACAAGTTTGATGGCGCCATGATCTCATATTCATCCATCCACAATATTCTCCCGCGTGTCGAGGATCTACACTTAAGACCAGGCACCGGGGTCCCTCAATTATCAATCATAGCGCCAAGACTCGTTGATGCACGGTTTTAGGATCGTATGCATATCTTCCACTTCGCTCATTGAATGTCTTGTTATCTGAGGATCCCCTTTAAAGTTTCTTCCCATCTAATCAATTGTAATTCTGCAGCTGCAGGCCACGCTCACTCAGTATCTTCTTGTATTCTTGCTTCACTCCACAGCTGGGCTGTTGGCGACGTTCATTAAAAAAACTACAACAATACTCGAAAGGCCGAAGACTAAAGTTTATTATCTTAGCGGGAAGATTTGAGAAGAGGGATGAAGGGCTTCATGAGAGCACCGCTGTTAGTGGTAGTCGGGGTCGCAAGTTTCGCATATGTATGGTTTAAGAGTCGATTGATGATGTGGATGGGGGCTGATAATAGTTTAGGCATATCCAAAGGATCCAAGAGGCTTAAGTGATATCATCGCCGCTCTTGAAGGTGGAGGAAAAGGTGAAAGTGGAGGAGCGGCGGCGGCGGTGACAAATGAGATCACAAAGACAATGACTGTCACGAAAGTGATTCAGGGAGCGGCGGCGCCAACAGGAGCGGCGGTGGCGTTGACAAATGAGATCACACAGACAATGACTGTCACGAAAGTGATTCAGGGAGCGGCGGCGCCAACAGGAGCTGCTATACAAGCTGGAGGGACTGGGTATGATAATCTAATTCATTTCAATTGATACTGGCCGAGGACTAACATTTTCAGCGGCCAATTCTCATTCCTCACTTCGACCGTATTTGCTTCAGGCGCTCCACCTACCGTCACAGTAACTCCTCTACCTCAGATGATTACTCAAACCGTCACTAAGACGGAGCAAGTTATGGTTACTATGATGGCCACGGAAATGTCGGTGGTAACATCAATGGTCACTATGACTATGATGGTATCAGGTATGATGGATTTACATTGGAATGACTTGCATGAACTAACTCAAGATCATAGTTACTATGGAAGGAGCTGCGACTGTACCACCAACCAGCATGTCCTTAAGCACGTCCTCCAGTACAACCTTGACCGAAGCCGCTATTCAGGGAGCACCCGAGCCAACCACCACCACACCAACTGCATTACAACCTGGTACATCAAAGGCTCCTGAACTTGGAGCTGCACAAGTTGAGGAACCAAAGCCCGTGGACATCAGCACATTATCCTTGGCCAGCACTTTGGTCCTTGGAAATCTGGCTGTCGCGACAGCTATCTAAGTCTGGGCTGATGTTCAAAAATAATAAGAAATGGGTTCGGAAGATGTAATATCAGGTTGTGTAGGGCTAGATTCCCCGGAGATACTAAATTCGTTGTAAATATACGTTCAGAAAGGATGTCAGGAAAAAAGAAAACACAAAAAAGAATATAAACATCAACTATTTACTTTTCGCTTTTATTGTATTATGAGTATCTATGACTGTGAAAGTCGATTCTTTCGGGGTTGTCTCTTTCGATGAGCTCGAATTGGATTCAGTGGCCTTTAGTGCTTCCATTCTCTGTTTCTTTGCCTGCCTCTTGCTTATTTGAGGTGATTCATTCTCCTTCACCTCCTTGTTATCCTCGGCTTTTCTCTTTCCCTTTCCCTTGTCTCCATTATTTGCTTTATTCTTCTGTGCCTCGCTGATTTCAGCCTCTTTTGTAGCACTCCTTTCCCCTCCGAAGACCACATCCACCACTCCTCTGAAAGAGCTTCTCTTCAAACCCTCATTTATGACCACTGATCTCGGAGTGTCCCCTAATCCTTCCATTCCTCTTTCTCTGCCCAATCCCCACACCGCCATTAAATTAACAACATCTGCTGGACCTCGCACACCCAATGCAGTCTTGGCTTCACTGCTGATCACAATTCCTCTGCCTCTAGTAGCCCTGAATATTCCGAGACAATTACTTATGAAATTTTTGCGCGCATTCGTATCTTCCATCGTAGCCTGCGCGTAGCATATTTCGAGTCTAATACCGCGATGTATAGCTGCCATAAGAGGTTTTGGTTTGAAATGAAATGGAAATCGTTGTGTGAGGTCAAGCGATATTAGAGAGTGCTCGCTTAGATTGAGACATGCTGCGAGAAAAGCCTTTTCGGTGGTAGGGCGAATCGCGAGGATATCGTAGACGGATGAGATGGCCGAGAGACGGTGATTAAGGGAAGGATCAGAGAGCACGATGGTGCAGCGGCGGAGAATGACCGTTTTGGGTGGAACTGTGAAGGGAAATGTCGTAGGTATTAGGTTTGTTATATTCGAAGGAAGCGGTCCGCTATGGATATGATTGAGGGCTATGGTTCCGTAGCCTAATTCTGAAAGGAATGAAATTGTCCTTTGGAGATCAAGAGGGTCTTTATTTGATGACCAAGGTACATTAAGATCGTATAGCATGTCTGCTTTATTTCTGCAATTTAATCCTCCTTTGTATTCGTAATTCCCTTACAGTTTCTTAACAATGGCGACAACGTGTGCTGAATATTCTTGAGAAGTGAAGCTTAATCCAAAAATAATCCTTCATCATTCAGCCTTGGACAACTTTTAAAAAGGCTACCGTTTACCTTTTATTTAAGGCCACAGGACAAAAATATAACTCCTGCGCTAGCGCGGGGTGTCTTGGCCATTCCATCAAGAATCCGTAGCACATCAACATCAGATCATTTATTTTCTACAACATCGTACAAGGTCATTCTGCGAATCTCGACCAGAAACTTCCGGTCGAATAATTAGGTTCTTATCTATCGGCGACTCAGTTCGGATCTCGATATTTACAAAAAGGCGGTCTCTACACGATTTGCGCGGCGCCTTCCCCTAGCAGGCCGGCCGCAAAATGGCTCGCGTCTATGCGGATGTCAATCAGCAGATGCCACGGGCATATTGGGATTATGATAGCGTGAATATTACTTGGGGCGTGTTGGAGAACTATGAAGTTGTGCGCAAGATCGGTAAGCTAGCAAAACCTCCTTTTCTAATGCTTGATTTGTTTTAACCCGCTCGTGGCTGCTGTGTGTGCTGGTTACTGACACTCGGATGTGTGCTCGTGTAGGACGAGGAAAATATTCGGAGGTCTTTGAGGGAATCAATGTGGCCAACTACCAGAAATGTGTAATCAAGGTGTTGAAGCCGGTCAAGAAGAAGAAGATCAAGAGAGAGATCAAAATCCTACAGAACTTATCAGGAGGTCCGAATATTGTCGCCCTCCTTGATGTTGTTAGGGATAGTCAAGTAAATCCAACGTTTCTTATTACCCCGGCCTATGCTCCTCCCCTAGGTGGGAAGACTGGAAAATCGGCACTTACTGGTCTTGAAAAACTCCTTGAACAAGAAACAGACGACTCATACATGATGCAGAGCAAAACACCTTCTTTGATTTTCGAATATGTCAACAACACCGACTTCCGAAGCCTCTACCCTAAGTTTATCGATTATGACGTTCGATTTTATATTTATGAGCTTTTGAAGGTACATCATCTTAATAGTCAGGAAGCTCCAAAATGCTAATGTTGGTAGGCATTGGACTTTTGTCACAGCAAAGGCATCATGCATAGAGATGTAAAGCCTCATAACGTGATGATTGATCATGAGAACAGAAAGGTGGGATTGCCGCCAGTCCCGAGAATGCTTGACTGATATTCAGGATATAGTTGAGACTTATCGATTGGGGCCTTGCTGAATTTTACCACCAAGGCACAGAGTATAACGTCCGAGTTGCATCAAGATATTTCAAGGGACCAGAATTGCTCGTTGACTTCCAGGAATATGACTACTCTTTGGACATGTGGTCTTTAGGTGCTATGTTCGCTTCTATGATCTTCCGCAAAGAACCATTCTTCCACGGAAACAGCAACTCAGATCAGTTGGTCAAGATTGCTAAAGTACTCGGTACTGAAGACTTATTCGACTACCTCGACAAGTACGAGATTGAGCTCGACGCACAATATGATGATATCTTAGGCAGATTCCCAAAGAAGAACTGGCACAGCTTTGTCAATGCCGAGAACCAACGATTCGTTACTAATGAAGCTATCGACTTCTTGGACAAACTTCTCCGTTACGATCACCAAGTATGACTACTATTTATCATCAGGTTTTTGGCATATGCTAACATGTGATTTAGGAACGTTTGACTGCCAAGGAAGCCATGGCCCATCCATTCTTTGCACCTATTCGCGCCGATGAGCAAGCTGCACGTGGCGCTGCAGCCCCTACTACATGATCTCCCTCTACTCCATACGACTCTAAAAACTTACCCAACGTCCATATGAGCTCACTTTAACTTCTATGATTCATATGAGCTTGTCCAATTCTGAATAGCGTTATGCCGTTCGGCTTGATAATGTTCTATTTTCAGAGCCACCTCACGTACTTCGCCTTTATACATTGAGTATGAGAATCACGGAGATGTTCGTTTCGACGGGGCGGGATCTGGAGGATGGTGGCGGGGACCAGGCGTTTATGATGTTTTTTTTTACATGACCAAACTTGCATACCCTCTGCTCTTACTCTCAGTCGAGCATTGAAAGTTCTAATGCAACTTTGTAGATAGACTAAATCAACTCAAGATTTTGTGTTTATCGCAATATTCTTCCATTCGTTGTTTTTAAAATATAATATCTTTTTTTTGTACTTTCTTCTGTTTCGATTGCTCTCAACGTATTGAATCACGCTGCAAGGGATATATGACATGGTTTTTGCACCGGGAGCGGAATATTCAGTCTGCTCCGGCTCCGACCCGCAGCTTCTGACCTTTAAAGAGCAAATCCCAACGGCGACGGACTGTGAATATGCTTTCTTTGTCCGTCCATATTGAGGTAATTGTTTAATATATGAAAGCGAAAATAGAAATACGTGATGTCGTCGACAACCAATCATATTAGGAAAAATCACCTGAACTCCAGGGCATGCAAGACTTGTGCATTGGCAAAAGCCAAATGTGTACCACGAACGGAAGGATTAAATACGAAATGCGAAAGGTGCGTATTAACTAATCCATGGCTACCATTGTGTTAAATCAAATTTCTAATATTCATAGATGCCATCGTCTGAAGAAAGATTGCGCAAGGCAAACTCCTTCTATAAAGGTCCGTAAACCTTACAAGGCTACGTATGGATTACTCCTCCCTCAAGACCATTTATCATATTTGTGTTTAATGCATTAGCCATAGTCGAGTTGCACAGTTAGAAGAAAAAATTGATGGTATCGTCTCACTTCTTCAACAACAAAAGAGTGTCAATTCCCAAGACACAACGTCGGGAAATTCTCCGCTTATCACCAATGAGGATATCCCCCCAAGATCACCACTCACGGACCCGGAACCTCCAAGTCGTCCGGTTACTAATGGAATAATTCCTCATCTTTCGCCCAAATCTCTCGAACCAAGTAAACGACAATCCGTTTACGAAAAAAGTACGAATGCCTGTCTCCTCGCCCACGTCAACTCTAACCTCGAGCCCAGCGATGTGGAAATCGAAAGGTTAGTGAAACTGTACCAAACGGAAATGGCAGCCAAATTTCCATTTGTGGTCATTGAGACAGGAGGATTGACGAGGAAGGGATGGGTGCTGGAAAAACCGGTACTAGGTAAGGCGATTTTGATGGCAGCTAGTTATTATAATTTGCCGAGACAGACGGTTTATGAGACGGCGTTGGTGAGGGATTTAACGGATAGGATTATGGTGAAGAGGGAAAGGACTTTGGAGTTGTTGCAGGCGATTTTGATATTTTGTGGGTGGTGGGTTGGTTCTTTTTTCTTTCACTTTTTTCTTATTGGGATTGATGGACGACGAATGTATGTCCGATTATTGATCCCTCGGGAGTTGTTGTCCTAAGAAGTAGTCAGAGGCCTAAAGGGATGGAGGGTGGATAGCTTTTTTGGTATTTTGGAATTTGCAGAGGCATGATTGAACTGGAGCCACTTTACTGACTAAACTTCTGTGGTTAGGTATCATTATCATTGTCTAGGACATCCTCACCTGAACAATCTTCTTGGCTTAGCAATGGGGCTCGCTGGCGATTTGGGACTCAACAAACCACCATCCTTAGATAAATTCAAATATCCATTTGGTCACAGTAGAGCCACGGCTGGAGATTTTTCAAGGAGAAGTATGGAGCAAAGAAGAGCTTTAGCTGGATTGTTTTATCTGACTTCCTTGTGAGCTTTTTCACTATTCACTTCATACATACTTCCTAATCTAAATCTAGGGTTGCAACCGGCTTTCAACGCATAGATGCTATGAAATACTCAATACATCTTGATGAATGCATTCGTGTTATAGAGGAGAATCCAGAATATTCTACTGATTTGTTACTGGTTGAGTTGGTCAAGGTATCACATCTAGGAGAGAGAATTAGTCAAACGGTTTCGGTTATCCAAAATGAGAGTGAAATTCAGATTCCCACGGCGTTGAATTTGGGTTTATTTCAGACGCAACTTGATACATTGAAGAAGGAAATTTCGGGTCCATGTAAAGATGATGGTATGTTTTTCAATTCTTCTATTTTAAGATTTACTGGTGTTGGTTTGTTCAGAAGGTAGTTGTAGTAGAAGACTAATAACTACAAATAGTAATTCTCCAACTCCACCACCACCTTTCCGCAATACGTCTCCACGAAGTCGCTTTAACCAATAACTGGACCCCGAAAATCGCAACACAATCACCTCAATCAACCTCAACAACCCGAGCGATCCACCCACCACCTCTCCACCCCTCACATATCCAATCTCTATACACCTGTCTCCACCACACACGCTCCTTCCTCTCCCTTATCTCTTCCCTTCCCCCCTCCACCTACCTTAGTCAACCCATCACCCCCTGGTTCCTCCTCGCATACGCCCTCATGATCCTCGCCCGCCTCTCCTTCTACCAAAACCCGCTTCTCCCAACATGGACCCTAGATTTCGTCCGCGAAATCTGCGATCTCTCATCAACTCTCGAAGAACTCGCAAATCGGAACGAGAATGCGAAATATGTAGACATCGATCTCATAACTCGAGAAGATAGAGAATTTGGACTCAATGCAGAGGTAGATGTAGAAGGAAGAATAGTAGGAGAGGGCTGGACCGATTGTTTTGATAAATTTGCGCGGAAAATTAAATTGGTGAAATGTTGGTATGATCAGAAAGTTGCGGGGTACAGGGGTGCTGCTGCATCGGTGTCGATGCCTTTGGGGGGCTGGCTTAGAGCTGATAAAAATGCGATGGAGTGTGGGAATGGAGGTATTAATGAGGATATTACTCAAGAGGGAACACAGGTGAACTCGAATGTACTTCCCATCTTGGGTGAAACGGACACGAATCCTTGGAATAGATTTGAGGATCAGAATTTCTGGATGGATTTAGATGGGGAGTGGTGGGATATTGAGGGATTGGAAGCTATGAGTGGGGTTTTTTAGTTGCTTTTTGTTGTTTTGGAAGATTATGATTTGTGTGTTTGTATGTAGTTATCATGGTCTGAGGATGACCTTTGGTAATATGAAGATACTCTGTGAAGGAGAGAGAGGGTGCTAGGAAGAGTATTGATTGATTAGTTGGAATGGATTGTGAACCATCCTCCTCATATATCTACTCACATCACTTTTTCTCATCACCTCACCTCACCTTGTATTGTAATCCACACCCGCATCACCAAAAATAACTTCATCATCTTCATCTCATTATTATACCTATACAAGCACAAGCCGAGCCAAGTAATTCATCTATTTACTCATTTATCAAGTAACTAATCAATCAATCAACTAAAATTAACTAATCACTAACACAAAAGCGAAATGAAAGGAGGCAACGAAAGAGGAGGAGAGAAAGAATTTATATTTACATCTACATTTACATCTCCGTCTACACATCACAACTTTCCCCAAGTAAACAAAATCATTTGTCATCATCATTAGATAGCTAGCTAGTTATTCACACTTATATAGTTACTTACTTACTTACATTGGCTAAGATACCTAATTTCACCAAGCAAGTAAGCAAGCAAGCAAACTACACATACATGCCAATTTCACTTCGCCTATTTTCATAAATTCCCAAGACACCATACATGCCATCATAAAATTACATTCCATCCCAGCCCATCCCAGTTCATCCCATCCGTAGAACACCAGAAACATCACAGAAGAGACCTAATTTATAGCTCCTTCACCTCCATCTCAACTCACATATAGCCACTCATCAATTCCCCTCCATAACCTGCGCAATAGGAATCTTCTCAATCTTACTATTCTGTTCCTGATCCCTAGAAACCTGATAAAAATCATCACAAAAATCCGAACACTGCATGACCTTTAAAAATTCCTCATCGTGAGTAATAATGATAAGTTGAAAATTCGCTTGCTGTTGACGAGATTTAATAATTCCGTGAAGTGATTCTGCCAGTGCTCGAATATTATCTTGATCTAGATTTGTCGTGGGTTCATCTAATGCGATGAGCTGCATAATAGTGTTAGTTAGATCAAGTATGAGGAAAAGAAGAAGACGAGTACTTACACCGCAGTTAATACCGAAGCACTCTGCTAGCGCTAGACGAATAATAATACAAGCTAGAACCTTTTGACCAGCACTACAACGACCACGCATATCCATCTCGACATCTTGCTTCACCATCACAACTCGATACTTATAGTTTGTCTTCTTATTACCAGCTGCCGTCTCGCCCTCATCTTTTTCCGAACGAATCATAATTGTATCAACATCCGTACCCTGGTAGGTAGTCTGCCAAAGTTCACCAGCAATTCGATTGATTTCCTCCATTTTCACACTGTGAAATTTGACAATTGCTTTGTCCATAGCTGTAATCATCTTGCCTAAATCATCGATAGCAGCCTTTGTGGTCTTAACTTTAATCATAGCTGTGCGGTACTCCGTCCGAGCGTTCTTGTAATTAAGATCCCACTCAAGTAAGTATTGTGCCAAATTTTGATCCTTCTCTGCAAGAACAGCTGTTTTCTGTTGGTAAAGGCGGCGATGGTCATAGAATTTTGCTTCTATTTTTTCGGCCTCCTTTGTTAAAGTTTCGAAGTTTCCTTCCACATTCTGTGCTTCTAATTCAATGGTTTGCTTTTTGTATACCTCAAGTTTAGCCAATTCTTGACGATATAGGATGTTGTCGCTGATATTTGTCTTCAGCCGATCTGAATCACTCTTTTTAGCTCGAAGTGCATTTAACTCGGTAGTAATCTGGGCCAATTTTTCGTCAATACGCTCCTGGTCCTGTTGAATTGAACTGATTACTCGCTGGCAAGCAGAGAGCTTTTCAGGGCCATTACTATCAATGTATCCATTGATATTTTTCTCATGCTGCATGAATTGACGGACAGTATCTGCTAACTTTTCCTTTTGAGATCGGACTTCTCTTTCCTTTGCATGACCTTGTTGTTGAATATCTTCGTATTTGGCCTTCGCAGTGTCAATTTTCGGCTTTAGAGTCTCCAACTCAGTATCGGCACGATTGATTGCTTCCCGTTGCTGTGAATTGCTGTCGAGAAGCTCATCGATCTCCCTTTGCAAAGCTTCTTTCTTTGCTAGTCCATGAATAACATCTCGAAGTCTTTGCGATTTACGAGACAGATCACGCTCCATATCATTAAGCTTGTCTTTGGCTGCATCCTTCTCGGACAAAACCTTAGTCAACTGTTCTCTAACCTCCCGCATATTTTCACTACAGGCTGTCTGACGTTCTTGGATTTCGTCAGCAGTCATGATGCCTCCAGCAATACTTTGCTGTGAGGATAAACTATCGATTTTTGCCTCATGGTCTGTGATATCGCTGTTGTACCTAATGATGGAGGAGATGATATTGGTAAGAGACTCAACATCTCTTTGTCTAGCATTCTTGCGCTCGACAATACTGTCATGATGCTCGACTTCTTCAAGCAATCTTTGTTTTTCTTCATCCGCTTTTTTGAGGTCTCGCTCGATCCTTGGGATTTCATCTTTGAGGGATTGGTACATTTCGTACTGTGATTGAGCTGCTTTTGCGGTTTTGATCTGTTCGTTGTAGATCTCTAACTGTCCCTGCAAAGTTTCCCGAGCATCCTTGTTGAGAAGTTTCTGAATTTTTTTCATTGCTGCTGAGCGATGTCCCTCTTCCACAAACGCCCTCTCACAAAGTTTGCACATGTCTTTCGTCTGAATAGTATTTAGACATTGAGTGAAATAATCGATCTTATGTTTAAAGCCATCAATACTATCTCGGATCTCATCACGCTCCTCCTCTAACTGATTCAGCTCCCTGGGATATTCTTCGATGCTAACTAATGGTTTGCCGTCTTCATCCCTGACCGAATTGAGTACTGTGTTCTCACAAACTTTTAACTGGTCCTTCTTAGCTTTGAGGTCGTCACGGAGCGCGTTGAATCGGAATCCCGCTTCAGAGTAAGATTTTTTGGCAGCTTCTTGCTCGTTTGTTGCATCTGCAACTTCATCTTTTTCCCGATCTAGCGCATGTTGGAAATCCTTCCCAAGGGTATCGACTTGCCAATCTGAACCAAGAATTGAATCAAGCTTCGCACCGTGGGTCGCCCTCATGGTGTCTAGTTTTCCCTTGGTCTTTTTCAGTTCTCCCATGACATAATCAAGCTGAGCACGGTCATTAGAACGTTTGTTGATTTCAAAAGCCTCTTTTCTAAGAGATTTCTCCTCGTCTTCAAGCTCCCGCAGACGTCCATTACTAGCGCTGATGCGGTTTTCCCAGCCAGCACTTTCAAATTGAGCCCGAATCTTTTCCAGGAGATCCTTAGTCTCGTTATAGGATGATTCAAGGCCGGTTTTATCACCTTCGTCGAACTGGATAAAGCCAAGTTCTGTTTGTTTAGGACCCATTTTCCTGTCGTTGTTAGAAATAGTTTGCTTCGCGGTGACCTTCTCTTGGACACGTATTGCGTGCTGATTCTGAAGCTCCGTCAGTGTGGTCTGGACGTTTTTTAACTCGTCATTAGTGGCCGCCTTAACCCGCTCCAAATCACGCTCCTTGTCACGAGAGAGCTTCTTGATTCTTTCCATAAATTCATTCACCCGAGATTCATTGATGTCGTCATCATAACCTCGAATGAAATGCTTAGAAGCAGAACTCTTGACTAGCTGAACTCTAGATTCAAGTTCTTCTTCGTAGGCTTGTTTCAGGGCTTGCTGCCGACCTAATTCTGCTTGCTTTTTGCCAAGTTCGCTGGTGTTTGCTGACATCTTCTGTTGTTGATCTCGATATTGGTTCTGCAATTGCTCATCTTGTTGTTCCATTTCTAGTATTCGATCCGCGTATTGATCTAAGGTTGACTTAAGCCATTCATCCGATTCAGAAAGTGGCTTAATTCTTTTCTGAAGCGATTCTAGATTTTCTTCGCAGAATTTGACTCTTTCTTTGTTGGTCCTGAGTTTTTGAACCAATTCCCAAAACTCGGCCGCCTGTCTCTGTTTTGCGTCAACCACCTCTCGAACTGCTTCCATGTTATCTTTGTCTTTAAGGGCCTCCTCTGATAACTGATCAATTTGAGCAGCAAGTTCTTCGCAACGACTCTTGGTTTTTTCTCCTTTGTCCTTGTTATCTTTGGCAATGGCCTCTTCCGCAATCATGCCTTTAATCTGCTGAGCGTAATCCTTTTTCAAAGATTTGAGGCTATCGACAGCTTTGGTGTATTTTGTAGCTTCGAAAATGTCGTCAAACTTCTTCTTGAGATGTGAGGGCTCACTCATCGGCCATAGTGAATCATCTTGGTGACAAAAGATAACATTGTCCAAAACAGCCTCAGAAACGCCCAAAGCTGATTGCATAATCTTGTCAATTTCTCCAACTTTGTGAGACACAGCAGTTCTCTCGCCGCCATTATTGACCATCAATCCTGCATCTAGAGTCTTCATCTTTCTCGCGGTCTTCGTAACCGTGAGCTGCATACTTCTTGTGATGACCATTCTCGATCCTGTCGTACTTTGGAACGAGAGTTTGACTTGTGCCAGTACCTCCTTCTCCCCACAGAGCTAATCTATGTAAGCACCATGTGTAAAAACTTACCGAGGGTTCGATGAGTAACATACTTTTGGATCATGAATGAAAGCTCCTCCAACCTTGCTATTCGGTGGTTGTGCCCCAGTGGTTGCATATTTCAAGCATTCGATGATTGTCTATTTGTAACTCAGCTAAGTTCTGCAGTAAATCTGCATGCCAATACCTACAGTCTTTCCCGAACCATTGAGCCCAACAATGAGTGTTAGAGGAGTGTTGAAAGAGATATTTTCCCAACCCTTGTGATCAAAGGACCGCACCCTATGAGAACGGAAACCAGTAAGCTCAACTGTTCCTGATACATGGCCGACATCGATAACACCAACCCGCATATTCTCATCTTTTCTATTTTTGACATCTTGTTAACTATAAAAGGCTCCCAGAGCCTGTCGAATGCTGACGATGAAAGAAGAAAGTTGATGATCGTGACAAGATTTTATAGCCTGGATATTTACGTTAGCACTAGCATTAATGCAGAAGGATGAAGATGATAATAGTGAAATACCTAATGCTACCTTCTCGTTTGCGGCCTTCTGTTCTGAAGTGAATATGAGTATTATGTGGGCAGGGTTGTGTTTAGGTTGACAGATATAGATAACCTACCTGGAAACGAAAGGATTTGACGCTCCGCTGGGCCACTGCCGTGGAGGCTTTTTCGCTTCGCTCTAGATAGGGAAATGCGTGTGAAAGTTGATGAGGTGGTGGGTGGATTCTAATAAACTGTACATAAAAATCGAGAGGAGTATTCAGTAGGTAGGTAGCCAACGCGACGCATGGAAATCGAGTTGAAAGAAAACGCGTTTGACCGCGGAATCACGTGTGATCCTAGGCAGCTCCCCCGAAGGTCAATGCATCCAGTATCTACCTATGCCCCGCCACCACACAAGGTTTGTTTGATGAAAAGGGCTGGTCCAAGTTCCGATGACGACGTAGATGCATCATGTTGTCCATCAATTGAAGACTAAAATTAAAGGAAGGGGATTAACTCGTCGAAGAAAAAGTAAAGAAGAACAGCAAAACTCAAAATGAGTGTGCTCCATATCCATATTTGGATACGCAATTAGACAGACAGATAATCGCATTACTGGTGATAGCTTGGAAAAGTATCATGGTGGAAACATCTTTTATCTTGTTTCAAAATATACAAACTAATAAATCAAATCAAATCAAATCAAATCAGAAACTCTCTTTCGTGCTTTCCTTCTTTTACTCATTTTATTTTAATTCAAATCTATCTATTAGGTAGTATTTATGTAGTATCTATGTAGTATTTATATAGTATCTATGTAGTATTTATGTAGTATCTATGTAGTATCTATGTCGTATCTATGTAGTGTCTATCTATCCATTCATCTAGGTTAAATATGTATTTAGTGTTACCTAAGGTTTTTCACTAATCATAACTCCCGTAGCCATATCCCTTCATCAGCCCCAAGAACTTCTTCTTCAATGCTAACTAACCAACCCTTTAATACACTACTTGCCTACTTGCCTACTTGCTTTACCTTTACCTTTACCTATTTTATCTATTTTACCTTACCTAATATAATATAATATAATATAATATAACATAATATAATCAACAAATACCTGATACTCCATATATCCATCCACCTTTCTTTAAAAACATCACATTTTTACACATTCCCATGCTTTTCCCATTTCCCGTCTTATGACATTATTTCGTCATCAGTTCTTCAGATAACTAACTAATAATTGATATCAATCAATTCAATTCAATTCCCATCTTAATGCGACTTGTCATTCTTTCCAATTTTCATTTTTCCCTTTCCCCTTCTGATTAAACTTTAAGCCAAACTTCCGAACGAAAACTGAAAAAGGAAAAGGAAAAGGAAAAGAAAAAGAAAAAAGAAAAAAGAAAAAGAAAATCTCGGAGCTAATGCTGTCTCAGCACCACATTCACCTCCGGCCTTCCAAATAACATATACAATTCTTCAAGTTTGAATACATACTATACTACCCATTACACAACAATACTCTTCCTTTTTGCGCCGCGAAGGATCAATAAGGGATAATTAAATTCGACATGTCGGACGGTGATCCATCAATACATATGAATAATTTGGACTTGGACCCTACTGCCGTCATGTATCATCATCATGCAGACAACCTCGGGTCCATGAATAGGGTCTTGTCAGCCTCGCAGGTACGAAACGCGGTTCGATCGAGATCTTTTATAGATCTTCTGGACCTCTCAACCCCAATTTTCATTCATGCCACATTCTAATCCCGAGTCTAGGCCGACCAAAGTTTATCCGATAATTTAATGAGCGATATGTTACAGGATAATTTGTTTGATGATTTTGATGGTTTACCTGATATGAACATGAACATTGATATGAATACTCTTGGCGACAATGGCAACATTCCAAAATCTTTCACGCCGCTCAACAATATGATGTCGCAGACTGGAATTGATCAGACGGATGATGCTGGAAAGGCTCTAACAAATGTTGGGGATAGTCAGATGGGAGAAGTTGGTGCTGGACCGTTACCCGCAGGCTTTGGCGCCCAGCCTTCACTTCCCACTAGCAGCTCAGTGAACGATTTTACCAAACGAAGAAATTGGCCACAAAAGGTTGTCGAGGAGATTAAGGATTTTATGCACGTATTAACGCCCAATGGAAAGCTGGTTTATGCTTCTCCTAGCTGTCATGCCCTCACTGGATATACGCCCGAAGAGCTCGCGGGGAAATTCATTCAGGATTTGATACATCCAGATGACAGTGCAATGTATCTTAGGGAGTTCAACGAATCCATCGCTTCAGGCAATGCACTACGCTTCTACTACCGATTTCATAAGAAAGACAAGACCTTCATAATTTTCGAGTCGCATGGACATGCTCATTATGCATCGACAGCCCCTCCATCGACCACTCAACAATCACAAGCAGAAACTGCAGATTATTGCAGAGGATTTTTTATGATGGCACGGGAATATCCAACCAAAAACGCTATTCTATTGGATTCATTTTTGGAACATAAAACCGAGTTTGAGCGAATGTCGAAGAAGATAAGGGATCTCAAGAGAGAAGAGGAGGAAGAATACGAAGATAGTGAAAGAAATTATCATAAGCAACCATCAGACTCATCTGAGACGATAACCACAGCCATGAGCACATCTATGCCTATCGACGCAAGTCATCCTGATTTCCTAGCAATGCCTCCTCCAGCCAGGCCGGATATGTCATATAGCACTTTGACCAAAGCAAATCTCGAGGATGCAAGTTCTGGTAGCAAACCCGATTCTATGAAAGATAAAATGATGCGATATGAGGGCGTGGATAGCATAGAAATGCTCACTGGGTTACAATATCGTGAAGGTGAAAGAAGTCAAGGGATCAGCACTGGTGACCATAGTCCAGCTTTGATTAGAGGTGATGCTGGAATTGCTATACCAATTGACAAGGATGGTCGTTCAGGAGACAAAAAAAAGAAGATGAAGCTGGTAGATGAATATGTTTGTACGGATTGTGGTATGTACCATATTTATTTACTGATTTTGAAGTTTTTAAAAGAAAGAGCTAATACTTGATAAAGGTACTCTGGATTCACCAGAATGGCGCAAAGGTCCTCAAGGTCCCAAGACACTCTGTAACGCTTGTGGTCTTCGTTGGGCCAAGAAGGAAAAGAAACAGAAGCCGGAACCATTGAATCCTCCTGCAGGAGCTTGAGAATATCGTTAGCAACTCTCTTACGAAAAATGACTTGATTGATTTTACAGGGCGCTTGGGCGTGAGGGAAATTTAAACAAATCCAATATGAAGCTTGGGCTGGGATGGTGTTTTAAGAGGGTTCATTACTTCAATACCCCACTCGAATTCGGCGTTTTCTCCTTTCTCTTTGGCTTGGGATATTTAATCGGATGTTTGGAGTATCCGAGATTTAAGAATGAATTAAATGAGATGGAAAGTGATATATCTGGTTATTTAGTTACTTGAGGCTTATGGATATCACAGTATCATCCATTCTATTGTATGAAAATAAAAGTATATTATATAATGATTGAAATTTTATCTTTTATAAATGTTTTTTTATATTAATATATTTATATTTATATTTGATTATTTATTATCAAAGAATATTAGATGTTTTTTAATAAATATAAAATTAAATAATTTATTTAAAATATTTATTTTTATTTAATGATTATTATTTATTTATTTATATTTGTTTATTGAAATTTAATAAAATTTTCTTCATTTTTTCATTTTTTTTCATTCTAAATAAAATTAAATTAATATATTTTGATATATTTTAATATACTTATAAAATAAATAAATATATTATATTAATTGATATAATTTATAAAGTATTTAATTAAATAAATATATTTATAAATATAATTAAATTCAATTGATTAATAATTTAAAATTTAAGAATTTATTATTTCTATTATTATTATATTAATATATTAATATACCTACATAGGTATCTATATGATCGATCTATTTCAATTCATTGGATTTTATTCAAGATATGAATAATAGAAATAGAAATAGAAATAGAAATTCATTTTGATACATACAAAAAGGACTACTACACTATACTATACTATACCAAACCACAACCAGACCAAACCAACAACGTAAAAAAATATAAACACACAAATCCTCCTTCCTTCTCAACTACCCCAATCCATATACCATTGTCGCAGAGCTCGAAGCCGTCTCATACGCATCCTCCACCACACCACTTGCCTTAGCCGAAGCCTTTTCATAGACACCACCCGCCAAGCCTCCCGAACCTCCCGAACTTCCCGAACCTCCCAAACCTCCCAAACCTCCCAAACCTCCCAAACCTCCCAAACCTCCCAAACCTCCCAAACCTCCCAAACCTCCCAAACCTCCCGAACCCGAAGACGAACTTTTAGAAGAATAAGCAGCAAAACCATCCTGAACACCTTCTTTAGCTTTTGAAGTAAACTTATCATACATACTCCCAGCCTTGGACGTTCCATGTTGAAATTCTTCCTTGAGTCCATCCTTTGCCCTTGAAGTAAATGCATCATAAGCCTCTCCTGCGTTTGATGTTTGACTCGCATACGCATCATATCCTTCCTGAGCATTCTCCATTGCTTTTGAATAAATTGTATCGTAGGTCTCCTTGACACCATCTGTTGCTTTTGAATAAGCATCCTTAACATCACCTAGAGGATAATTTCTCATTCTCGCCAACCAATCTGCACCTGGAGATCCAGAATATTCATAAGCGGTAAGAACTGCCTCTTTTCCTTTTCTCTTGCACTGTTTCAGGAACCCGATGATGCCACTTAGAACTTCTTTCATCCAAGCTATCGTTCCGACCCATCCAACAACACAGTAAGAAACTAGGAATACTCCTAAAAATAAAAACCCCAACATGGCTAGAAAATCCCTCTCTCTTTTGTATCTGCCTTGAACCATCTTCTTTTTTTGTGCAACAAAATCGAAAAGTGACTCGACAGGTTTATCTATTTCTTTATAATAAAATACCGCTCCAGCACCAGTAACATTAAAGACACTTTGTCCATCCATGTCACCCCCTGGTTTTGAATTCCCAGCCCAATATCTTCGAGTAAAAGGCCACACTGCAATCTTAACACTCGCCCGATGCGTATATCCAGGTGGTTTATGTTCAGCCAATTTCCTTTGAGCATCGAGAAACCTGTGAAGAGCAAGCATTCCTGCTTTCGACTGCTGGCGGGCAGGTCCGGCAACTTCATAGCCGATTCTATAGCCTTCGGCCTGCGCGCGTTCAGCTTCCATCAGTTCATGATCTCTGGTCCATGTAGTCTGAATGAGACTTTTAGAAAGAGTCCACGATGATTGAAGGATGGATGTGTGTTCTTCTGGACTGTAGGGGCTGCCTGGAATGAGAGATGTGATGTGCATTATGGTTGGAGAGATACGTGTACAGAGGGAAAGGTAGGCCGCGCTTGAGATTATGTTGTGGAGGGATTGATATAGCGCTGTAGATTGGGGAATGGCGGTGTTGCGGGGAGCGGGAAGAAGGGAGAGGTAGTCAAAAAGAGGGCCCAAGAGAAGGATTATTTGTGCTGTGAGGGTCGTGCAATCTTTGTGAAAGTTGGGGGTTACGGATGCTCCTCCTAGGAGAATGCGAATAGATTTGCCGCGGAGTTGCTGACGACTGTAGCCTGCAGATAAGAATTTATAAGTAAAATATTAATGGTACAAGTCCATTTTCTAGGAATTTGAAGTCCATACCTTCACTATCCAGAAGTGCACGATCTAAACTATGCAGAAGATCTTCCCCCTCTTTAGTATTTCCCCATAGATTCGGTGCAAAAACTTTCACCTCCAATATCTTCACTATAATACCCACAATAAGAAATTTCCTCGTCGCCGTATGTTTTAACATCTCATCCCATCCTCCAACTACAGGATCTGGTTCAGCTATAAGCTCCACGTATCTGTAAAACTCATCTGGCATGTCAATGGCCCAAGGCTCATTGAAACCTCCCTCTAAATCTTGAAACCCAAAATAATCTTTAGCAAATCCAATGATTCGATCAAATAAGACGGCATATGCATTTTGAAACCAATCATTACTGCGGTCTCCTTCCGGGTGTGGAGGAAACTCAAATTGGAGTGGCATAAAGTTTTTGAGGTCAGCTATGACGTTAGGTGAATGAGCCATCCAACCCCATCTTCCTCTTCTAGCCGGCCCTTTAGTATTCGCAGTTGGTCCGTCGGTCCACTCCAAGCCTGATACCGGAGGCAGTTCATCGCCTGTGGCACTTGCAGGGACGACATCTGTCACAGGACTGCTAGCTAGACCACTAAGGAGACTGATCCCTCTCAATTTATCGCCAGCGCCTCGCACCGCTGCCAATGCATCTCGTGCTTTAGTTCTTCGATCTTGGGTTAGTTTTGGGTTTAGAATCTGGCTGCGAACTAATTGCTGAGAGTGTCGGACGGTTCTTTTTGTTGTCTGAAATAAAACACTTTCGTCGGCTTGACTAGGAATTCTATCATCGTCGTCCACATCAGTTTGAAAGTTGGTGCGATTTCGTAAGAACGACATGTTGATTGAGGATGATTAAGAATTACTGTATGCGTAGTGCATGCTTCCAGGTCTTCATGAAATGGCGATGTTGCGAGGATCTTAGAGATGGGTAAATAACAAATGAAAAAATAAAGGACAATCACGAAGCATTCATCAAAGAAACGAAGAACGCCGGTCATACAAAGAAAAGAAAAGCTGGAAGCATTACCTCTTTATTTTCCGAAAAGAGTCAAAAGTCGTAACTAAAAGCACTGTATGAAGCTAAACAATTGTAGACTGCCTTTCATTTTAAAGTCTTTGTGACCTAAGGAAGAGCTTGACTCCTGGTATCTTGCTACCAATCCTTGGTCATAAGATTTGGAGTTGATAATAAATTAGTTGGCGGCAACAGTGCTTCTCCCCTGAAAAGGCCATATCAACAAACTATAATACTCTGCATGTATTGGAAACAGAAATTACCTTACAGATGAGCTGTACATTCAATTTCCACGTCTGTTCCCAATGGCAATTGATGTACCGCGACGCATGTTCTAACTGGCTTAGGATCCTTATGGAAGAATTCTGCATAGACTTTGTTCATGGCAGCAAAATTTTGCATGTCGGTCAAGAAGACATTGACTTTGACCACATTATCAATGCTACTGCCAGCAGCCTCGAGGACCGCCTGAAGATTGAGAAGTGATTGTCTCTAGATTCTTATTTAATCATGATGTCAATTGAAATGTAGAAGTTTCGAAACGTACGGTTCGATCAGCAATTCCTCCTTCGACAAGTTTCATGGTAGTGACATCCATTCCAATGCTACCAGAGCAGTAAACCATTCCCTGACACTTGATAGCCTGGGAGAAGAAGGGTAATGGCGGTGGTGCCTTGTCGGTCGAAACAGATTCTTTTTGAGGCATTGTGTATGATTCTATAGTTGAGTTCTTGACAACTTGATCAAGTTGGATGTATTCGGATGAAGTTGATGAAGATGATGAAGACGCTGAAGATGACGATGAGGTGTTGATGTCAAACTGTTGTTGAGGTCAGGAAGGTGGGGGATGTGCTGCGGGGTAACGTCAAGAATGACAGGGATAAAATTGCGGGCAAAGCTCTCAAACTCGTGATGATCAACACAGTAGGTAGGTAGGTAACCCAATTAGCTACATCTCAAAGACTCGCCCCTAGATGCAAAATAGTATGGATGAAAATTGATTCTTCTCCGAGCGATATGTATGCGCTGACCTCCTCTATCTCACATCTTACCCAGGATGAGAACCGTGACGTCGTGATATTATACTTACATTAGCCATAGGATTTGAGTATGAACTCGGGTATACACTGCTCAACCATATGTTATTTTCAACAGGAGTATAAAGTGCCCCGAGGATATCTAGGACAAAATTGCTCATCCCCACAGAATTATCGATCGAAAACAACCGTGACTTCACATGTCATGAACAATGGCTTCCGGTGACCCCGCATAAGATCTAATTATCCTCGGCATTTCGAGGCCTTTGATGTTAGTTTTGAGTTAAGAGTTCAATTGGTACTTCCATTCAAAGTCCATGTTGTAGTTAATATGATATTCCCAATTAATTTCAATCACATAAATCTTGTCTCCATACCCTTCTGCGCATCTTCGGACTGAGAGCTCCCGAGGATATTGGCTTATACCACACTGTTTCCAGAGTTAGACTTAAGGATACACACCAACTCATGGAGTGACAGTTAATTCTCTTTCAAGGCCACTGATTTCTAGATCAAATTCTCAAGTCCTAACAATAGCACCAAAATATCAAGATCCTAAAAATCCCAAGCGAAATCTGCAAACCACCAAACATGTCACCATCATTACCAAACTCCTACTCAACCCTCCCATTCCAACACATCCGCGTCTCTCACGTACCCGAGTCCTCAGCAAAACCCACTCCAATCATTCTAGTCACACTATACCGACCAGGAAAACACAATGCATTCACCGATACTATGACTGAAGATCTCGAAACAGCCTTTAATCTCTTCTCGCTCGATCCTAGAGTGAAATGTATTGTGATTACTGGCCATGGAAAAATGTTTTGTGCTGGAGCTGATTTGGAAACTGGTTTGTCTTATGAAAATGACACGGCGTTGACACATCGAGATGGTGGTGGAAGGGTATGTGTTTTGTCTTTGTGTGTTGTGGGAGCATTTGATTTTTATCATGCTCTGCTGTAAGAAGCTGTTGATTAATCTTTTTGGTTAGGTAGCACTAGCTATCCATAGATGCACAAAACCTACAATTGCCGCAATCAATGGGTGAGTGAACAATCCTACTCGCTTCTTTTGAAGGCAATAACCGCAAACGATAGCTTTTAAACACCTTTCATAGCTCAGCCGTTGGTATTGGTATAACTTGTAAGCATTAAATTTTCACAACATGCACCTACTTCTTCTGCCAACTCTCATTTATTCCCCACCATCCGTTCTCTAATTCACCTCAGTGATCCTCCCAACCTCCATCCGCATCGTCTCCTCAACCGCAAAAATCGGATTTGTCTTTGCTCGCCGCGGTATAATAATGGAAGCCTGTTCCTCTTATTTTCTCCCTCGTCTCATCGGTCTCTCCCGTGCCACCCACCTCACCACAACTGGCTCAATCTACCCATCAACATCTACCCTTCTTTCTAGCCTATTTTCCGAGATTCTACCTCCAGAACAAGTTCTCCCCCGAGCATTAGAGCTCGCAAGTGATATTACCAAAAATACCAGCGCGGTGTCAACTGCCGTTATGAAAGATTTGATGTGGAGAGGTCCCGGGACGCCGGAGGAAACGCATTTTCTGGAAAGTAAAATTTTGTTGGAGTTGTATGATGGGGAAGACAAGAATGAGGGAATTAGAAGTATGTTGTTGATTGAATTTGTGATAGAGCTTCAAGATTAACCTAATATGTGACAGGTTTCATGGAGAAGAGAGACCCGGAATTCAAGGATAATATGGAAGAGAATGCACCGAGTGTTTGGCCTTGGTGGAAACCTATTGATACCAAACCGCCATCTACGATTGAAGAATTGACACGGCGATTGATGGAAAGGGAGTTAGAACCAGGAAAGGCTAAACTTTGAGAGCTGATTTTGTAGCTTCTATGTAGATGACATGTGGCTATGTATTGCCCAAAACCATTTAAACAAACAGTAATGGAAAACAACATCTACATAAGCAAAGAAATGAAGGTGCAGCTATACACAACAGAAAAGTGCAAAGATTCAGACAGAAGAAGCATGTGATCACAAACACGTCACTGGCATTTCACCCACCATTGAAACTGATATTCTCTCTGTATCTAGTTGCTCCTTTCGCGGCATGATCAGTGATGGCGAAGAAGCCGAATATCGATAATTGAGGAAATGCAAATCCTACCCAAGTTCCTTTTGGTACATAATCCAAAATTGTTGATATACATGGATGTAAGATTCAAGAATGATGTTAAACCGCTACAATAGATAAGTAACATGAACAGAAGATCTCAATGTAAAAATACAAGTCAGGTAAACATGGGCTCTCCACAAGCGGCCAACTCATTGGGATCAAACAAGTGCGTTAAGAGGCATATCTAGGTAATTGTCCCCACCACCAGCATCATTTTGAAAAAGAAATCAACTAAAACCGGACTTTCATGATAGAAAAAGTTGATATTTTAAGCAGCAAGGATTGATTATAATAGGAGAACATGCTGAAACATATGGTTGACAGTAACGCTTTGTTTAACGCCAGTGCAGGCTACACAGGTCTACACTAAACGATGGAGAGTAACATATGGCAACAAAGCATTTTATGAGACAAACATCAACGAAATTTGATATTCCTGTGCAGCGCAAGCAGGTACATGCACATTTTGACCTAGATAGTTGGGATGTGTCAAAAAATGCAGATGCTCGGGAACCTCAATACATAGGTAAAGCACTCAAGACACGGCCACAAATCACACACCTGTGAATATCTAGAATTCCGTCTAGACAAGTTTTTCATAGTACGAAAATGTAAAACGTATTATAAATTTACCAAGTACCTAGATATTGGAAGAAGGATCATGATCCTTAGGAAGTCACTTAGTACATCCAGGATGTATCGCTATTGTAGGCACTTCTCGTCACATGTACAAAATAGACAGGCTATAAGTCTTATTTCCAATCTTGGCAATGGCAAGAGGTAATGCCGTGATCAAACACAATATTGCACATTTTTATGCAAATGTTAACCCAACTCCATGCCGTAACATCTCCGACCACATCAGATATTGGGATGTGGGCGGGTAGTGCATTAGCTTGTCTGAAAAGGCGCCATCACTGAGGCTCTTCTCCACGAAAAAAAATCGTGCCTCGCAGAATTTTGCTTTTTATATGGTGATTTTCTGGGAAAGTTTTGGAAGGTGCGGGAATATGAAAAGGGGAAAGGTGTGATGATAGCACGGGGACGCCTCCCTCCTAGCTTCTCCATTTCATCATTACTATCCCAGATGGGCTGGCTAGAAAAGAAGTATCATCGAGTATTCTAAATCGATTTAAGGAAGGCGTACTGTGTGAAACAGCATGTAGCTCGGCTTCCACTTGGAACTTAAACATATTGGAAGCAGTTATTGCCAACCTCACTTTGACTTCTGAACACTTTTTCTGGTTTAATGTTTTGATGTCATTCAACACACAGCCGTTTTTGTCCTACTTTTACTAATACTATATCCTCAGTCATTATCGACATGTTATGATGAGAACATGACAAGTATTGAGTAAGGTATAAGGCTTACAAACAGCCTTACGCCATGAATGCCTACCCATGCTGTCCGTTCTAGAAACAAGAATTGACTTCCCTAACCTTCTTCTCCCTATCAGTGGAATTGTCGGGAGCCTAGTGACTCGTGATCTCTCCTCATGTCGGACGGCAGGACTGTCATTATACGTCGACGAAGTGAAAATGGAATTTCCATTCCGTTATGAGCGCTTCGTTCGCATAAACTCCTGTATGAATTCATGCTATGCATGAATTGCTTCATCCAATTTTTCTTGTTGACGATATTCAGAATTGACGTTCATCCGCATGTAAGAAGTTCGATTAGCCAACATTTTTACACATTCATCATTCATCCATCAACATCGAATCGTATCTCCTCTTTTCATCCTCTTGTCTTTTCTGTTCATCTTTCTTGGCCATTTCGGTATTATCTGCCATGGCCTGCTTCATTTCTTCCGCATCCTGTGCGCCCAGCACCTCTTTAACAATATCTATTATTGCCCACTGTTCATTTTCATCCGGAAACCTCAACTCCAACTCTTCAATAATGATGTTAAGGTTTTCCATCGATGTTGGCCGGTGATTGATTATCATGAGGATTTCGGCTTTGGTTAAGTCGTAGGGACGGAGCTGCTCAAGAAGATTCCTGATTGTATCTTCTTTATATGGACAGGGCTTTTGTGCAAGTGGTGATGGTGCTTCTTCGAGGTATTGAATTAACTAAAGGTATCAGTATTGACTTTGAGGATTATGTTGAAGTAGAGTTTCACCTCTTTCATGACATTGTCAAGATTACCTGGTCTTCTTCCTCCTGTGCGGTGTTTCGTTTGAATGTCCTTCAAATGGGTGTAGACCTCAAAATTGGTAAGGGTTGCCGATTGTGCCTCTAAGATCTTCATGATTGTTTTATCTTCCAGGCGTAGAAATGTGTTGTAATCGACAGGTGTTAGGGTTACTTCCAAGACGTTGTAAGAATATTGTGTGGCTCCTCTATGGTTGTAATGAACATCGATTGCGGTTCACAATCTTCAGCCTTGACGAGAAATAATTTGCCCATCTCATGCAAAACATTTTAAGCGAGTTCAGCCTCGCCTGCGGGGTTTGAAGAAGCTTAACTTTATTTGGCTAAGCACGTCAGAAGATCTGACCGAATGAATCTTTTTTTCTTCCCTTTTTGTTGCTTGTGAGAGGATTTTATATATATATATATATATATATATATTCACATTGATTCCATTTCCCAACCAGGAAAGTCTTTGATCTCTCTAAAAAAGAAGACATCTTGGAATACGAAGAATTTTTCTAGCATTTGCTTCTAAAGGTTCGCCGAACTAACTCATTTTCATTACATCACTAAAAAATCTGGTGCGATTTAACTCTTTCTTCTTTCAAAGCCCTTAGACCGCCCCGGATTTGGCGCGGCTGCAAAAACGAAGCCCCTCGAGGAAAAAAAGAAATAATCCCGCATTCTACTCAAAACCGTTCAACACAACCATCCATCTTTGACAATCACTCACCATATTACAATTATCTCAAATTCCTTACCATACTTTTGAAGAGATGGTTCGTAATCTTGTTGTTCTGGGGGGAAACTCTCACCCTCAAATCACAGAAATGATCTGTAATACGCTCGGTGTTCCACCCTGCAACAGAATTCTCAAGAAATTCTCCGTTGGTGAGAGTCGTCTCGAAATTCAAGACTCAGTACGAGGCAAAGATGTCTACATCATTCAATCGGGTGGAGGAAAGGCCAATGATCACTTCGTGGATCTTTGCATTATGATCTCCGCATGCAAAACTGGATCTGCCAAGCGTGTCACTGTCGTCCTTCCTTTGTTCCCTTATTCACGACAACCTGATCTGCCATACAACAAGATTGGCGCACCGCTTGCCAAAGGACCAGCCGACGTTAAGGGTAACTTCACTTTCGAAAGTCGACCAGCAACACCTGGTCCTTCTACCCCCCAAACACCGGGACTCACCAACGGTATGGACAAATTACAAAAGAAGCTCGGCAAGGCATCTCTTGAGCAAATTAATACTCAAACGTCAAACGGAATAACTCCCAGACGACAAGATACTTCAGATTCCATTGCGTCTCTTACGAATGGGCGCCTAAGTGAAGGATCAGCAACTTCTGTTACAGCTCCGCCTTTCACTACCCACGACTATGAAAACCCTGGATTTGTCAATGGCCAATCCAAGACTCTTTTCCAAGGCAAGCCGGGATACAAACAATGGGTCGCTCAAGCTGGCACACTCGTCGCAGATCTTTTGACTTGCTCTGGTGCAGATCAGGTTATCACTATGGATCTTCACGATCCTCAATATCAAGGATTTTTTGATATTCCGGTGGACAATTTGTATGGCAAGCCACTTTTGAAAAGATACATTCAGCAAAACATTCCAAACTTTCAGGATGCAATTGTCGTAAGTCCTGATGCTGGTGGAGCAAAGAGGGCAACTGCAATTGCCGATGGGCTCAACATGGAGTTTGCATTAATTCATAAGGTAAAGGTTCCCCCAACTATACTCCCTGCGCACACTCATATCCATTAGGAACGTCGACCTACCCGAATTACCGATCGCCAAAATGCTACAATGATGCTTGTAGGCAATGTCCGTGATAAAGTTGCTATACTTATCGACGATTTGGCCGATACCTCAAACACAATCACGAGAGCTGCCAAGTTGCTCAAGAAAGAGGGTGCCACTTACGTTTACGCTTTGATAACCCATGGAGTTTTCAGTGGTGATGCTATCGATCGCATCAATGCATCTGCGCTGGACAAAATCATCGTGACCAACAGTGTTCCGCAAGATGAACATCGACGCCTTTGCCCAAAATTAGAGGTCTTGGAAGTTGGCCCGGTCTTTGCCGAGGCAATTCGTCGTGTGCATCATGGAGAAAGCATTTCTGTCTTGTTTAACTATGATTAGACTAGAGCTTGGCTATTTTCCGTCACAGGCATTGCATTTAGGAGTTCAGGCATATCTAAGGGGAGTACATTGGTAGAGTACTCACTTGTACTCGCTTGGCGCATTGCGAACCATGGCTCATATACAATTGCTATACCCGTAAACCGCATGGCGGACTATTCAAAATTTTCCATTTTTGTTCATATGGTATGGAAGAAATTTAGATATATACACATACTCGATCTTTGGTAGATTTCCATTGAACGTCTTGACGAACCAAGTGCTGGGTTAGGCGTCTAGAGTTGCATATAAATAAAGGCATAGAAGAACATAGAAATGAATAAATGGGGACGTAATTTAGACAAAAATTTGTTGGATTGGAATACCTGGTGTATGTCTTTCATGTATATGTAAATCAGTGCGAATGTTACATCCAAGTAAAGTCAACTAAGTCGTAGTTCCTCTGTCCAGTAGGTAAACACGTCGTGCAACCAAGCCATAGGACGATAAACTTTTTTGATTCACTTAGGCCAGGGATTATCTTTCTGCACTTCTTCCATTGAATACAGCGCAGATTGTGATATTTCCTCATGTTAAAATGACCACTCACGAACTGGAGATCTCTTCTTTCGTATAATTATTCAATATTGGGTACGGGATACTAGGCACACGATACTAGGCGCCACACACAAATCCTCCCTCTTCAACATCAAACACGTACAATGAGATGGTCTTGTCGCCTCCACCAAGCGATGAGTTTGAAAAACTATCCGCGTTTGATAGATTTCTACACACAATTTAGGAATGGTTGTAAATTAATTAGCACCTGAATATTACCATAAACCCCCGACAACGCACCGAATCTATATCCAGTCTTTTCTCCATTGGTAGTCTCTGCTCCATACTAAAATTCATCTCCTCCCCGGCTTCTCGACTGCTCGTCGAGCTCCAGCACCAAAGAAAAAAGCATGTGGAAGATAATATGTGGAAGATAATATCGAATCCCGCAATGTCATGATCGGACTCCAGACGATATAGAGCTATTATGATCAAAGTGAATCAGTGATAGGATGTAGACTTTACTATCAAGCGTATTATATCGTCTAATTATATGGCATGCAAGGATGAAAAGAGTTAATAGGGGATATTTTGCTGGTGGTTTTTTATTTTCTCTTTTTGACAGAAGTCAGTAATCACTTGGTGCGAAGGATTAGAGGTATAGTAGTGGAATTTATGAGCGAGTAGGATGAAGGATGGAAATATCAGGTTAGCATTATTGTGGTATATACGTACCTACCTACCTAGGCCAACTTAGATCATAGACCATAACGAGCTGTAATCTGGTAAAGCGAATATTATTGAGGGACGTAAATAGATCAAAGAATCATTGAGGTTATGAAGGGGCGAAATGGTGTATACAAATTGTGTTGGTTTGGTAAGGGGTCAATCGAGATAATCAGTTAGAGTATCGGGTTTATATTGTAAGTGTAAGATTGGAGAGGTTGTGTTAATTAAGGTAGGGAATGCGCGTGTACTCTCGGAAAGGAGCAATAATTTGAGGATGATGAGCATTATGGTGGTTGTTACTTATTTAATGGCTATATCATACGGTGTAGAGAATGTAGGTTTTGCATGTAATATGTAAGGTATTAAGAAATGGCGTTATTGCGTCTGGCTTGTCATGTGCCCTGGCTGACTGGTAGTTGTACTGAAGTGATTGTGTAAATAGGTATTCAATCCACGCCGCAGTGAATAGTCTAGAATGCATAAATTCAGAGCCTATAGTAAAGTGCACTTCATGTGACAATAGTACTGTACATTTATTGTATGGTTGATATTTTTTCCCCAAAAAGGTTTTCATGTTTTACCCACAAGACTACATTATATTAAGGATCAAAATAACACCTACAATCTTTTATCTTCCAAACACACAAGCAGAACAGAAAACACTAAATCAAGAAGAAAATGAAGAAACCAACATCCCATCTCTTGCACCAAACACAAATATACAACTGGAAATACTTAACCAAGAAGACAATGCAGAAATCAACATTCCATCTCTTTCCACTCCTTCCTGTTGAGCTACAAATTCAAATTCTGACCCACGCTGTGGAAGACCTCGCACCGCGCGATATTCAAATATGGCCTTTGATCAACACCATCATCATTGGCTTATAAGATCACGCAGCAGCATGGAATCTTGACCCGAGTCAACTCATGTTACCTCTTTTGCATACTAGCCACTTAGCTCGCAGTATCACACTTAAGTAATATACTCTGGGCTTTGAAATGTATCTCCGGAGAAAGATATATGTTTCTTCAGAAGATAGGATTATTGTGAACGGTTATACTATGGATGATGGACATGGATTGAATCCGATGTCTGGACTGAATATGTTCATTGAAGCTGGTCGGGAACATGGGGAGGTAGACTACTCGAGAAAGATTGGCATTCAGGAGTTTCAAGAAGTGAAACAGATGCTGGGATTGAGGGTTTATCATGTTGAAGAGTTTAGTTACATTGGAGATATGGTGCTTCTTATGGTGCTTCTTGGGGCGTAGAGCCGGATCGATTACTTGTAACCATGCTGGTTGGCAGACCACAACACTTAGCCTCTGCATTTGACTTTCACTTATTAGCAATTTAAATTTAGCATTATCTGCTAGCAACATTTTGAATTATCCCAGTGGCAAATCGATGTGGTATCCATTCCGAACGATTGCAGTGAATGATTTGAAGTGTTTTGCCATTTATGCTTTGTGCAGTTGAGATGATAGATATGGAAATGTGATCAGACGGCAACCATTAACTTCAAGCTTTGGTTTTGTTGCATATCTGAGAATGTATAGCTGCTAGCTTGTTTGCAATCTTGGCCATTAAGTGGTCGAACTGACGATGACTTGTCGCTAGAAATATTGCTATCCCTAGACCAGTGTTGACCAACCGGAGCTCTACATGTCCTGATGCCAAGCACTGCAGTAGACATATCGCTTGGATATCCCATAGAAGCAATACACCTTATTTTAGATGTGCAATTGTTGCTAACTAAGCACGGTTTAAGTACAAAGTTACTGCAGGAGATGAAGTCATCCGCTAAGTTCCCTCAAAAGACTCAACTGTGTCACTTGTGACTGAAAGTAAATGGGAATAGTTGTCACTCCCAAAGAAATACAATGCTCCTAGTTTCTTTACAAACAAATCTCTGGCTGCTTGTAGACCTTACGAAAAGTATATCAATGTTGCCGCTGCTTCAATATTACTGGAGAAGGAATTCGCAACTAGCAAAACTAATATGGCATCTAGAAGCCAGAAGCGATTATCAAAATCTCAAGCTAGGCAGACCAAATATCAGAATTGCAGCAAGCCAGAGCAGAAAAGTACTTGATAGTTCCCGCCAGACAAGAAGGCCTCCATCTACAAAGACGGCATGCATTTGACGACCAGATCTGCTAACAGTTTATAAACACAATGTCATAAGATGACCCAAATAACGCATGCAACCACAATGATTATAAGTGTCTCTCCTTCTTAGATGCCTAATAATAATCCAAAGTCCGGAAAACTCTTCGTTTTGCTCGCTTGAGACAGAAGGTCACAATAACCAGCCACCTCTACGCGGAGCATTTGAATGCAGCGATTGTTAATATTTCCATGCTGAGGAAGCATAGCAAAGACAGTTGCAGCTATAAACCGAATGGATTCACATGAAATGAAGAAAATGGAAAAGATTACGAGACCCAAAATATTTGAATATGTCTCCGCTAACACACCCACAATTATTTACGAATACCATCAAAACTCGACGAGGTATGTGTACCTACTCCCGTACCCGTACCTGCAGGATCATCACTTATTTACACATCTCGGTCCACCAGTGGGCCACCATGAAACGCGAGGCTGAGATGCACAGACCATATTTATACACGGCGGTTATCTAGCCTTCCCTCATGAAACAGATCACTCCTCCTCCTCACATCAGATTCGTCTCATATTCCCGCCTTCAAAAAATGATGCCACTTATATGAATGAATCTCTCATTCTCTCATTCCTCCCATTCACCTCATTCTATCCAAAGCCAAGAATCACATCTTAATTATTTCTCCAACTAAAAGTTTCCAACCTCACTCACTCAAAATGAACCATCGACCGGGCCATGGAGAAGAGCTTCCATGGGCTAAACCCCTCAGTATAGATCTCCTGCACAAAGTCCTCAAAGTAACATTTCTCCATCCTTTTGTCGCATGGATGATTCCTCTCTGTATGCGCGCACAAGCTATGCCATGGCATCATCAAGCCATTCAATATGCCATTGGCTATGCCTCTTTGCTCACCATGTTATATTTCCTCTCGATACTCAATCGTCAAATCGCATACTCCAAGGCTAGAGAGGTAGATCTGTCAGAAGAGGTTATTGTGATTACCGGCGGCGCAAGCGGATTGGGATTGTTAGTCGCGGAAGTATATGGCATGCGAGGCGCAACAGTTGCAGTATTAGATGTGCGAGATTTAGAGAGTGGAGAAGCGAGGGGCGTGAGTTATTATAAGTGTGATGTAGGGAATCGGGAGGAAGTTTCAAGAGTGGCTGTGGAAATCGAACGAGATGTTTGTTCTTCCCTCTATTTTCATCTATGACTAGAATACTAACAAGTATATAAATAGCTCGGCACCCCTACAATTCTCATCAATAATGCGGCAATCGTAAATGGGAAAACACTCCTGGATTTGTCTCTCGATGAAATTGAGCACAATTTCAAAGTAAACCTTCTAGGAAGCTTCTACACCCTGAAAGCCTTCCTCCCAGGTATCGTACGCACCGGTCACGGCACAATCGTAACCATGTCCAGCGTCCTAGGACACCTTGGCGCTGCCCAACTCAGTGATTACAGCGCCTCCAAAGCCGGTTTAACCGCACTTCACCATTCTTTAACAGCAGAACTCAAAGCACACCCTAATATCAAAACCATACTCGTAGAGCCCGGTCAACTAAGCACGCCATTATTTTTCGGAACCGTGACACCGAATAGTTTTTTGGGGCCGGTATTGGAACCGGTTGATGTAGCGAGGGATATTATCGCCACGATTGATAAGGGGAGTAGTGCAGTTTTGGCGATGCCGTTATACGCGAGGTGGGTTGGCTTAATGGCAGTTTTACCTGTGGGAGTGCAGGCGATTGCTAGGAGGCTTAGTGGAATCGATGGAGCGATGAAGACGTTTGTGGGGAGGGGAAATATGGGTGAGGAGAAAGAAAGATTGATATAAGTGGAGAGATTTGATGCTGGCATTGAATCTGGATGAATGGATGAGATATAGTGGTTTAATACAGGTGTAAGAGGATGATATATAATATATAAAAATCATCATTACATTATTTCATCATCAGAATTCACAAATCAAATAAAAACAAAATTTAAATTTATCACTTCGCTTATAAACTAGTCAGCTGTTTATGTGAGCTTGAATCCAAGACTAGAACGGTTATAATAATCTGAAGAAATAAAAAATTTAGGTTTTAGGTTATTCTGATGACTGGGTGCTGGAATCAAAGTGTTGTGATGTGCTGATGTATAATCCCTATTTCTATTTAAGTCTCGAGTGAATTCAAGGCTGGGTGGTTCGGATTCGAAGCTTGGAAGCTGGGTCGAAGCAGAAGTAGGTAGTTTAGTGGGATCTAATGGAATTTTTCAAAAATGTTTGGATTGTATGATCATACGCCTTTCTTTCTAGTGTAAAATAACATAATAACGCAATTTCGACGCCGTGATTCGATTCCCAAGTTCTAGACACGGCATGAAAGGTATTGCTTTTAAACTTCAATGTAGGAATAGTGGGAAATAAAGGAAGTGTTCAATTGGAAGATGCTGAGAATATTATGAGATGCCCGAAAGAAGACCTGTTGGATAAAGCAATAGCCATGTCGGTGATCGAACCCCCATCGATATATCGCCGGTACATAGGATTGATGAATTGGGAGTCTCCAGGCCATCCCGTATACTAAAGACATCCGACACCCCGCCCTCCAACAATAAAACAAGGGCATCCCGAATATGATCAACACTTTTTCAGGTGTATGAGATTTAGAACGTAACGTCTCAGCCTAACATCGACAGATCGATGCCCAAGTCCCCACGTTCCACTCATAATCTCGCAAAGATTGCCAAAAATTTGTGCTATACCATAAAAATCACGATTGAATGCCTCCGAAACTACCAAAGACAACATGGCAAACCAGCATTACCCTTCATACAAGCAACAGAAATGGTGTACTAAACTCAACAGCACGGCCCGAACTTTCGGTCTTTAAATGATGAACCCTGGCTGTCAGATAATTAACTCGCAACAATGTTAGAAACGGGAGAAATAGAAGTGAAAAGGAGTATGGAAGAACAAACAAAGAAGAAAGTTTTTACCACTAGCTCGATAGTTCATCTTATGATATGTTAGTGTACACTGTGTAAAGTTTAAAACTGTTGAGATGAGGAGCATCCTTGATTTTCATGCGAGGATCGCCTTGAAATGTTCCTGGGACTACCCGGAAGTACCGAGTCCGAACCGGTTGTTAAATATCGTATGATTCGATGTTTGAAGTTCTCGCATATAAGCAATGTAGTAGATTTGTCGGCGAGGTTGACATGAAGAAGAGCGTAAGGGAACTGCATTGCATGACTGAGAACCCAGACGCAAAACCCTATAGGTATAGGCATATTACGAAGGATGTTGAATCCCGAATTTATTCAAGACAGAATCCGTATTACTTCATAGTAATACCTATATACTCATCATCGTTATGTTAATGTATTCTAACAAGCTCGGCCCATCTTCACCATGACGGCGGGGGCGAGAAGGGAATAACCCGTTGAATATGTCTATATGTTAGATATTTTATCCATCCTAGTCCACAATCGCCAAACAGTATCTAGTGTGAGCATAGGCACGAGGCAAGGAGGAGGATTGTCACATGAGACGGATCTAAGTACAGTATCGCCTGATCTAGCTGTGATGACGTTTGCATTTTACCTGATACCTCGGCGCCGACGAGCTGGTGATGCGCACCAATCTTTGCTTGTGAGAATTGTATTCAAAGACTGTGCAAAGAAGGTGAATTGTTTAACTCAAACCTTTTGCTGCAAGAAAGTTGCAACTTCCTCAATTTTTTTGGCTTCGACGGTCCTGGGATAGTTTCATGTAGGAGCTTTCTCTGGATACCCACAGGTACAGGTACTGTGCCTGCGCACAGACGAAAAGTCATCCTTCCCTAAGAGCTGGGACCTCCTACGCTTCCGCTGATAATGTTATGCACATGGTGAAGTAGCCAAGAAAGAAATTTTCAACAAGGTATAATGGAAATTGGCTCTTCTTGAAATGGATCATCTATGTATTGTACAACACAAGACTGGGCAATTTGCGGTGAGGATGTAATCATTTGAGAACGACTGCGGTAGGAGGCATGCATGATGCATTGTGTTCAAATGACGATATGATAACCCAGCAATGGAGGAGTTCATGGTATCAACTCTTTTTGAAAGTACCCTATGTAAGTGATTATGGGAAGGGTTAACAGAGAAATACAGTGGTACAATGATATCCTCGGTAGCCTCGAGGAGTTTGGTCAGCGCTAAACAAGTACAACGGACTCATTTGTCCCTCTCTCATCTCTAACATCCATACCCAACTTCAAATGAACTCTACAGCGGAGACAGATTAAAAAATATGAATAAATAAATAAAATGTTATTTTTGTTTCAAAACAAACTAAGAAGAGTGATAATTGTTATGATCTTTTATAATTCAAATATAATTGTAGAATCTTTATAGATTATAATTAGTATTTTCTAAAGAAAGGAGTATAATTTATTTTTATATAACTCAACAAAATTATTGATAAATATTGATTGTAAATAATTAATGTTTTATTAGATTATTAATATATTAGTAGAAGATGAAACAATATTTAAATTTATATTAGAATCGATAAAATCTATTTTATTATAATTTTAATAAGAAGACAATTTTATAAAAAACAAAGAATATCAAAGATTTTGATATAATACTATTAAAGATATTATTGTAACGATCTGGTTGAGGCAGCGGCTGCCTCAGGTTTTCGTCTGGTTGGTAGTTGTAGGTTAAGGCTAATAATCATTGGTTATTCATTCGAAAGTGAATACGTTATTAAATCAATTGGAATATAGATAAACTAATTGATAATTAAATTGAGTACGAAGCTTTTAAATTATGAAATTATTCTGATTATATACTAATGAATGTAAAGGAATTTTGTGAAGCTTTAGAACTCCAAAAAGCTTTTGGAGCTTTAGGAGTTTTCGAAGCTTCTAGGGCTTTTTATCATATGATTAGGATCAGATTATATATTCGAATTTGTTAAAGGTAAAGAGATTATATAAAACGATTATTATATAAATTTGTATACGAATCGTTTTGCTTTTTGATAAAACCTAAATTTATATAGATATATTGATTATTATTCCTCAATATATCTTTATCTTAATTGTAAATTATAATATTATCTTTTTTTTAGTTAAGTATTATTTTAATCATTTATAATTTTTTGGGTTTCATTTAATAATTAATATTTTTCTTTTTTTATATTTTATTTATCTTTCTTTTTTTGTTATAAACAATTCTGATTTCTTCAATAATTTAATTCGAAGAAAAAAAAAGGAATATATATATTTAATTGCAATTATCGATTTTATTGGTATTGAAATGATTTTTTGTTTTTATTGTTGATAAGAGAATTGTTGTTGTATTAAGGATTTTTTTGATAAATATTGTTTATATTATTCGGAATATATACGAAATTCTGTTTTATATAATATTGAGTTTCGTTTGGAAGATGATTAGGATTATGAAATTTTTTAAGAGTATAATTAGGAAAGTCTTGATCGATAAATCGATAAATTGGATACTAAAATTGTTGAGTTTTTTGTTAAGATTGTTTGTCTTATTAAATAGAAGATATAACTCAAAAAACAATATAATGAAATGTTATATTGTAAGCTCAAATACTTTGATAAATTTGATACTTTTGAAGAAAAAAAACGAAAAGAAAAGGATAAAGAAATTCCTGTAATCTTTTTGTTGTTTTTTGATCAATTTGATCAATTTGATTAATTTGATCAATTTGGTTAATTAACCCTTGATCGATTTGATCAATTATTAATTGATTCTATCAATCCCAACGAAATTTCTACAAACGAATTCGATTCTTTCGATTCCTTTTTATAGAAAACGATGAATTCCTTTTTCTTTTGAATAAATCCAGATTTTGTTGATGAAACTTTTGGAACTTCTTTAGGTATTTAATCTTTTTCTCAAATTCTTATATATTTTCGAAATCGGGGTAATTTTCTTATTTCATTAAATATTTGATTTTATTTTTAATATATTTACAATTTAGTAACTTTTTCATTTTGTATTCGATATTTTGATTTATAGATATGATTTTTGTTTCAGAAATTTTAGATACTCTTAAAGATATTAATTCGAATAAGGATATATAGAATATTAAATATATATTCATATTTTTTAATAATATCAATTCATAATTCAAGGATCCTTTAACTTTCTTGATTTTGAATGATTCAAGTTTCTTGTGATTCAATTTTGTATTAGATCTTTTTGTTTCAATATTTTTCCAAAGTAAATAGATTTTATTTTTTTCTTTTAATATTAGTTTCTGATTATGTTTTCGATTATAATAGTATATATTTCTTTCGATAATGAATTTCAATTCTGTTATTATTTCTTTATAAATTTCTTTGAATCTTTTTATTTGTATTATTGTAGATTAGTTTTCTATTTTTATGATTCCTGGTTTGCGATATACAATCAGTTCGTACCTATAATTGATGTAATTCGAAATGATTTGTATTGCTTCTAATATTGAACTATTGTATACGAATTATACTAAAAGTAAAAGTTCTATTCAATTATTCTATTAATAATTCATATAATATCGAAAGTAAATTTCAACAATTTGATTCATTTTTTCGTTTCCTTTATTAATTTGTAAATAGAATATAATAAATATTTTTCTTTTTACTTTTAATAATATTATTAAAACAATTCAAAATTTCGAAATAAAAAGTTTATTTTTATCAGAAAGTATTTCCTTTGATAATCTATATACTATAACGATCTTTTTCAAAAATATAAAGATTAATATTTCTGCAATTAATATTATTTGATATAATATAAATATTAGATATTTTGTTAATCTATTTATTATAATAAAAAAGTAATTATATATTATCTTTATTATTGGATCTTTGGATTTTGGTAATAGATTTATAAAATCCTATGATATTGATTTTTATAATATAGATAGTATTTCAGTAATATTTATCTATTTATAAAGAGTATAATAAAAAGTTTTATTCCTAATATAAATATTATACTTAATGATTACTT